GGATTCCATAGATTAGAATTAAAGATGTCTGGTTTGAACCAGTTGAGTGTAGTGCTAGCCAGGAAGGAGATGGTATAGTTGACCTTATTGGCATCCACTGTAAACATGGTAGGTCTGTCATTAAAGTTCAACTGAAGAGAAATGATGAAGACCTTTAGTTTGTAAGGATCAGAGCTATCAAAGAGTTTTAGTTTTTTGATCTTAGTGTGGATAGTGGCTGGCTTGAGATTATTGAGAGAAGTAAAGACTCTTCATAGCAGGTTTATAAATTCTAGAAATATATTCTACTGGTTTGAATTGTTGCTTTCTGCAGGACTGTCAGAGCTATTTAGACCATCTAGTTCTTCTGATCCTCCTGGCTCTCCTGATCCATCTGGAAAGGGGTTTGGTGGGTTACCATTTGATCTCTGGTAGATGGGAATATAAGTAGAGGTATCTTCACCTCTATCCTCTGAGTCTAGGCTGTCTGAATTCTCATGCATATTGCTCAGAGATAAAGGGTCTGTCACAGAGTTGCTTTGGGTGCTATATATTATGCTAGTCTATCAGGCTCTATTGGTTGAGATGCTGATGGTGTTAAAAGAGTTAAAAGAGTCATCATAGTTGAGTTGGTGAGTAGTAAAGCTAAAGTGGGTGTAGGTTTCTCTACAGGAGAGTTGTTCTTTACTGAAGACTGATCCAAAGAGGCCTGGTTGTTTCTTTAAGATAGAGGCCAGGATGTCTTTCATGGAAAACATGTTGGAGTGGCTGGGTTGGTTTTGTTCAGAGTCAGCTTCTGTGGATTGGATCAATGTGGTGGATATAATAAAAAAATTTTAACTCAAGAGTTTGAGTTCAAATATACTGTTAGGAATATATCAATTAATTGGACTTGAGTGCATGCATGAAGGCCAGTAAAGTGCATGGGCATTTAATAAAGCTATTAGCAATGTCACTCTTGAGTCAGGACCTAAGAATTTGGATTGACAGAACAGAGTTCTATTAGAGAAGTGAAGAGGCATATTTTTCAGAGTGAAATCTAACAGACAAGATAAAGAGGAGCTGAAGTGAGTATAAAGTATAGATAGCTATCCAAGTTAATATTCAAAGTGAGTAATTACAGTGCTTATACATAGTTTATATACTATTAGTAGTTACTTCTGAGTCAGAGTCCATTGGGTTCCATTGTCAACTGTTCACTACCATGTTCAGAGTCTAGATACTATAATGTGAAATACAGATATGAAATGATAATGGTAAAATGAAATTAATAGATAATAGGGAATGGATGGAGTCCAGTGGAACTTGGTGATTGAGTTCTTGGTTGATCAGAATGATGCAGAGGCCAATGACATGCACATAACAACTCCAATGATCTCTGTCTCTATATCCTGCAGAACAACCACAACTATATTTTAGCAGGCTACTTTAGCTAAAACTGAACACTAGAGCTAGTCTGGCATAATTATATCTGGCCACAGATACATGAATATATTTGCCACTACATCAAGTCATGTACCATCTGTGAATGCAATGAGACATCTAGATATTGTCTCTATGGTTTGCTTAAACCTCTACCAGTCCTTGAATAGTCATAAAATTCCATTTCTATAGATTTCATCAAACAGCTGCCAGACTCTAACAGATTCACTACCATCCTAGCAGTCATTGACTATGCTAGTAAACAAGCTATCTTCATCTCCACTCATAACACTATCAACTCCATGGAGTTTCACTTCACTTCTGGTTATCATCTGAAGGCTGACAGACAAATCAAATGTGCAAACCAAATCTTGGAGCAATACATCCATATGTACTGCTTCTGCCAATAGGACAATTGAGATACCCTTTTACCCATCACCAAGTTTGTCTATAATAATACTTCTAATGCCTCCACTGGAATTTCTCTATTTTTTGCTAACAAGAGTTACTATTCTAATATCACTATCTATCCTGAATGAGATATCACCTCTGTCTAGGCCTGAGACTTCACAGTCAATCTTGATGAGCTTTATCAAGTTCTAAAAAATAAAATCTTCCAAGCTCAATTTTGCTATAAGGCTCAAGCAGACAAGCATCAGATGTTGGCACCTCTATTCAAAGTTAGCAACAAGATCTACTTCAGCTCCAAACAAATCAAGACTACTTATTCAATCAGAAAGTTCTCTGAGAAATACTTTAATTCTTTTGAAATCTTAGTCCAATCCAGTTCTCACTCCTTCACTCTTAAGCTTCTGCCAGACCTCTGCTCTATCTATTCAATCTTTTATGTATTACAGTTGGAACTCATAGAAGAAAACACCATTCCTAACCAAGTTCAACCTCTGCTGCTTCTAGTCAAAGTTAATAGAGAAGAACAGTACAAAATTGCTCAAATTCTTGACTCTAAGCTGGATCACTGGTTCTGCTGTCTGCTACTATACAAGATCCAGTGGCTAGGATACAAAGGTATCAACAAAGAATTTGCTTGATTACTGGCCTCCAAATTCTCTGCTGATGAATTCATCAAAGATTTTCATTGTCATTATCCAGACAAGCTAAATCTCTTATCTAAAGTCATCTTCTAAACACCCTTCTAATCCTATCCTCATTTTATCATCTCTCTGGCCTCATTGGATTCCATTTTCATTCTATTCAATTGAAAACCCTATCTCTTCATAATTTTCACCTCAAATTTCAAAATCAAGAAATCTAACTAATTCAGCCCTATTCAGAGCCTGGCTATTCTCTATCTATGTGTTTTAAAAATATATATGTACAAGTAAAGCAAGGACTGCAATTAACCAGAGTCTGACAGATCCACCTCACTCTCACCCTTCTTCAACTCTTCCATATCTGTATTCAAACTCTTCTTCATAATGACCCTCAGATCTTTAACCTCCTGATCTTTTCCATTCTCATACCTCAGTCTGATCTTCTTCCACTTTTCCAATTCAGATTTCTTGCCAGACTTATAATCATCTAACAGATTTCCTACTGTCTGCCAAAGATCTACTACTTTCTCTCTCTAGTCATTTATTTAATCCATCAACTTGTGAAGCAGTTTTGAAATCTTGTGGAGATCAGTGGAGACCTTCCACATTAGTAACCATGTCACTTGTGCTAGTCTCCTTGTTAAACAAACAGACAGTCTTCTTGACTTTATATTAACTACAAGTTCACCCTTGACTGATGCCCTCAGAGGCCAGTTGTGTAAAACACTTAACATTATCTTGACAATACACACATCATTCTAGTACAACTATCAGTAAGAGAAAAAAAAACTCACTCTCATCAACCATCTCTCCTTCACTCTCTGCCAAGCCTATTACTTCCAATCTCACCTTCTTCTTCAGATTTGCTGGCAAATCTGTCTCACTATCTTTCACAATGCTATCCAACTTAACTTTCCTCTTTCTCTTCTTCTTCACTGGAGCTGCTGCCTTTTTTTTGCCTTCTCAAATTTTCCTCCAAGTCCCTTCAGACTCCTACTCTTTATCTTCATTTTCCCACTCAATCTTGGACTCTGATGGCATCAAATCAGTCACTTTTCAGAAACAACAACCAAGATCAGTGAATCCTAGGCAGTACTCAGCTAGAAACTGTCACTGCCTTATTTTGATGGCTTCCACAAGAGAAATCTTGGGTGCCACTTCTTCACCAGTGATCTTAGCTGTCTCTTTCATCCATTCCTCAGCAGCAATTCTCTTGGCCTCTGCCACTTCTGCTATCTCTCTGGCCAACCTTTCATCCTCCAACTTTTTGGCCACTGCCTCTGCCTCCAACCTTTCCTTCTCCTTCCTCTCCTCCACTGTCTTTTGCAAAGTCTTCATCTTTTCTATCCAGGCTGTGCATTGAGCCTTTGCTTTCTCTCTAAGTCACTCTCATTTTCATTCAGTATGCCATTCAATGGCCTTTTGATACTCATCCTCTATAGAGCTTCACTCCAAACAAAATATTTCCTTCTCTTCATTAAGCCCATCAGAAGTCAGAGCCTGCATAAAGGGCTCAGGCATGATAGACAAATGATATGCAGCAACAAAGGACATGGCAAGCAATGATTAAGGGGAAAAGTGTGGAGATGATAGGAGTAGGAGATTAAGTTATAAAATTCCTATGGTCACAAAAAAATTTTTCCTTGTGCTTCTCTGTCAGGCATTGGGATCTGTGCTCTTAAGGGCAAGAACACTAAAGGGAGGATACTGTCACACACATGCCACTGGCCCCACTTCACACTGACTTCAAGCTAGGATCCAACCACTATTACTTAACAAGTTCTACCAGCCTCTAGCTGTTTCCTATTACCTACTCATTTCATTTTATCTTTATTATTTCACATCCATATTTCACATTCTAGTATCTGGACCCTAAACACAGTAGTGAATAGTTGACACTAGAGCCCAACAGATCCTGACTCAGAATTAGCTACCATTAGTATATAAACCATGAACAATTACTGTAGATACTCAGTTTGAATACCAACTTGGCATCTACTCTTCATGCTCACTTCAGTCTTCTCTCTTATCTGATGGATTCTGCAGAACATCTCTCTCCTCATCTCTCCAATGGACTCCATTCTGTCAATCTAAACCTTGGGCTTTGACTCAAGGAGGACATTGCCAACAGCTTCATTGATGCCTATGCATTCCACTGCTCCACACATGCACTCAAGCCCAATCAATTGGCACATTTCTAACAACATCCTGTAGAAGGAAGTCTATAGTGACTGAATCTGGATTGATGGAATCTGCAAGAGAATTTGGGCAATCCAACATTCTGGCATGCTAAGTAAGGAAAGAATCTGAGGGAAATTGAAGGAATTAGGTGGAAATTATTAGAAAAGGAGTAGTCTAGTATAAATATGAGAAGTCAATAGGGAAACTCCTCAGGGGTTTGTAACCCAAAGACTAAAGGTCTTACAAGCATGTACTCTGGATACAGTCCAAATCTTAACATGGATGTGTAACAAGGACTGTTGGTTTCCAATCCTGTAACCTCAGAAGAAGAATATAGGAAAAGTGATTTCCCTGTATCCATCAATGTCAAATGAATGCAAGACTGGCATGTGGTTCCTTATCTATACCAGTGTGACCAAGAACAATGAAACCCCATAGCCATGCCTTTGCCTCCTCCTCTTGGAATAAGTTGATATACTGTTCCAACAAGGCTTCAGTATTGGTATGGTAATGAGGGTCAACTACATGTTCACTGGATACTTTATCAGTATATTCCCTTTTCTGTGCTCTGTCCTCGACGAGGTCTTCCTCATGAATGCACTTCATGCTGATAGTCGGTTCTGGTTGGGTCAAATCTGCGTGCTCCGTCTGACTGTCGGCCCCAACGGTTATGATGGGGTCACCCGTTTTTTTGGCCTCCAGTATATCATGCAGAGCAGCCTCATACTCTCGATGTATGAAAGGGCAGACTCCCAATCTCTCCAAGATCTGCATCGTAACAGAAGGCAAGTCGGAGAAAGACGATGTCGTCTCTGGTACTCTGACATTGATACGGTTTTGTGGGTCATTACACAAAACAGGTCCCTTGGTGAATGGAGGCTTCTGGTTAAGCCAGATGTCTTGAAAAACGCTGTACCAGATCTGTTTAGAAAGCGAGCTAGCAATGCGCTTGTTAAGTGGCATGCCTATGGCCATGGATTCCGAAATATCCACTGAGATGTGCGACATTTTGCGGTGGGAAAGGCGAAACAGGAAGTGGACAGAATTAGCATTCCCACCCGGGGTAGCTATGCCTGTCGTCATAGACAGAGAATAAAACATTGAAACACATAACAGGGGGATTGTTAATGGCCGCCTTCCGGCATAGTTGGACCACACGTCCAAAGCAAGTCCAAGAATTTTTGAGACCCGCCTCTTGGGTAGGATCGAAAGAAGCTGTCAATGTAGAGGTGGCTGGCAGTCAAGAACGAGGCTTATGAATTATGAATATCATTGCCAGCCGCAGCACATGGACCCCCTTGCCCCTAGCACTGAGTTGAGTCTAAGTATCTACTCTACAAGTTATACCCAGAGCCAGCGGCCGCGAAAGCGTTGTTCTGTCCTGTGGCAGCATGCAATGCAGCAGCGAAGCCGTCTGTGATCGTATCTATATCAGTCGTGACGCTGACCATGTCGAAGCCTTGGGAGAAACGTTTCTCAGCTTGCTCTCCGGTTAAACCTACATGGGAACATCATCTTTCAAATCCATACTAGGAAAAGGAGGCTTACAGAAGATAGCAGCAGATTTTCCCGCCTTCTTGCATGCTTCAAGGATCTTGGAGATGGCGGCTTCATGCTCGACGCCACCAAATTCGACGCCCATGGACACAGCCAAGTCAAATGGACCAATCTGTCCCTCGCTCAGTTATATGATACTCCAGGGATGGTGGCTGCACTTACAAACGCGACATCAATATCTTCTTTGACGATGTCTTCAATTTCCTTCACGGCATTAGGATGCTCAATCTGGACAGCAATAACAAGATCCTCGTTCGCACTTTCCTTGTAGGATCCACCTAGTTGGCCAGTTGCGTGTGTGAACATGGGACCTTTACGAGCGGTTCAGTTATTTTTTTCTGCCGGGTACAAAAAGCACAAAAAGGGAAAATTAGGTACCAAAACCTGTAGATAAAACGACCATTAGCGTGGTGTAGTGTCAAATCAAACCAGGAAGACATACCGCGGATGCCATGGGGAGGATACTTGGTTGCTTGAACCACCTTGCGAACTATTTCCTGAGAGGTATTCAATCATGGATCTTTTTCCTTTCGAAGAAACACTTACAGTGCTATTTGCCATGGGAACCATTAACCCATGAGCACCGGAATCGAGCGCGCGCTGGTAGATTAAACAGATCAACCCTAACGCTAAAACTAAATCAAACACACCTTGATCAACCAAGCCTCTTCAGCTGGCACGCGGATCAAAGGTGATGCGCCGCTAGATGCAATAGCATTTGTGAGATCATAGAAATGGCTCTCTGAAATCCGTTATTAAGATCAGCACTCTTCCACCATTACGGCCCACTTGTACCATCGATCAGTCCATGTTCTGTGACATTACAGCGTTTAGTCGATATCCTCAGACGGGGGGAAACGCATACCTCCGTCAATCAGGACCCATGACACATTCTTCGTATTTGCTATGGTGCGTGCAATGGCCGTGCTGTGAGTACACAGTAGGCGTTGAGGGATGCTGACATTTCCGGGGAGATGGTACTCACCTTGGAAGAGTCAACCAAGCACCTGCGGCTGGTTCTCCAGCGGAGAGTTTCTTGCGAAGGGGGATATTGAGAGGCATCACAGGATAGGTTATTTTTTTAACCTCCTAGCCGAACAGGCATTATTTTATAGCATCTGTACCATGAGACTACGGGATAGGAACAATTACGGGGCGATCGGGCCGCAGGCAGGCTAATTCACGTCCGACCAGTCTGATTCCGACCATGAGGACAGTCAAATCCTTCCCCACTGCCGCGGAACGGTATAAGCACCAGGAGTACTGTCTTTTGGCATCTTTCAATATGTGTGACTTTGGAACTGCTATTAGGAACTGAAGAAGGGCAGGCGTGTTTCCTTAAAGAGTCCGGACTACCGCGTATTTCTCATCGATAAGTGCTGAACTTGAATATGATGCTACTCATGAGCTTGTTCTAGTACCAGGGTTGTTCCCCACATTGGTCATAGGCGAGTCTCAACAGTACCGCCCAAATTGTGGACCAAAGCAGCACAGCTACTTCTGCGCTTTTACTTTTCTATTGCCTACACTCAGTTGCCGTTCTTCTGCTAAAAATGCTCTTTTACGACCAACAGTACATCTTGCTAACCGTACGATAGTTCTCGTGATGAACTGTAGCCAGAAAAGTCTCTCTTCCTTGTACCTTTGCCCGGAGATCTGGCTTCCCTGTTAGTAGTATGGAAATCTTGCAACGATTGCATGCCCACCCTTTCATTTTGACTGGCGACCACACAGAAGGCATACCAAAGAAGGTTCTCATAACTTTGGGAAGACTGCAGGTCATTGAGACAGACAGCGTCATATTATTTGTCCCAAAGATCGATGATTTGCCCCGGGACCCATGCACAATGTATCTGATGGGAATTTCTCTACGCTGGATTCTTTTCCAGTTAAGTGGTAGTCATAGCATCACAATCCCAGTCTTAGGTGGCCCTCCTTGGCTGTCCATTATATAAGATGTTCCTTATGGAAGCCATAAAAGATATTTCTCCGCTCTGATCTATCCTTTCGAATGCGAAATCCTTCATGGCCACAAAGTTGACCTCCAAGTGAAGAAACGGATGCTGACCATATCATTGATATGGTATGGTATATACATAAACGTTAACTTATCATCAACAACGATCGTGCTACTAGGTCGTACGTAATAAGTATCATCTTGTGGGTGAAACAAGCAAATGACTAGGGATGCATCTAGTTCCAACTTCCACGAAGCCAGGCAGAAAAAGAAAAGAGCGGAAGGCCTGCGTACCTATGAGATCAACGGTGCAACGCAGGTCGAAGCCCAAAGTTTCAGAGTAACGTAGAGGAAGAGGAATTTAGAAGAAGGAAATTTTCTGATGCTAAGATTAAAGCACATTCTGTGGGCGATGGAGGAGGGTAAAAATTAAAACTTGTAGAAAGCAGGGATGGTAAAGGATACAGGTAATCATTGGCTAAGTGTGAACAAGTGTGAACCAAAAAAACAACAAAACAAGGGAAACGACGAGTAACTGATAGGCTCAAAAGCTGCCTTCTATACATGCAATGATCAAAAATATGCCTCCTTGAGATGGCTGATGTACGTCGTGAAGAAAAATGTGAGATATAGATTGCATGCAGTACGGAAAGACCGTGGAGGGAATGACGGAATCAAAATGAAAAAAGAAAAAAAATAAGCGGGGACCATCAACTATTGCGTCGCAATCTTCACCATCTACAAGAAAGAACAGTTCAAAGAGGAATGACGAAGCAAAGTCGGAGAAAACACACCTCTCGTGCCCAACGCATAGTTTTCTTAGTCTCCAGGCTCATGCGCTGCCTAGCTCGGAGCTCACTGGCCACCCAATTTTGCAAGAGCAGTGGCTTTAATTGCCCAGCTGGGAAAGAATCTGCGAGATCACCAAGAAGACCATATGACAATTTGACGACAGGCTCCGTCCGCTCCTCGTCAGATAAGGACCGATATATCAACTCGAGAATGCTAGGAGCGTGCGGAAGAAGGATGGGAACTGAGGCCAACGTGAGTATAATAGTCCCGACTGGGTGAAACAACTTACCCTTGGGCGTATTCTTGAGACCCGTGACAATGCCGGTGTAAGCCTCCAGAATCCCTTCGCGTAATTGTCCGACGTAATCCAATAGATCATAGTCGAGCTGGAAAAAGAAGGCTTAGGGCACTTTATGCAACACAGCGGTCTAGATACTCACCGGATTGACTTCCACAGCGCCCGCCTGCTTCAAAACGTTCATAGTCGTATCGAGATACGGCTCGAAGCCCGCACCAACAGCGAGCGCAATATCGCCGAAACAAGACAAGATCGTAATCTTGACGTTCCGGTTGAGAACGTCGCTTTGAAGGTTCTCGAGTAGCACAGTCATGAATGGATTAGCATACTGAGCGCTTTGGTCTCCCAAGGCGCGTGAAATGTCACCGATGATACCGACAGCAACGGTACATAACTGTGTATCTTCATGGGCTTTGAGAGCAGGATAGAGATAAGGAAGGAAGGCGCCGATGTACGGCGCAAAAGCAGTTTCGAGAGCTAATACACGTGTCAGTGGGTGATAGATGCGACACCAAGTAACTTACCAGAAGCAAGGGCCCCTACAACAAGGAACGCGTCCTCCAAGACTGTTGAAGTCTTTCCGGCGGCTTGTATTAGCTGCAAAACGAGGGTCATAATGCGGTCCGCCAGGGGCTGTATTCCATTGTTCAACTTGCGAATGACGCACTGAAGGGAAATTAGACCGGCAAATACTACGTAAAACAAAATGAATGGTGTACGTACAATGGCAACGGAGCACAGATTGCTCTGGAGCTCGTTCCAGTTATTGCTGTCATCCACACCAACAATTTGGTTCTGAACAAAGAGTCAACACAAAAAAGTGAAGCACAAATTCGCCAAGACATACATGGAGACTAAGAAGATGCTCCATTCTTTGCAATATCGTTACAACCGTATTTTGAACGACAGTGATAGCATCGGGAGTGGCATGTGTAAGATACGATGTCATCGCCTCATACGCCGCGGTACGATAGTTGGCTTCGTTAGAAGCACTAGAAAATGTCGTCAGTCAAGATATGATATCATTGATGGGCATCCACCTCTCTGTCACTCGCAGAAGGGCTTGTACGACGCCTTCATAGTAAGGCGATAAAGGTCCTGATTGCGCCGCCTCTGCATCGTCTTCGTAGTACACAGCGAGTTGATCCGCCAGGTTCATTAAAGCCCAAGCACAATTCGTGACAATGCGCGGACTGTCCTGAAGGCCAGAAACCAAAGCCGAGATTAACGGGTGAAGCTGCATGTCTGGTTTGATAACCACGATGAGAAGATCGCAAATACGACCCAAAGTCCACGCCGTCGTGTCTTTTACATGCGTGTTGGCATCCGCCATCATACTGATAAGGGTCGGGAGGGCCTGTTCTGCGAGCGGTGTCAGTACAGAAGGATCGGGGCCCTCGAGGACGGATCCGAAAGCCATTACAGCGGCCTCCCGCCGATGCCAATCTTCGGACGTGATGTTGCCTTCGATGAATGGAAGAACAGCCGGGACAATAGCGTCTTGGACTGCCCCTGCAAGCAAAGACATGCACGTTCCCGCCGCCATGGAGACATTCCACTCATCTTCATCGGCATCTTCTTCTTGCTTGGTCAAAAGCATTAATAGAACGGGGACAATCTCAGGCAAAGCGATTTTTGCGAAATGCCTAGACTCTCTTTCAGGTTGCTCGCCATAATCAATGGCCTATTTGTCAATCAGCCGCGACTCGCGATCAGACAGAGTTAACACGCACCTCTTGGGCTTCAAGAGCTAGTTCTACTTCCTCCTCACAGACAGTAGACCAGAACTCGACGGCTTGTAAAGCAACTCGCTCATCCGAATGTTTCATGCCAACGACGGTCAGCTACAGATGTTATCAGCCAGCCATCAAAGGAGCACGAGGGGAAACACGTACACCAAACAGGGCTTGTTCCATGTAGAAACCCATTTTTTCGTAATATAAACTCATAATCCTCACCAAGCACTCAAAAGCACCAACTTGAACAGCAACAGATGCACTTTGAGTGGCCTCACAGACAACTTGCATTATATAGTTCCTTTCCCCCTGCAAAGTCATTAGCGTTGTCGTTATGCCGATGCGTTGCAGACTCACATCTCTCTCAAAGTTATCCCGGACAAACTCGAGAGAGTTGTAGAGAGCGTGGATAGCCGCCAGCTGCACATCGGATGATGGCTCCTCCTTTCGTGCTCCATGGATAACGGCAGTCAGAATCTCGTTCGCACGCAAGCTGAGGATTTCGGGTTTCTGAAGAAACGGTCAATGTAATGTTGAGGGCCCATGAACACCCACGCACTATTGTTTCGCAGATAAACCCGATAGTCTGAAGGGTAGCAATTTTTAAGTTGGTGTTGGGCTGATTGTTAACGAAACCGAGTAGTATCTCAATGAGGTCCTTCCATTGATCCTGCGGTAATTCTACGGCAGCGATGGCAGCGACAACTTGAGAAGCGAACTGGCCAGCTTTGAGGTTTGGCGAGGCCAAGGTCATTAAGGCATCTTGCTTGATCTTGGCCTTCGTGTCGGGGTTAAGGGTCAACCATCGGTTTGAATACTCAGTTTGCCGCGATGTTTCCTGTCGAAGATGAGAAAATGAGCATCCGTGTTCGAAAATGGGAGATATCAATGACAAGCCACACACCCGTGCAGTCAACGCATTTTTGAGAGCAAGTCCGGCGGCATTACGGACATGCAGGGGCGTTGAGTCCTCCAAAAGGACGGCAGAAAGCATGAGCATATATTGAGGCTACATTGCGAAGAAAAAGAGGAGGAAAAGGTAAGAAGAGCTGAACAATGAGGACAGAAATGAAGACGTGCGTAGTTTTCCCGTGAGGCACTCTCGAGTTGTTGCGTGGCATCCTGACGCGTATTCGAGTCTGTACGAGAGAGAGAAAAGCACAGATAATACTGAGAAAATGACGAGACGCGCAAAAAGATAGGGACGGACCTGCGGACAAGGTATTGGCAAGGAGGTCGGTTGCATTCATGACTGAAGGATACGATAATGGTTCACGAAATATATCGGCGCAGCTGGCAGAGCAGAAAAGGCAGAAATACAAAGGAGTAATGGCGCCGGCAGCGTCGAGGGAAGGAGTTAAAAGGAAAGGAAGATGAGCGCGGTGATGGTGAAAAGGACAGAGAAGGTGGCTGCCACCGAGCTGAACTTGAATTGTCCTGCAGCTTACAGCCACACCGTCTTTTTATTCTCTGCTAGTATTCTTCTCTTGTTTTATCCTTGGACCACACTTGTTAACGGGTATGTCTTGGCCTTATTGTCTCTCACGTCGTGCTCATTGTGCTGTTGTGTGGCACAGCTTTTTTCAAGCGCGCGCCCCAATGGCAGACCGAGTGAGTTTTCTGTGGCAGATTTGCAGCTTATGTGTCAATTCAGACCTTAGGGCCGTGGTATGGCACCGAGAGGTCGTGGTGCTGGCAGTAGCACCAGAGGGCGGGGCCCACCAACGAGTTCCTTGTCGATGGACAAGCCAAAACGCGAGGCTATCCTAGATCTTTCAAAGTACGTCAACGAGAGAATTAGAGTCAAGTTTACCGGTGGACGAGAAGGTGAGATTCTTTCCTGCGATAAGCTTATGTCTCCCCTCATAGTTCGATAGTCACCGGTATTCTCAAGGGCTATGACCAGCTGCTAAATCTTGTCCTTGATGAGGTCGAGGAAGAAATTCTAGGTTAGCCTTCTACATTCATTCTCCTTTTTTTTCTGTGCGCTGAATTTGCCGTACAGAGCCAGAAGCACACAAGCGAAGTCTAGGATTGGTCGTCCTGCGTGGACCAACAATAACCCTTCTTAGCCCTGTTGATGGTTCCGATGAAATTGCCAACCCTTTCCTTGCACCAGAGTAGATGCCCTTTTCTGTCTGTATTCACGATCACTCTATAGTAACTCTCCATCTCCAATGTACGATATTATTTCGAGTATATCAACCGTGTCTTATGGTTACATGAGAAATCCAAATATCAAACAGCAGAGCATGCCTGGAGCTACGAAATTCTACTAGTAATACTGCATGGTGCACTGATTCATAGGGTAGCAGGAGGGAGAAGGGGAAAATGAGGCAGACATAAGCACTGGCCATAATAATGGATCATGGATGGAACGGTGTGAGAAATATACCGTATGCATGGTTAGTCAAGGGAGTGTTGGTGGCCTGTTTTGTGCACCACAAAGGAAAGACTGGCTGTTAGGCAAGAAATGGCGGCAGAATGAGTAGGTGTTATCGTTTCTCGACAACGGGTTTATCGGTGTCAGTATTATCGGACTGGTCCCCATGCAGGGTAGATAATTTAACAGCCAAGCTAGCACCATCAGATGGCAGGCGTGATTGCGTCGGCGAGACACTCTCCGTTATTGATGGGCCCGTTATGAGTGATGTTGATAACGGTGTAGATGGGAGATCACGCGGTGACGGCGACCGCGATCCTGACGCCTCATATCCTGTTGAGGAGGAAGTCGGCGAGCTGCCATTCGAGTATACATCTTCGCCCTCGGTATTGATCCTCGGGGGAAGGGTCCTGAGAGGTTGCGGGGGTGATGGTGGACAGGCTGTTTTGGAAGAATTGGAGGAAGAACTATCGATTACAGTGGTTTGCGGAAACGTAGAAATGTGAGAAAGTGGCGGAGACGCAGTGATAGTCGAAGTCGAACGCGAATGCGAATGTGACCTGGTATTTGCGGTTGACGGAGTCGGGGTATCCAGACCTCCTGAGGACTTGCCATGAGTCCTTTCATCCTCATAAGGAATAGCGATGCCTCTTGACGAATGTACAGATGATAACAAAGGCGGAAGGCTGGAAGAATAAATATCATGCGGAATAGATGCCATGTAATATTGATTATGCTGCTGGTATTGCGAAAGCAAAGGCGAATGTGATCCTTGAGAGGGGTATAGAACGTTTGGGCGAGGCGACCTAGTTGTGCCAGTTTGATAATATACAGTGGCGGAATCTGAAAGATGGCAGTCAACCGGGGAATCAGGAGAAGACGGGAGTGGGGAAGTAAGGGCCGTAGATGACCAGAGAGAACCTTTCGGTGATCGTGCGGACGAAGACCGTTTAGAAGGATCAGGTTTGAAAACAGAAGAAAAGTTGTCAAGCGTGACCTTCGAAGATGTAGGTGAAGATTCGCTGAGGCGCTCCAGGCGGTGAAACCGTCCCCGTGCGCCTGTTACAAGTCTCGATAAAACATCGACACCAGCGTCGGTATGGACAGGACCCAGCCTCGAAGGTGGTAACCAAGGCGATCGACGGGTACCATGATTGGAGACCGACCCCTCAGTGTAAGAATGAATCGAGCGAACATCGTCAGACTCGGTAGCATCAGAACGATCTTCATCGGTGAGAACTTCACTTGAAGAGTCATTATGTGCTTCTTCCCGTTCGCGTGCTTCTGTAGAAGCGGTTGCCAATGAAAGGCCATTTTCAAGCTGGTTTTCAAAAAGAGTATGATCCGCAGATGGCGCCTCGGGTGGGGGAGGGCTGGTCCATTTCCCTCGTTTGGGTGCCATATGTTCTGGAGGGGGACGGATGACGACTGGTGGAGACCGACCACTCGGCTCCGAGAAATGTGTTGGCGGCGAAAACCGATCAGAACCACCTTTGGGTCGCATGGACTGACTTCCAACACTATATGGAGTCTGCGGAGGAAGGTTCGATAATCGAGGGGCAGGCGCCGAAACCAAATCTTCATCTTTACGCTCCTCACAAAGCTCGGCCAGTGCCAGGATAGCACGTTCTGGGCGTGCGGCAAGGACCCTTGATGCTCGCATGAATTCGCCGCGGATCTTGATAAACAGTAAGCGATCGGTTGAAAAAAGAAATTACGGATTGCTCACTGTATACAGGCCGTCTTTAGTGACACATCTTGCCACGTTAAAATCGGTTTCGAAAGGATCCTGGTCTTGTTGTGAGCGATGAAGGCTTAACAGGACCCGAAAGGCATACCTCAATGCAAAACCGATTTCGTTCTCGTGCATCGTTGAAGCGTCCAGCAGATAGCTTCACTTATCAACAAATGGTACACCAACATGAAAATCCAGACATACATCGTTTTGCCATCCCTTGCTCGCCTTTTTGATAAGTCCAGCCCGAATGGAAGCAACGCCCGTATTGTACGAGAAGTCGCGAGAATAGTAACGGAAGAAATCAATTAACCTGCAATTATGCTGTCGAAGAAGTGATCACGGATAATCCAATGGGGCTCACAGTTCTGCAACAGTCTCCATATTTTCGGAGTGCCAACGTTGCCGTAAGAGATCAATATCATCGAAGAACCAAGTGTTGTGTTCTCCAAGATGCGTATCTTCCTGAAAGAGACGTCAGCCAAACGTATAAGCGCGCGCTAGAAGCGCTCGCACCTTGGAGATGGGACGTAAAGGGGGCATTTGCTGAAGGTTTGGCAATATTGGGGGATTTTTGACGTGGACGAGGAAGTAGATTACAAGGAGGACGTATCCATAAGACGACAGGGTACCCCTATAGGGCGAGTTTATTTTCCTGTAGACGGTGTGAGGCAATGAATTATTAAGAAAGCTGGTCTACCGGCGTACCGGCGTTTGCTCCACACTTTGACTTGAGAAGCGTGTTGGTAAGTTGTCAGAAAGAAGTGGTACGAGACTCACGAAATAATACTAGTGTTCGGACACGCGTTGGATCTATCATGGCGTAGCACATGAGTAGCCGTGTGTTTTCCAACGCCAGCCTGTTTTCGAAGCCTATATCACAGGCAATTCCCAAGGGTAGACCAGGTGACGGATCGAGGGTAAGTTTAACGATTGGTATTCTGGCATGGGGTAGCGGCTTGACGTGGAATTTAGTTTCTTGGGAGAAAATATGAGAACTTCCCGCCTTTGAAGACTATCCATATGGACTCACCGCGCTCAAGAAGGTCGCCTAACATGGTTACAAGATCGGAGGCGGCCAAACGTTCGTCGGAATCGATGAGACAGCAAAGGTCCATGTCTGCATGATAGTTGTGAACTTTGTCCCGACAAAACGCGGCAGCAGGCTCACCAGAGTTGCGAAGGCTAAATCCATTTGCGGTGCTGCCAAAGGACAAGAGTCTACTGTCTGGCTCGATCGTGCGAATAAGTCTTTCCAGCAGCTTGCGCACATCCTCTTTTACAGCCATTTCTTCGGCGGTCGGAAGCAGCTGGATGACAAAGTCGAAAAGGCATTGCGACAGCTCTGCAACGAAGCGCTGTTTCGAAGGCTGCCGTGGGTGGTGTATTGGTGATCCCGACGTGTGAACGTCACGGTACTGCTGGTGCATCGACTGAGGGCTCAATGTCTGGGTATACGCCATTCGGGCGTCCAGAATATTCGAGAGAATTCCTGCCAGCAGACGAAAGAGGTTCGTAGGGAGAGATGGTCAGTGATCCCTCTAGTCAAGTGCCTCAAGGGACTTTCGAACCGTTATATCAGCTTTATAGTGCCTTCCCATATATGGTAATACCGGCACTCTATCGGCAGCGACAGATTGGACACAAATAACTCTTGTTGTTGTTCTTATTTATATATTACAGACAGCGCAAATGTAGGCCAATGCTAGTGTACACGACTGTGTGATGACTACTAGTACTAGTAGTGCAAACTCAAGGTGAAGCCTGTTTGTTTTTCACCACAGGATCACCAATTAGAAAGGCAGCCATTCATGATATGGGAAATACCAGCAGACCGATGAATTCCTGCATGTACTCTTAGAGCTGGCAGCCTCAAGACATCTCAGAGATGAGTGTTTCAACTGCAGCACACAGGCTCTGGGTTGCTGGCTATCTAAGACCCCAGCATTTATAGAACCATCACATCCCACCGACAGCAGGCCTGAGCATGGTAACATGCCAGCACTGTCACACCATGGCCATGGAAGATCCCGAGGGGCTGGAAGCCTGTAGTAACATCAAAAGGATATATATATGGACATCAAGTCCTGGATTAATTCCGAGATCACCATACAGTTTAGCCTGAACGACTGCAAAAAACCTCTTATGGGGATATTCATGCCAATGTTTTTTCAACTAGTTATAGATTCAGCTTTCACCGCAGCTATGATTTAAATAAAATTGAAACATTCACTCACTTCATTCAATGCTTTGTGTCCTACTACAAGTTGCATCCACATGCTCTTATCTTTCAGGCTTAACTTTGAAATTACACCTTGGTGATTACCATCATGAAGTCCATCCTCAAGACTCTCATTGAAACCACAAAATCCTACCCTGTCATTGACAATCATGCTCACCCCCTTCTTACTGCAGAGAATAAAGCCTCTTTCCCACTCGAGGCCCTCTTTACTGAAGCAGAAGGTGATGCTATAAAGGACTCTGTCCACTCGCTATCTTGTTTTCGTGCAACTGCTCAATTGGGGCAGATATTGGGTTTGGACGAACCCTCATGGGATGACATAAAGAAAACGAGAAATCAGATGGACTACGGCGATCTATGCAACCTGCTCATGAGGCCGACCCGCATCCAATGTCTTTTGCTCGACGACGGCCTCGGAGGCGTCGCTGAAATGGCTGAGGATTGGACGTGGCATCGTCAATTCAACTGCTCCGTCAAGCGTATCGTCAGGATAGAAACCGAAGCTGAAGTACCCTCAACACCCTTAGAGCATCTGCATTAATAATCATCCCGACACAGGCTATTCTTGTCCGCATGGTAAAAGAGTCCGAGTCTGCTCCTGACTTGTTGACTCTGGCAAATTTTACGCAACAACTTCACAAGTCGCTTTCTGTCAGCGCTGCTAGTGAACAAGTTGTTGCATTCAAGTCGATTGCGTGCTATCGTACCGGCTTAAATATCGCCACTTGGAATTTACAGAATGACCTTCGCGATTCTTTCACCTCGGCCCGACAAAAGTGCGCAACAGACGGGAAGATCAGGCTTGCTCATAAGCCTTTTAATGACCATATCATCCGCGTTGCCCTTGAGATTGCTGGAGAACACAACATTCCAGGTACCACCAATTTTGTTCAGCTCCATGTCTTCTCATGCTTACTCTCTTAACAGTACAATTCCACACAGGGCTTGGGGACAATGACATCTCGTTGGCGTTTTCGTCACCCTCCTACCTGCAGCCTATCATCAAAGCTTGCCCCAAAACCCAATTCGTTCTACTTCATTCCTCGTATCCTTACACGCGTGATGCGGGATACCTGACTTTGGTATATGCGAACGTATTTCTGGATTTTGGGGAGGTGCGCCATCTCTCATTCTAGACCATCTTTCTGGTTGTACGTACGGAATTTTATCCAGATATTTCCCATGGTTTCAGCGCACGGGCAGAGAGCTGTGATCCGGCAGATGCTCGAAATAACGCCGACGAACAAGATTTTATGGTCTAGTATGTCATCCTACATTCTCGCAGTCGCGTTTCCTGAGTTATTTTTCCAGCCGATGGACATTGGTTTCCAGAAACTTATTATCTCGGTACGCTTCAAGCTAGAACCGCACTGTGCGAGGTAAACAGTCATCAGCCCATAGCCATTAAATTTCCACTGCTCACATGGCTGTAGGTCCTCTCAGAATTAGTCACTTGTGGAGACTTGACCGAAAACCAGGCGGTCAAGATTGTGCAGGACGTTCTATTTCATAACTCGAACCGAGTATACAATTTAGGACTCGAGCCAAACCTAGTACATGAAGAGAAATGATAACGGCTGGAGTCAATCTGTCGCATTATATTAGCACCTGGACAATTGATTAAGTGACCAACTGACTGCCCTTTCTGACATTCTCATGCGAGAGAAGGAATATACTTACAAACCTCTCGAGGTAGGTGTGGTGTTGAGCCAACACTTATGCATATTATCTCATTCGATTTACAGTATCATGGCAGACAAACATATAAATGGACCCAGAGAAAACCCAACGCATCCAGCATTCGGACGGCGCTTATTGAGGCTATAGGGAGCGAGACACAATTCCTCTGATTTGTCCACACCTTGATAAAGGCCTACGCACTGCGTGCGCTGCCCGGGGGCGGCAAGACTCAACCCGAAGATGCTAAGACGTCCACCATTTACCAGGAATCTCACAGCTCACGCGGTCACCGTCCATCTCGCAATCTCAAAATACAGCCTAGATCAAAGTGCACCTAAGCCATCATCTATTAGTTTACATCCGCGTCACCACATCCTTCGTCATCCGTGACGATGCTTAGACAGAGCCAAGGAGAAAAGGACTTGAAAGTTGGGGGTTGTCTCACAAAAGCAGCCATCACAGATTCTGCGCTGTAAAAAAAACTGACTTTGAGAAGCGAGCAGACAAATCGGAATAAAGGGCATACTTTTGCAAGGAAATCCAACAGCGTAGCTCATTCCCGGCGGGCATGATATAACGCTTCGGCTTGCGTATATACCTGTTAGATTGTTAGTTGAATATCTCATCAATTACGTTGGAATAGACTTACAGCGCTATCCCAATCCATTGTGTCATCCAGTAGCATGAAAAGCCCTGTTCAACTTCTTTCCACATCCAGGCCCAGTCTTTCCATCAGATTCTTCAAACGCTCCCTTAGATGCTGAAGATCCTCCAGGGTAGGCCGTGCCTCGTCAGCCCTGAGAGACTTTCCAGCCGACAGCCTATTCAACATATCCTCGAGATCCTCCATCTTCTTCTTCTCGTCAATCTCCTCCAGTTCGGGCGCGCCGTCCTCGAGATGTTCACGAGCGTGCTCCTCCGCCTCCAAGTCTCGAGGCGCGATATCGGAGAATCGAATGCTCGACAATGCTGAGGAAATACTCCGAGCCTCTTCCTGGCCCTGGTCTGTTGCAGAAGAGAGAAATGCTGCAAGAACGGACGCGATGCCCCGGAGGAGTCCCAATTCGTGTCCTATGGGCACGCCTACCTGGGCAAATCCAGCGTCGAAGCCCTCCTGTAAAGCAGCCTCTTTGCCTGCAGTTATGCCCTCACGATACCCGGTCTACATTCAAATCAGACAGTTGCAATGAATTCAGTAGAAAGGCTTCGTACATTAGTGAATTCCGATGACATTTTGGTCCATTCAGCTTCACCAGCATGTAAATCCGAAGTCACTTCTTCGTCCCAGTCGCTGTCCATTGCAACCGCAGTAGGCAGTGAAGGTTGCGGATAGGTTCAGTATTTCAAATTCCGAGTCCGCCTTCCCCTCGACAGCCGCTGTTGCATGAATTTTATCACTTAGTAACTGCCTCGCTTAGAAGAGTATCCCATGATACTTAAGAAGCTGACCCATTTACTCTAAAAATCAGAGATACATCTCACAGAAAAGTTCTTTGTCCTGAGGGACCGATCAGGGACCTCGATATGCCTATTTTCTTTATCTTTCTCTTCACTGGTATATCGAATTCCGGTTTACATTTTATTCCAAGCTGGTGAACTGGTATATTGATGCCGTAGTCTACCCACATCTTCTAAATCGTACCCGAAATCAGTATAAAAAGGACGGCGGCAGATGCTTCAATCATGAAAATGCCAGCCAACAATCTATGTACCCCACAGGCTTCATAAAGCACCATAAGCAACCTGACCATCTATCACTGTAGAGGTCACTTTGGCGTCCAAAATCTCTCCAACCGGGATTGTCATAATGTCCCGGTCCAAAACCACGAAATCAGCCTTCTTCCCCGGCACCAGGGAGCCCAAGTCCGTTTCAGCAAAAGAAGCATACGCGGCGTCCAGCGTCATGCCTTTTAAAGCTTGAGTGCGCGTCAACTTCTGCTCGGGGTACCTTTTACAACTTGGGATTTAGTATCGTGGGCTGAGAGCATACGGAAAGCTCACCATCCATCGGGACCGTGAGGTGATGTCCCGTCTATAGAGAGTCGAGATACAGCAGCGTAGAAGCCTAGAAGTGGATTTACGCCTTCGACGGGGAAATCGGAACCAAGAGGAAGGACTTTTCCGACAGAGGCTCTGTGATAGAAGAAGGTCAAGATAGGTGAAGTAAAGTTATTGAAACTGACTTGAGCAGAGACTGATACGCATATGCACCCTTCATTCTGTCAGGACCCTACAACGTGATCTTGAGAAGTAGTGAAAGCAAATTATGAGGATAAATACCAAGCGTGTCTCTGCGTACCACATATCACTTGTCCTATGGTTGCAGTTTGAGAGAGATACACTCGGGTAAGAATGAAGCTCACGCATGAGTGGGCTGGACACTAGGGATGACTAGGTGATACATCGTTCGAACGTGAGTGATTATATGTGTATGTGACGGTGATCAAACACGCACCACCAAGTCTGCCAACCCTTTCAATGTCTGCAAGTGTCATAATTTGAGAGTGTTCGATTCGAGGCCTCCATTTCGTTATATCCGTTTCTCGGGATCCATTTTGTCCTAAAATAACATCTTCTAAGATGCCTAACACAATGCTGTTGGCCTTGTCACCGATACAGTGTATATTCTTCAAAGAGCGTTAAGCAAAGAGAAAAGACAACGTAAAAGTACGAACCACTTGCCAGTCATCTTGATGGAACTGATGAACAAGCCTCGATAACGCTTCTTGTGGTATTCGCATGATACCGCTGGTTTCTGGTTTATCAGAATAGGGCGCCAGAAGGGCAGCACCCCAAGATCCCAAAGCGCCTGTCAGGTGCGGATGAATGCCTTGCTACAATCTGAATGAGTTCGCACCATCAGTAAAGAGCTTCACGCTCCTCAGATTAAGTCTACCGTCTCTCCCATAGTTTATCAGTCTACGAAGTTGAGGACCCCAGTATTCGTCAGAAGACACGCTTCCCATAAGATAAAGTCGAATCTAATGAATCGTACAATGCTTTCGGCTTATAAAATGATATCTTCACTTACGGGGAGAGTCCCTGTTTCGGCTTGCCTCAAATTTATGTCAGAAACGCCACCTTCAGTGTCTCGAGGTTGGGACTTACTTCATCAGAAATTCGATGACCTCGAGCTCAGCGGCGGCGTCGTGAACAGACGTTAATCCATACTGGAGTGCCATCTTCATAGTGATTTCAAAGAAATTGGACAATTCTGCTTCAGTGTATTTTGGATGCGGGATAATCGACATTGCGTTGTCCAAAAATACGCCTAACAGGCGTCAGAATGGGGCGGTATCTCGTTGCAAGTGCGCACCAGTGGACCGTCCTTCGGAGTCACGAACGATGATTCCGCCTTCTATTTCTGATGGCATATTGTCACCGATGAGTTCGAGGACGCGAGTAGAAACCCATGTAGCATGAACATCCACTCTATACAAGGCAATAGGTCTGCCTGAGAGGAGTGGGTCCGTGGACAAATCTTCCTTGAAGTATGAAGGTTCAGAATAACATCTGGTAATCAGCAAAATGGTGCTTACTGCAGTGGGAAATTCACCGCCAGGCCATTTCGTTTGATCCCATCCCATTCCTTGGATCCAACGTGTTGGATCACGTTCTACGTCAGGATGGGACAGAATGTACGTCTTGATAAGATCTATGACATCTTTTATTTTGATAAATAAATCTCGTCAATATCATGACAATGCGTGCTCACCGGGCACAGACCTGGCTTTCTCTAACTCTAACTGCATCTTGAAGCCATTCTGGATGATATGGGCATGCGAATCTGTCCATGTGAGTCGTGTTCTGTGTCTTTTATCATACTAAGGAAATAGTACCTGCAAGTCCTGGAACGACAACAGACGTTGGTGGTATAGTAATTACTTTGGGGGACCATTCGAGAAACTTGGAGATCCATGCAGGGATATAAGGCCTAAGAGTAAGTGGTATCAATGGATATTTATTCGCAAAGTCAGCTAAAAAAAAGTTGTTCATTATTATGACACCGCATAACATTTCAAACACCAACCAAGGTTTCCAGTGCCTGCTATTCGCGAACCAACGACAGATAGGCATTCCACCCTCGGATGAGCCTCGTCGACGGTATAGATATTGCAGGTAGACGAGCAGACGACCAAGCGGGATGTATATGGGTAATTCCAAGCAACGAGAACGACGCCAAGGATGCCAAAAAGCCAGAATATGTTCGCCCTTGGCCAGGGAGGGTTTGTTATCTTCGCGTCCGGCATGGCGGTTCCGATCGAAAGTCGTCATGTACACGTGATCATGCGGAACTCTTCGAGACTTCCTGCCGATCTTGATCTTTTACGAGCAACGCCCATGGAGCCGCCAGTTCCAGACTCTGCATCCATCCAAGGCGCCCACAAAAGGGCCCTCCATGGTAAAAAATCGATAGCTAAATATCCAAAGGCTTTCGATTCACCAGCATACGATGCGTACGTATGTTATTCTTCAAGTGTCTGATTAAGGCTGAAATCCAGAAATTCAGGTCTGAAGAAGACAACGATCCGTTGACGGACGACGGCTCTTCAGCTGTATCTGTACCGGCGCCCTCTCGATTTCCAAATATTTCTGCAAAGTTGAACAGTACCTCCAAGGGGACAGTTACTCGCGCCAAGCATCATTTGGCCTCCAGCTTCCTATCCGACTCTGACGGCGTCGATTCCCCCACCTACGACGGTGACATCGAATCCAGTACAACAGCAGGCCCAGATATCGTTTCGTCCAAGATATCCCATCACCACCACGCTTCGTCGACATCCACCCTGAACACCCCAATTACGCCTGCTTTTCTACCACCTACCCTTCATTCCGGAACCATAGATTCAGCATTAGCGTCACGGATGCACAAGAATGAGGTCACCTCACCAGTCTTTATAACCAGCCCCTCCATACCACCGCAGGTCCCGGAAGAACCCACAGTACCGACGGCATCCCAAGAAGCCTTCAATCCAGCGGCCTTGACTAAGGAAGACATCCAGGCGTTCGTTCAAACAGCAATCGATGGTGAGACGTGGCGAAAGTACAAAATCAGTAAACCTCCCATCGATAGACCTGTCCGTATCTATGCCGATGGTGTGTTAGCTCTCTCTCTCTATCGGCGTCCCACTCTGACAGCGTGAATACAGGTGTTTACGATCTCTTCCACTTTGGGTGCGTCTAAATTGTCCCGTCTTACAGCACTGTTGATACCAAGGAAGGGTGTCATCAGCCATGCGCTCCAACTTCGCCAGGCCAAACTAGCTTTCCCATTCGTCTATCTGCTCGTGGGCGTTTGCTCTGATGAACTTGTCAAGGCCAACAAAGCGCGCAGTATTATGGTACACGCTGAACGGTGAGAGCGACACCTTTGAATCATAGTCAATCTCCCTCAAACGTGCGTCGGCTATAGCCTAGAAGCAGCAAGACACTGTCGATGGGTTGATGAAGTCGTGCCCGAGGCACCCTGGATCATCGATCAAGAATTTTTGGACAAGTATCAAATCGATTACGTCGCCCATGATGAAGATCCATACGTCGCTGAAGGACACGAAGACGTATACTCTTTTGTCAAAAGCCAGGGTGCGTCGCACGCCTCATTTATATGCTTTTGATTGACAGCATAGCTACAGGCAAGTTCATTCCTACCCGAAGGACTCCAGGTGTGTCGACCTCAGAACTTTTGGAGCGAATCGTCTCGGGATATCGAAGACGAGACTTTGATGCGAAACTGGTCAAAATGGGACACGCAGAACTGTGCGCAGAAGGTAGTGATTATGATGAGATGAGCAGTAAAAGTGCTAGTCGATCCATGAGCCCAACATAAGAGGTGCTTCGGATTGGCGTGTAGGTCATTCGATTGTATTGTCACTCAAATGTTCAAACACTACTATAGACCTGTCTAAATAAATACAGTGCTGACTACCTTTATGAACTTCAAGGCTAGCGAAACGGAAGCCATTTATCGGTGGTAGGAATTTAAGACCTTGCTGCAAGAAGAACAGAACGAACCATATGACAATCTCGATATTTTGATGCGGTCTTTCATGTTTGTTGGTTCACCGTTCCAAAGTAAGAGCCATCATTCTAGAATGTAGTTTGTACTTGACGGCTTTGCTAGCTCATTCACTCATCACCTCATGTTCTGCTCTCGTGGTCGAGCATAGTGATTCCCCCAAACCCAGCGGACCGGAAGTCAGTGTTCTCGTGACAAAACATCAATGCTAGAAAGCCAGAAACCGTTCGACGGGAACAAAATCGGTTACAGGACTTTGACGAGATGACTTCGCATCTCTGACACGACACCCGCCCTTCTTTCATGATGAAGACGGCGTTGTGCGCTTACAAGCCGGGCTTGCCTAGTACACCTTCAACTGCGCTCTTTTCGCTGTTAATATCGGGACATTGCTCTGCTGTATAGACTCCAGTATCATATCGACGATTTGCACCGTATGCGGGCACGTCTCCCTCCCAAGCCGCCAGTAAATTTCGACTAAGCATCTTTCCGGTGCTGGGAGTTTCTAATTAGGGTCCCACGAGGCCAATTCAATTCGGCGCCGGATGGGCTATAATTGCTGAGGCCATCCAGGCTGGGTCAGAATTAGCATCCATGTAGATCACGAATGCCATGCTTGAAATCTTTGAAAATGTTTCAATAAGACTCGAATAGCACACAGCGTTAGTTAATGCTCAAGGACCTCAAGAAGTCTCGGTCAATCTCTGGCACCACTTCTGTGATCTCCCCATCTCTCGGGACAACTTCCCACTGCGTAGGTGGATTACCGATAAACAAACATATGTCCTCAGGTAAGTGCGCGCCGTGTTCCACGTTGAAATGTTCCCGAACCAGCTTCTCTTCTATGAGAATCTTTCAGGAGATGTCAGATAGGAGTAATCCATGGTATCTCACCGTCAGTCATAGCTTCCAGCTGGGCATTCATTCCGCGCACGATGTTCTCGGCTGCTTCCGAATACACTCTCCGTCGCTCGATTTCAAGGATGAGCTTTCCGAACGCCGTACGATACAATATAAATCGGTCATGCAGATTTTCAATCGTGAGAAGCTGCTGATGGAGCTCCGATAATTTCTCTTCGCATTCGGCTTCGACGGAGTCCTGCGTTTCCAGCATTTCTGTCATGATATCCCCCAACTCATCAAGATCATCTAAAATATCATGAAGACCATCAAGTTGGACCTGCGAAGAAGACTTAAAGTTGACGAAAGTGCCACTGGAGACGTTGGTGAAGATATATGATATATATGGGTGAGGGGATGCGAGCTTACTAGACAGTCTTGACAGAAGCTATGTAATCCTCTAGATCAGCCATGATAGCAGGCAGTTCCTCCGTGTCGCGGTTCATCTCTATAGATCACGTTAATAGAAACGTTATGCCATGGAACGCAACCCACCCTGCAGGTCCCCATCACTAAACGCCTCCCCAGCCTCACTATCCCTCAAGGCACTCGCCATTTGATCATAATGACCCGTAAGACTCTCCAAAAGCTTCGCCATAGCATGGATCGTTTCATCCTGCGAATTTAGATGACTCTCGATTGCAGCCGGGGGAACCTCATCAGGTAGCGAGTTTCGTATACTCGTTATTGTACTTCTTAGAACCTCAGGAAATTCATCTGTCCTGCCTAGGATATCCTGGCTGAAATGAGATGGGCATAGCGCGGAACCCGTGCGGCACAGCACGTACGTCTAACACGAGTCGTTCATTCTCCAATGTATCCATGATTTCATCAATGGCTCGGTCGTCCACAAAATCGCGCAAAGTCTTCCACGTCGTCCTATCGGCCAGCAGCTTATCATGAATTCTGACAGTAGCTGATGGACTGCGCTGTGATGATGGAGGCTTCTCCTCCTCATCTGAATGCTGGCTCCCGAATATTGACGACCCTCTAGACGTTTGGTAAAGTTCTGGCGGTACACGCTGAGATCCCAAGGATTCCAGGACATTGTCAAGAGCATTAGAGCGCTTGATGCGTGATTGATCCCATTCCTAGGTCAAGGTCAATGTCTGAGTAAGGGGCAGAAACGGCTGACCACACCTGCACTTCTTTGCTCAGCCTTAGCCGTCTTTCCTCTATACTCTTTGCTACACCCGCTGCCAGCTAGATAGATTCCACAGCCATTAAGCCATTATTCCACTGCAATATAAGTAGACAGTAACACCTTGAGTTGCTCTACCACGGCGTCAGTGATCCATTTAATCTTGGCATCCAGAGCAAAGATGTCCACAGCACACTGCGTTGTAGCATTTGAGATATCATTTGCACCATGGCAGAGCTGTTCACCGTGCTGTAAAGCCTTTTTGGATTGTAGAACAAGAGAAACCAAGTGCGGTTGTTCGACGGTGGACATGAGTCAGAGCAGGACGTGTGCGGCAAATACCGATACCGCTTTCTTTGATGCTAAGAGATGATACAATCTAGGATCTTGAAAAGTTACTCCATCTTGATTGATCAAATGCCTTCTGATATCATCCTGGTGACGCTGTTAGCCGTCATAGCAGACACTGGCATGTAACGGAACAAGAATATCTAGTGAACCTGAGCGTACGGTAGCGAGGGATGCCCCTCTAGTGTGTAGTGGTATCTGAACAAAAACTGCTACAGTAACAAAGCAAAAGAAACATTACGATACAGCACATGAAACAATACAATAAATAATACAGACAGATCTAGTCGGAGCCACCGCCCGCGAGCACCAATATTATCCTGCAAGCAACATCCATGAAAAGATAAGGAGAAACAACGATGTCATCCTCCTTCACCAATTTGCTTCCAGAGTCCGGCGCTGTAGCACGCTCCATGTCAAACTTCCCCGCACCGGGCTGGGTTGACGCCCTATACGTCTTTTTGTGGTGAAAATCGACCAGGAAATTAATGGAGTCAACCATATACAGCTGTAGGTTTATCAGGACCTGAATTCAAGTTCAGTACCATTATCAAGGGAAAATACGTTTCATATTCTTACCACGACATTATGCGCTCTTGCCCTAGTCTCGATGAAGTAGATCCCAGCAGCCGCCTTTTGGTCCACTGTACCTCCACCGTCCAGGTCCTTCACCCTCTCGATACCCACACCGCCCATTCCTGGCTTCGTCATGACCCCGCCTAAACCACCCAAACCTTGCTTCTCCTTCCACTCCATTCCCAGCTCTTTCAAGACCTTGTAAATTTCCAGCATAATTTCCATTGGGGGACTTCGACTCCGTATACCAAAGTGCCACTTTGTCCTGTGATGCCTTTTCTCTCTCCCTGCGGAGCGCTTGGCAGAGGCGTATGTGGTAAGGTGGTGTTCACCAGGAGGCAATGAAGAGTTTAGGACTGAAAAGTTGGCGGACGCCTCTACGTCCGAGTCGGTCGGAGAGAATCCAAGATCAGAGTCATCAGAATAAGAGTCGTCTTCGTCGTCAGATACAGGAGTGGCGCTGAAGGCTTCATCAAATGGATTGTCTTCCAAGTCGTTTCCATTCGCAGATAATGTATTCGGTGTCAGGACGTTTCGAGGCTGTCATAGAAAGTTAATTATGACAGATAGTCATCAATGTCATGCTCACGTCCAAAACAGCCTCCTGTGCATCGCGGTCTTGCTCTGCGAAAAGTGCGACTGAGAGAACTAGATTAGTCGGAAAGTATCATGAGACTTGAAGAAACTTACGATCTTTGCCAAGCTGTTGCTTATCCTTCAGTAACATATATGCGACCTTTACAGCATTTCCCTGGACGCCATCATCCCTTCGTAGACACTCCCAAATAGCCTTCTTGGTCACGCCTTCCATTCGGGCAGCCAGATCGGCCACAATGCCTTCATCAATTCTACCCAGCCCTTCGACAATTTCAAAATCCATTGGTTTCGCCGGCGATGAGACCAGTGAGGTCAACGTACCAAGTACAGGGCCTGGTGGGGGTGGTAGTGGAGACAAGTACCGAGGAAGGTCCGTGGTGAAAAACGGGTGCTGGGTAATCTCGTGTACGGTTATCCGTTTCACGGGATCGACAGCGAGCATGGAATTGATGAGGTGCTTCGCGTTATCGGAGAGGTATGATGGTATGTAATATTGGCCTTCTAGTAGGGTAATCGTAATTAGTTTAGAGCATGCAGAGAGACAGACTAGAACCCATCCAGACTCACGAATGATTTTGTTGAAGAGAACACCGACATCTTCATCTTCAAACGGTAATCTCCCACACAACATGACATAGAGAATCACACCACAACTCCATACATCAATCTCAGGACCAGCGTACACACCTCCACGAATGACCTCGGCTGATCATATGAACATGAGCTTCCAATGCGTAGCGGAAGACTGATATTACGAACGTGCTGCATAGTTCGGACTCCCACAGCTGGTGCTGAGAAAGTCGCCGTCCCTGATCTCGCTCGACAAACCAAAGTCGGCGATTTTTACGTTGAGATTGTCGTCTAAAAGCACGTTTTCTGGCTTGAGGTCCCTGTGGACGATCTTCAGTCTGTGTGAGTATTCGATACCAGAGATAATTTGCTGGAAGAAAAGGCGTGCGCGAGGCTCCTGCATACGGCCATGCTTTACGATGTAGTTGAAAAGCTCGCCCTTGGCGTATTCTAAAACAAAAATGATGTCCGTGGGAGTAGAGATTACTTCGTATCTGGGTGGAAAGGATTGAGCGTCCAAGGAAGAGAAACCTGGAACAGACGCACAGCTTGATGATATGTGGATGTCTAAGCAACCTCATGTACTCGAACTCTCGCCGGACGCGCGGTTTCGTGCGTTCCCTTTGTACAGCGGCCTTTGATATGTACTTCATCGCCACTTCATGTCCGGTGATCGTATGCGTGGCCTCTTGTGAACAAAAATCAATACGGCAGGCATCACGAGCATGATGGGCGCTCAACGAACTTTTCACGATGCCAAACGTCCCCTCCGCGATGTCCTTTGTAACCACGTATTCGCCCAATTTTGAGGCTGGGTATATCGTCGAAGAGGAAGAGGACATGATGGGTCAAAAGGAAGGCTTTGCTTCCGCCGAGCGAAGCGAGCTACGGTGGGAGAAAGGAACTGAATTGTACAAATATTTGCATGGAACTGGAATTTCAATGCATCTTATCTTATCTACAACATACAATTTACATCATTCTGAGTTGGCCAATCAATTCAGAATCGGCCCTGACATCACAGTCGTCTCTCGATGAAACTTTCAATTACACCAGCAGCCGTCAAAGGGTATTCTTTTAGCTGCACTTCGCCGTCGACGACAAACATATTTGGCTGGACAAAGATCTTTCGAGGCTATGCGAGGCAGCCATCAGAACGAGCAAGGAGAACGTATGGAAGAATACTGACAAGCTTCTTCTTCAAAACGATGTCTCGGATCTTGCCCTCCCATCCAGAGATAGGTTCTGTCAGCGTCTTGTAGAAGTCTCGGGAACCGGCACCATCTGCGGTACTTTTCCGGACTTGTAATTCCACCAGCAATTGACCAACGACCTCCTTTCCTTTGGACAACACTTGTTCCCGGTCGACCTAATAGAACCAATTAGTCAAGGTACTTGACGCTAAAAAGCAAGACATACCCGGACATAGACGTTCTCGAGTTCACCGCTAACGTCCGTGATTAGTTCAAGTCTTGCAATGCCAGCTCGAATCAGGTATTGGGTTATCCCCATTCTAAAATTTTGCGCTGTCAGAGCGCTCTCTAACGGTAATGCCGATTCGCTTGCCTGGCTTGCATATGTGCTTGTCCGTGCTTCTTTGTCGATGGATCATAGAACTCTAGGGCCCGCAGACCAGCCCGGGCCATGAGCAAGAACGTGATGTACTGGATATCTTCAATTTCTTGCTTGTCGACGTACTGAAAGCAATGCGTTAAAATCGTAACAAGGAGATGCTTCTGAGACACTCACGTTGAAGATCTTAAGGATATCAAGGTTGCTAACCACTGGAAGGACAAAGGTGAGAGGCGCATGAATGAGTACAGGTCCTCTTACAGTAAAGCGCTACAGTCTCCGCTCGACATTCTTCCATCGACGAGGACACTTCGCCCAAAACAGAGTCCGGCGTCTGCCCCGGCTTATACCATGAAGTTCTAAAAGATCCAGTTAATTAAGTAGGAGGTCCACAAAATAGACACACATCGGTTTTCCAGTCAAAGGGTTTATGATCTAAACAAGGAATCTTAGATCGCGCAAGCATCATTACTAGCTGAAAACCTTTTCGGGATCAAAGTTACGTTTCCCATCAGCACTTTCTTGGAAAAGTTTGCCGGACCCGTGGCCTAAAAGTTCGTGGTTAGCCACCTGGAGTTCAAACGCACGGCTATCCCAAGTGTTGTATAGTTCTACGTCGTCCGGATGGATGAACGTCAGCTCCTCGTCTATTCGTCACGTCAGCCGAGTCGCGACATGGTAGTCAAGTGAAAAACGAACTGGGTGCCTTGGCCGCCAAAATGTTCTGTAACAGGATCATCAATAACCGCACCATAAACGATTATGAGGGGAGGATATACCGCAAGCGAAACATTCTTAAACCCCGTACTTTCCCGGACTTCGTAATAGTTCTAAATCCCCGTAAGTCCTGTCTGATCATCTTAAAGGGCCAACACACTGGTATCTGTCATAATATCAGTCAGACTAGGCATTATGAACTGAGGTAACAACATACATTAATTCCGGCAGGAATGCCTAAGGGCGGGTGAGTTTACAAGGAATGCCTCAATGGGTAAATTCTTACCTCCTGTTGCAAATGATACAACCTCTAAAGCGGTAAAGTCCGGCTTCCTGAAGACGTCTACCTCAAAGTCCGTTCCCCAAGGGAGACTCTTGATCAATTCAGGAGCCCCGTTGACCAATGCTTCGTATTTCGCACTCAGCTGCTTGTTGACGATGGCAGTGAAACCTATAGCCGTAAGCACAAATTCTGAAAGAGCTTTTTTAATACACTTACCCTCCCACTCCGCGCGTCCACCATATGGATCAACATAAGTTTCGACGAACTAGAATCAAATTAAGAATCATTAAACACCTCAAGGGCGGAAACATTACCCCAATATAAGACTCGACAACAGGTCCAACGTCTTTCACCCACTCCGTTGACGCAGCTTTGTGTTCTGGGATTGATCCCGATTCGAAGCTATACAAGTGTTGTTCGAACACCTGGTCTGTTCCCTGGTCTATCACTCACGATTTGATATAGCCCTCAATCATTGCCGATTGATGATTGTTCGCGGTATATTTTTTGGCCTCTTGAAGGGCGCCGACGACCTTCGTTAGTGACGACGCGTAGTCACCATACTCAACGGTCAATTTGGCCGGGGTTGAACCCATTTGAAAGTCATGCACAGTAGGGGGGATGGCTTTTGCAGACGCAACCAAAAGCGTGTAATCGCCCGCGCCATTCTTCTTTACCCTGTGAGAAAATCATTATTAGAAGAGGGATGTTATAAGATGGCACACATACCGAGTATTAAGGATATCAATACCCAGCTTCTCAGCAGCACTTTGAATAGCACCGACTTCAACATCTCCGACAGGTTCGCCGAGATAGTAATTTGATACGTGACCATCCTTCCTTTTGCCAATGAATAGCGCCGACTCTGGAGAAAGTGCATATATGTGGTGTTTCAGCTAAGGGAGAGTCATTTACAACAACATAGATATATATTGATAATTACCTTAGCGAATAGAGCTGACGCTTGGTCTGCGTTACTGGAGACTTTGACTACTGCCTCAAACTTGTCGGAATCGATGCGGGGAATGATCTTCGTAAATCCGAACGTCTTGTAGTTGACGAGATTGCTCAAGACCTAAGAAGGAGTGTAAGGGGCACAACACGAGCAAAAACTTGGACTGACTTGGACCGTATACTGGATCAAAGCCTCCCAGTCGTCCTCCGAAAGATCTGACGATTTCTTGAGCACATCCAAGTCGGCGAGCTTTCCATTTGTACTGAACGTAAGGATCAACAGATCATATAAATCTGGAAAGCCGAGATGAAATCGCACACATAGGAAGACGGTAAATTACATACCTGTTGCCTGCGCGGTCCACTGAGCCTGGATAATTCTTGCACCCGCCCAAGAAGCTTCGGTTAAATAATGCGTGTAGAACTTCTCCTTGAGGCTTTGCATGGTGAGCTACAACAAGTGCATATCCTCACCGACCCCCTTACCTGAGTTGAGCAAATGACTTGCCTACATCCATACCGCACAGAGGAGCAGACCTATCTGCTAGGAATCGCTCGCCGTGGATCGTTGCGGTGATCATTGTTCTGCGGCGAGTATTTAAGCGAAGAGGTCTGGTATACGACGAGAGGTGATGAACGCGTGTGTATAAGCTCCGAATGCCATTCTGGAGCATTGATTGACCTCGACAAGGAAGAAATGTGACTGGCTGGCGATAAGATCAAAGATAAGATCGGATATCCCAATCACGTGCTGTTGCTTACCCCCGTGTCGCGGTGAGCGACGACCGAATTATCCCAAGTAGACCACCATCCGAAGTGCTCTCACTCCCGCTCTACCGTATTCAACAATCATACTTGAAGGTGCGTCTAGTAACACCTTGCTACTGTTGAGCTCACCTTATCGTTTAGACTCCAGTGACAGGGATATGTCACTTCTAACACATATTGATAATGAATCATATGCCAGCGTGGAGGATATCAATGATGAAACACGAAAATTCTCAAATGATGAAGAATCTTCTTTAGGTATCGAAATTGTTGCAAATTGCCCCTTACTCTTGTTCATATATATATATAGAAAGCGACGAGAGCGAGGGTATCAAGGTTGGTGGACTCAAGGCATATTCCGTTGGGAGAGACCCACTATCATGCAGACAGAGAGTGCTACAACGAAAGATAAGCCCTTAGACAACACGATATCTTACCATCAGGAGATGCTAGCATCTACTAGTAGACCGTCTAGTGGCGGCCTGAATGTGTCAAATAATAACGGCGGCACCGGCCAACGTCTGTCAGGGAAGTCTACGGTACGTATGAGGTGGATGGTTTTCATTGAATTTGCCTGTTTACGGATAGCATCTCCCCTTTAGCCTACAGAGCACCCACCCTTTCTATCCCACTCTTGTGCTGGAATACCTGAAAAGAAAAAAATAAGTGATCGTAAACTTCACATGCAAGAGGAACAATGCCATGTGCGTCTTTTAGCCTTCACTTTGTATATGATTCATTACTCTGATTCTCTTAACCACGCTAGAAATTATGGGTAAAACATAGAGAACGACTTGGATACCGAAGACAAACCGTGACGGAATCAATGTCCGCTTATAAGGCCGATGTTCTCATCCCTTTGCTAAAGGCACTTTTGGAAGAACCAGATGATGTCATCTTCAGCGCGCGAGCCATGCCTTCCGAAGAGTATGAGCAACTCTTGTTTCTGGAATATCCGTGGCTCGAACAGCGTCTTCAGAAGCAGTCCACTTTTCCAGGCCTTTGGTCACTCAGAGCACCTATTTTTGACACCACAGTGAGTCAACGAATCTGCGATACAAGGTTTATAACAAACCCAAGTTTATTGTACAGTGTTCCGAATGCAGGAGAGATGACATCCGATGCGAGGCAAGAGCGATTGGTGCTTGCATTAACGATCCCGCAGGGCGAAAGAAGTACTACGGCCTTTCTTGTAAATACTGCCTTGCTTTACACAAGAGGGGCTGTGACGCTTGGATGCATTGTTGGGATGTTCCGTATCAACTAAGGTCGCTGGAGAAGAAAATGGACTCTGGTCTAAAAAGCGCGGAGGGACAACTAGCTGGCAAAGAAGATGTAAGGGATAGACTGAAGTCTGAGAAGCAGGAAAATGCAGTCGCTGCAGCACGCACTGCTTACAGGAACCCGCCGTTGTTTATGGATCTAAGGGCGTGCGCCGTGCGTATATTTCCAGTGTTTTTTCTCCAAGTGTCTCATCATCGCGGGTTAGAAAATATGGCGTGAAAATCGGGATCGGCTCGGATACCGGGAAAGACTCGTATCCGAATCGTTAGACGACTACACAAGCAACGTTCTCGCACCCATGCGTGATGCCATTCTCGCAGAACCTGATGACATTGTGTTCAGTGCACGAGCGATGGGCTACTCTGCGTATAAACGTCTTCTCCTACTAGAATATCCTTGGCTTGAGGCGACTGAAGCCAAGTATTCCATCCGGGAAAGAGCTCCATCATTGAAGTATTGGTCATTGAAAGCGCCCGTCTTTGATGCTGCCGTGCGTTTGCGCATCCTACTTCTCTATGTCATCTTTCTAACGCGTTTTAGTGTGCCCGGTGTCGACGGGATAATATCCGGTGTGAAGCAAAAGGGATTGGCGTGCCCGTCCATGATCCGCAGTGTTACAAAAAGTATACTGCTCCCAGTCTCAGTTGCAAGTACTGTGCCGCCATCCAGGCGAGCCCATGTGGTGCATGGATGCGTTGCTGGGGAATCTCCAACCCGGGGGTGGCAGCGGAGAATGTGATGAAAACCGGCTTGAAGGATGAAAAAGTCAGGATGAGAATCAAGTCCGTACAGGAGGCACAATTGAAGCTATTCACAAACCATCAGGGGGTGCAGGTAGAAAAAATTTCGCAGGTGAATAAAGCGCCGCGTGCAAAACGAAGCGAACAGGCACTGGATCAAGACAAGGCGAAGTGGGAGGAAGAAAGGGCTTTGGTTCGTGATAGTGCCGTTATACGTTCATCTGCGCTGTTCGGAGGTCATGTATTGGAAGCTGGGCATTCACAAGAACTGCAGTCAGAGCCGAGCACATCTACATCTGGGAAAGAAAAAATTCTGGATGAAAACAGGGTCTGGACACAGCGGATAGTAGATTGGAGCAGCGCCGATGTCCAAACGCAAGATATCCCCACCGATCTCACTTCAAATGTGACCCTGCCGGGCATAGATCGAGCTGTGTGCATTGACGAAGGATTCAATTCATTCTCCCCCACGTCGCACCCATCGAGCCAAGACTTTAGGTCAGATCTAGTATTGACCTACCCATCTCCCTCGGAACTTGTTTGCAACGCCGAGGACAGCTCTCTTTGCAGCGATAACATTCACCCCTCAAACAATCCACGCGAGAATACACATTTGGGGAAACGAACTTCTGAAACCGCCTTCGGCGCTGATACCATACATGAACGCGATGCTAGCCTGTATTCTCTACCCCATCCGCTATTGACTGCTGAGTTGTTGCATGTGCGCACGGGCATTCAGCATAAGAATATTGGGGAGGATTCTTCATGGCATTCAGTTGAGTTTGAAAGCACCGGTGGAGACCCCCTCGACGCATTCAGCAGCCTCAAGAAAACTTTTACTGATATCATCCGAGAGTCAAAAGCCGATAATACTGACCTGATAACAGAGCTTGAGGTTGTCAAGATGCATTGCAAGAAATTGGAGGAGTCGGAGGCTCATTATAAACAGGAGGACTCTCAACTGAAGGCGGATAAACTACAATTAGAGGAAAATCTGAAGAAGTCGTTGCTGAAAGCTGCCGAGGCCGATGAGAGACTGAAGTTAGTTCATAGGATTATTGAAAAGACACGAAGAGACTGGCAGATTCCAATGACTTGAGTACCCACATCGACCAATGGATTGTATCATCAAACCTCGCCACCCAATATCGAAGTGAGAGTATTATTAAAAATGGAAATATCTGAATAAGAATGGGATTTAATGCTTAGCTACAGAAACCTTGAGTGGGAGCTGGCCGGCTTCGCCTTTGACGAATGGTTGTAAGGAAGGTGATATAAACCGCTCTATAAGGGCACCCGTGTCGTGGAACTCGAATGATCTTATCAAGAGGGCAAGGATGACCTTAACTTCCAAAATTCCTGTTCGTACGAAGTGTCCAGTCAATTGATCCATGCGCTACTGATAGAAGAAGATGTATTACCTAAACGCCATCCGATGCAAAGCCTAGGTCCTTCGCAAAACGTAGCAAGGTTGCTCCAAGGCCCGTGAGGAAGATCTTCAGCTGGTGGAATTCCACCCGTAGTCAGCCATCGTTCAGGTTTAAATTCGTGAGCGTCCAGCCCCCATACATCAGGGTTCACGTTCATCACTGTGAAAGGAAGGACGAATACCTGAGAAAGGAGTAAGATGGATCCCCATAGCTTTTGCACAACCAAGTACAAACCTGACCAGCCTTGACAGGAAGCGCCGTTATGACTTCGCCATTCGAGAGTCTGATAGGATTCCTGAGAGGGATTATATCGTCATGAGTAGCTACGCGTTCTGTTCGGGGAGCTGCAGGGTTTAGGCGAAGCCTGGTGAAACAAGGACACTTAGTTCCGTTCTGAAAGCGACTATCAAAACCATACCCTTCCCGTGCAACGGCGTCAAGATAAGGAAGCTTCTGGATGCTCTCGTAGTCGAATTCGCCCTCGAATCTTTGTAGTTCATCACGAAGCTTCGCTTGCTTATCCGGGTTTTTAGCCAAATCTAAAAGAGTGAAATGGACAACTGAGGAGGACGTTTCATGTCCGACCATCCTACATCAGTCCGTCAGTCCACCGCATGAGATCCGGCCGAGAGGGACTGACAAGAAAGTGGATATCTAGGGACATCGAAAATAGGTCAGCACGAGTTGCGACGCCACACAGTATAAATAGATGGACTTCACATTTTCCAACAGCTGACTATCGGTGAGATATTCGCCTGTCCCTTTTTTATTCTTGGCCCATGATTCCCTAACCAAAAGGGAAAACATATCTTTGCCCTCGAGATGGTTGGGGTTCTCCACGTGTTCCCTCAACAGATTACTCGACAGTCTAAGAGTAATCGCCTTGATCGTGCCATCGTTCTTCAAAGCCGGTATCGGGAGCTTTGGAATCCACGGGAAGAGACTGATCAGAATAGGCAGAAGGAAGCTCGGAAATTTTCGGCCCTGGACCACATCTTGCTGCCAAGATGTTCGAATAGCCCTTGCGTCTTCATTGTCGTAACCGAAATCATGTCCAAAGCCGACCCGTCCGACGACCTCTAGGCTGTATATTCGGGACTTGAGCACTAAAATTTAGATATTGTAGAAGAGGCCAAAGCGCACGTGCAAGGGGACATATAATCGTTTACATTCAGGACGGCAGCTCCTCCTTGAGCATCGATATCGCGCTGGAACTTCTGGACGACCTGAAAAAACTTCAGCATATGAGCAATGATGCTACACTAATTTAACTTACCTTTCCAGCACACTCAAAAACGTCATCTGCCATGCCCTTCACAGCACTAAGGCTAACCACAGCAGTCAATCCTTACACTTCAGATTGAGTGAAGAGCCAACACACGTGAATGCTGGTGCGACCAGTTTGCGTTGATGCCTATGCTCATCGTCTTCAGCCCATACGAGTCCTCGTCCAATAAAAGATTTGACGATAGGCCGGAAGGCCGGAGCCTTTACTGTGGAAAACACAATTCGTTAACATTCAATTATAGAAGGGAAGCATTGGCAGGTTGCTAACCATACTGTTCAAAGACAATGAGGGGATTTGATCTTAATTTATTTTTATTTTTTACGAACATGTAACTCACCGAATAAGCGTTTTGAAAAATGTGCGCGACTGCAACATTGTCCACCACGAGGAGCTACAAATGCTATTGGGTCAGTACCGGAACCGAATGATGATACTTCAGAGTTTTACTGACCGCATCACGCTGAAACAACGCGGCTTTGAATCTGTAGACCTGACCACATGTTTTCGCCCAATGAAGATACCATTCGCAGACCTCGCCCTTGAAAATATTTAGTTCGTGACCCCAGATCCAACTGGAGTCCTTGGCGGGCTGCATTCATGTGAATACGAAGCCGAAGAGATATTGAAGTGTCCTCACAGCGATAGGGAGCTTATTAACGATCGAGCGCCTTGATGATAAGTACCGCGAAACGGACGAGACGCAGATAACAAAGCATAACGAGTACAGCAGCAGCGTGGTAGATGGATAGTTTGTGATCTCCATCGCGGAGAGGACTTTGGAAATTGTTGAAGTTACGAAGGCATCCTATATATGTTGGAAGCTGCGATTAAATCATCAACGAGAATTCTAGATGAGGGTCCCTCCAAGGTCGGTGTAATCTCTTTTTCCATCGGACCCTCAGCCTGGTGAAGTTTGCGCAATGATTGGTACAGGTAATTAATTTGGTCCAGGGATCAGGGTGATCAAGAAGATTTGTACCCGCGTGCCAACAAGACCCAAGTAATGAATGATTCGAGAATTCTGATGTTGAGATTCCGGACGAGTTGAGAAAAAGCCGCCAACCAGTCCTGCAGGAGAGGTGCAGTCCAAACCACAGTAACAAGCAGCAAACTAAGAAGTGACGCAGCAACTACACGGCAAGGAGGATTCAATACCAGCAGAGCAAAGACGCCCCTTAGTTGCTTCCCTATAAATTTAATGATACGAACAGAAATCAGGCGGTTCCGACGGAGTCCGGTTATCACGCGTGCGTTCATCCGCACGGACCCGAATCGTCTTTTTCTCCCATGCTGCCGCGAGCCTGCAGTGTCACTTCTTTTGCTTCTTCACATATCCTCCGTGTCCGAGTCAGTTTTAATTGAATGAAAATGAAAATTACAACGCCACGGCAGTGCCCAATCAAATTCAACTTTGCTCAAACTTTGCTTCAGCTTTTCCCTGGACACTTGAGTTTCTCGAATGTTGAAATCACTCCGGTTGCAGACCTTTTTACGTGCAAGGAGTTAATGTGTTGCTGGATGTCTGGTCTCGACTCCTGAATATTGCGATGTGGAGACTTGGCTCGCCCTCCTTTATGCTTCCCTGGGCGCACCTGTCCCACGCGACTGAAATTTACAATAATTATCAACCCTATCTGTATGGTGGCATCGCTTTTCTTTGCTTCTGATTGACCCTTTTCTTCTTGTTATATTTCCTTCCAGGACAGTGGTGAGAATCTCTCTTTTTCGAAGTCAGACCGCCATATTTGTCCTTTTGGGAGTCTCTCAATCTTTCTGTGCCCTGTCCACGCTTTCAATTTACGTGAATCTGGGCATATATCCTATATTGCGTTATTGCGAAGTCCCTGCGCAGATGTCTTGTCGGCGGCTTCCACAGCAGGATAAGCAGTTCATCCTACATCTTCCTGATGGCGATGTGCTAGAGACCAAAGCATTCACAGGTCGGTCATGATCTCACCGGGTCCAGGGGTCTCTGTGGGTACTCGTTATCCCCGCGCGAACTGGAAACGGCTAAAAAGAGCGTTCCGATATATAGAGGCCATCATTGCACTCCTGCTTCGCCGATTAACCTGACAATGTACAATTTGTAGCTTCGGAAACATGCGCCTCCCATCAAGTTCGCTTCCTTTATAGAGGACTTCATCGATTATGACCGTCTCCATCCAAGACTTGGACCCGTCCCCCCTCTCCTGTTCGTCATGTCTGCTTCTACTTCGGTGAACATTCCCTGGATATTGGGCACGATAGAAATTGGTGTCATTCTGAATACGTTCCTGTTGGGCGTCGTGACCATTCGTATGCTTATTCATATTTCATATGGATCTTTCTCTGATACATTTCACAGAGATGTTCAGCTATTATTCTGCGCGTTTCAATGATCCTGTGGGTGACTTTCATCTTCCATCCCACTTTTAGTCTCATGAAATTTACCAGTGGCGAATTCAGTACGCCTGTGCCCGCGACGTCAAAAGATTATTTGAGCATTAATGTTACTTCCAGCATACTTCTGTGGTGGGTTTATACCCTTGACCTCGCCTACTCCATGATAGCTGTGGAGGTATGTAGATGCATTGACCTTTGATCCCACCTCATAGGAAACACCTTGACAGATGTTGTGGGTGTACACTGTGTCTGGCTTTGGGGACCTCACGGTTCTAGCGTCAGGTCGGTGGGAGTACTTCGTGCTACCGGTCTTTATTTCAGCGTAAGAAAAGGCGCCATGTGATAGCCACCTTACCTTTCTTTCTAACTTTCCTTTCCACTAGTGCGTCTGTACCCATCCAGGTATTGTTCACTGCCTGTCCACCTACCTACCCATGGTTCACTCTCATTCCAGTTCTTCTTGGCTTACCGGGTGAAAAAGCTCCTGGCTGGCAAACTTGCTCTACCTGCGTTTATGGGCATCGCTTTGATGTCTACATGCCAGGGTGTCATTGCTCTATACATGACTATTGCAGCGTTTACAACCGTCTTTGATGCTGCGGGGTGCGATTCCTATTCGTTTAGGAATGTAAAATTCCGACTGAGTATGAGCTATCCCTCTAGCCTCGCATCATTCACGAAAATTGGGCAATCATACACAGCTATCAGTCTCTGTACAGATGTGCTTATAACGTGAGTAATTTCTTTGCTGGTGATGCGTCATCACTTCATAAAATGTACCTGCTAGCGGATCGCTAACAGCGACTCTACTGTCGAAGAGAACTGGATTCAAAAGTATGCCTCCCTCACCAACATTAATTATCAGCTGCATGTCTGATCATATCTAGCTACTGACAACATCGTACTTCGAATTATCTTGACATCCATCGAGACCGCCATACCAGTGACCATATTTGGAGTAAGCCCACTACAATTTCCAAGTCGAGGTGCCCTAGGATTCTCACCACCTTTCCGCAGATCGGCCATTTGGTCGCAGTCGTATGCTTCTTCGGTTGATATATTAGCCGCTCGTCTCATGTTCCCGCAGAATACAGGATCAACTAGTGGCATTGCTGAAACTTTCGTCATTCCAGTTGGTATGTCGACGATAGTTTGGTTCTTCGAACTACATATCCTGATCTTAGGTCTTACATAGCTCGCCTTTACACGTAAGTCAGGAAAACCATGCTATTCCTTGAAGTGCCTCTCACGTGCTATGATGCAGCAATACTCTCTTAGTTGTACGTTATTTCCTCTTCCTGAACTTTCAACCGAAACTCAACCGCATTGTCAGACGCTGAACCAGAGGGCGCAGGTTCGTGCTCAGCTCAGTAGCACCTCTCACAATTCTGGAAACAACGCCAACCTCATCGACAGCGCCTTCAACCGCGCGCGAGGTGTACGTTCATTCAACCAGTGACTTTTTCACATGTCTCACTGCTGAACCAGGCCCAGGTTCGGATTCAAGTCGAGGAGGGTATCGTGATGAAGGACTTTCAGTTGTCCAAAGGCGAAGTCCCTGGTGTAGGTGGTAGCCACGGTAGTCACGGTGATCTTAAAATCGACGCTATTTAACGTGCCGGCTGCCTATACTGTGAGCAGCCTCGGAAAGCGGATGCGATCTATCCAGTTGACATTAGGACCACCAGATTCTTAGGAACCTTGATAATTTACGTGTAAAATACATACGTACCAATAGCGGCGAGCCTTGCCCTGGCCGTTTGGGGTTCAATGAGAATGCGTTTACAGCACATGTTATTACAATCACTATATAGACACCAATGGATGTCGCATATACGAGGGATAGAGATTTACATAAGATATATGAGCAAAAAACAGAAGGATCGGTTTGGTCAACATGTGCTACTTAATAATACCAAGTGGTGTTGTGGATATTGCGATCACCCTAGCCTTGTGTAGATCAATCACGAGCTGGCGACGGGGAACAGACTACCGATCTGATTTTGTGTACGCGGCCACCGGTGAACTGTAAGGAGTAATCTTGTATCCCTTTCCCTGTTCCCCCCACTCTACCACTCGGACACAATGCTTCCATACCAACGCTTGCCTCAGATTTTCCCTGTTATCCCCCTTTGTGAATCTCGGGGATTCAACAAGCCGTCAGACAGAGAGTTGTTAATACGGTGCAGATCACCTGAGTCGCGCGCTGGCGATAGCATGGCTAAGATCTGAGAACCACACTGTGGTCTTACTAGTATGGCAGCTTCTCGTGCAGTGACTAATCCATCGGCAGCTTCCTCAGTAATAACCAAGTCAATGATATTGAATATATTCAGATGCTCTAGTAGGTTAAGTACAGGATGTCCCTGAAAAACAAAATGATACTAAATATGCTCATTTTCCCGGTACCACAAAATCCCGCGACAAATCGATTTCTCCCTTCAAATGTGTATTGGTGAGGCGGATTTGTCGCTGGCGTGGTGCCCCCCCTTTCTTGCCCTTCTTCTTGTTTGGTGCCTTGACAGGGGCAGCTTGACTCGCCGTAACCTGGAGACCCTCTGTGCCTCGGCGTTGAGAAGTGAAATAAGGGGTGAAAAAAGTACTTGCCAGTCGCTAACTGTCTTGCCAGATCCACATCATCAGGAACCTTCAACTCATGCCATAGATCCATGAACTCTACCCTCCCATCGATTAGCATGCCTCCGCTGTGTAGTGCTCGCATAGTGAAAAAGAAAGGAGACGCAGACTTCAGCCTCCAACCATCTGTCCACGGCGTGGTTCGGGCCAAGTGGAGCGACCTTGAATCATGCAGAAACTGAACCTAGGTCTAAGGGTCTGATGTAGATTCAGTTCCTACATGACTGTCAAAAAAGCTTATTTCAACGTTCTAAAAACGTGAAAGCCTAGACAAATGCAGGTTCAACCCATACAGGTCCGCATGCGGACCGGCCCCAAAGGATCATGGACAGACTACGACCATCAAACGGACGTCCACAACACATTTTCTCAGTAGAAAACTCGGGTCATAGGTTGCAACCTGGACACTCCTGGTTCGTGACTGTTTCACGTTGGGCAAAATGCAGGGAAAGATCTCGTAAAAGGACAGGGTCCGATGTTCCGACCACAGCAGGATACGTCAGGTTTACCTGGAGTGGTAGCGCCCGACGTATCCTGCTGCGTCCCTGTCCTAGAATAGATGTCTATCTGTTGTCAACACGTTCTGGTGCATTTTGCCTGACCCGAAATAGATGTGACCCAGGCGTGCCCAATCCTCAACAGGACCAACCACTCGAGCCGGAGATGTTCCTCCAGAAAGGGAGACAGGAGAGGACGACGAACTCACCTTTCTCGACTTGCATGCCGCCGCTTTCTTCATCCGGTTTTATCTCATTCCAGAAAACCATCTTCAACTGGCCATCTTTGGCTGTCCGGATCACGAGCACCTCACCGTCTTTTTCCAGCTCCTCAATAGCAGCAGGGGCTTCCTTCCACGCTTCTTTCAAGTCACGGACGGCTATACCACCGCCTTTCCGTGTGCGTCGTTGTATTTCAGTGAGTAGAGATGCTTTGTTGCGAAAATTGAATTCATGCTGCCGAAGGGGAGAGTCGTCAATTACACGGTCAACGAAAGCTCCTGACGGACCTTGTAGCTGTACAAGTCTGTCTTTGGGTCCCAAAGAACACGATCATGAGATTTGAACTTTTCGAGAAGAACGCGGTCTGTATCAAGCGGTGTATTCGTAAGAATTGCCAGATCTTGCAGCCGCATCGGGTTTGGCGTCGACTAGGCGAACTCAGCAGTGGAATAGCTATGCAAGTTGGTGGCACACTTTAAGGTGGTTGACAGCATAGACGAGTTGGGTATTGACATGTACACCTGTGCCAGTATCCGCAGGTTGGGAGTATACGATATCTGGAATATAATTGTTGGGCGAAATAGGGGAAAAAACGAAACTAGCGCACTTGATTTGGGCCTCTTCTTCTTTAGAGAAGGCTGAGCCGGGGACTGGGAATCGAGCGGTGGCGGCTGGGAGTGCCATGAGGTGTAATCCTGTCTCTTTAGCGTAGATTTGAAGTCGGCTGTATCCTTTGCGAGCTTGGACATGAAGGCAGGAGCAAAGAGCGCGGTTCCGGCTTGCGATTACATAACCACAATAACCACGTGGGCCCGCGTCACATTTGGACGCCGTCGAACACTTTTGAGTCGCTGACTGACTGCCCAGTCGCGCTGGACAGCATTGCGGCGTCCAGTTATCTCACATTTCTTCTTTATTTCTCTTCGTTATGGCCTTTTTTTCTCGCCCACAGTCGTCGTCGGCCATCAAGATTGTCAATCCCAACACCCAGGACGAATTGAGACCTCAGTCACGCAAGGGTCAGTCTGTTGATGTGAGACTGAGCACCCACCGATCTGCTCTTCCTAGATTCGGTGCAACGACAATGTAGGAATATCATGATTTATGGGTAGGTGTCGTTGTTGCTGTTTTATTGCTGTTCTTACCCTATCCAGCTCTTGTAAATACCAAGACAAAGGATGCACGTATTATCATCCACCTGTGAGTGGCACGCCTGCTTCATTAGCTGAATTATCGACTTTTGATAGGCGCCGGACACACCCAAGCCTACGTATGTATCCCTGTTCTATGTAGATACGCGACAGTTCATCTCTTGATGCAGCGAGTCTCCTGCTATTGGTTCACTTACTGCGCAGGCAGTCAATGCTCCTGTATTTGTACCCAAGGCTGCTGCTGCCTCAGTTTCATTTCCACAGACTACATCGCCGCCGCCTCTATCGGCTTCGCGCCAGTCGTCTGTCGCATCGTGAGTCATTTCTTCTTCTATCACGCATCTCTGACATTGCCGAAGGCTCTCTCCCCCCTCTCCCACACCACAGGCCGATTATCAAGATTTCCAGCCTCAGGATGCATACGACAATTACCCGTATAGTGGAGACTTGTCCACTGATAGTCTAACGAATCAGATGGCAGATGTACGTCGCGCATGCTCTCTCACTGTACTCGCGCTGACTCCTGTCACAGCTTGACTCTCAGTTCTATGATGTTGGTGGAGTTGATGCTACTTACTATTCTGGTCCTCCCGACCTTTACATACGTGAACCAGTATGTGAGTTTTTTCCCAGGCTAGTTTTTTCGCTGATTAGGCTGTGTAGCTGAATTATCATCTCTATACGAACGCTATTCCTCCTGCTTTTATTTCTGCCCATTCCGATAGTCATTTTGTTCCTTCATCCTCTGATCTCAGGCAAGTGCTACAGACCAGAAGCGAAACTATACGCGGCGCTCCAGCGCCTGGTCTGAATTTGCCTGAGGAACTACAAGGTTATCACACTCTTGTTCCTCTCGAATCCAGTGCTGCCAATGAACGCCGCAAGTTTGGAAGTTGGTATTCCACTGTATACCGTGCTATCAACTCCGCAGAAGGCGCACCTTATACCTTGCGGAGAGTGGAGAGTGCGTGCTGTATGCTGGGGGCATAAGATTACATTCTCATCAACCTTCATAGATTACCGTCTGATGCACCAGTCCGCTTTCACCGCCATTGAGGCGTGGTCGCGTATTCGACATCCAAACATCGTCCTCGTTCGAGAGGCATTCACAACGCGAGCTTTTGGCGATAATTCCCTTGTCGTAGCTTATGCATATCATGCTGGTGCGAGAACCCTCTACGACACTCACTTTAAACCACAACCCCCGACCATCCAACCCTCCTTTATCCATAATCGCTCTCATATTCAACTTCAACCGACGACGATCCCAGAGCGAACGATCTGGTCATATATCATTCAGATCGCTTCTGCAATCAAGAAGGTGCATGAAGCAGGACTTGCGGTGCGAATGATCGATGTTTCCAAAATATTGCTCACAGGCAAGAATCGGTACCTGACACTCTTCATCTCGTATCTTTGTCAATTCTCATGCATATTTTTCAGCATTCGGATAAGCTCTTGCGGAATTGTCGATGTTCTGATGTACGATGCCCAGCAGGACATACATATGTTACAACTCGAAGATCTGTCAATGTTTGGTCGACTCATCATCGCTCTCTGTTGTACAAATGCCTCGGCTGCGTCTGGGAGCAACTTTCAGAAGAGCCTTGAGATAATGGCGCAGGCATATAGTCCTGAGATTAAGAACGTGGCTTTGTTCTTGATCAGCAAGAATAACCCTCATCGGGTACGTGTCTTCTCAGGTTTGGTATCGCATTGTTGATCATGTTTTAGAACATTGTCACATTCTTTGAGATCATCCATAACAAAGTCATTTCTGACATGGACGACGCCCTGGAGTAAGAATCGTATGAAATGATGTCCGTTTCATTGCTTATCCACTTTCAGAGCGACGGATCGGCTCGAGAACGAACTTATGGGTGAACTGGAAAATGCAAGGCTCGTACGATTGCTTTGCAAGTTTGGTTTCATCAACGAACGGCCTGAGTGAGCTCTCTCCCTGAATATAATACTCATCTCTGACAACATTGACAGATTCGCCCGCGATCCTCGCTGGTCTGAAACGGGGGACCGCTATATCATCAAACTCTTTCGCGATTATGTATTCCACCAACTTGACGAGAACGGGAATCCTGTCACTAATCTGTCACATGTCTTGACTTGCTTGAACAAGGTGAATTGGGTCGCCTTTCCCTAAAATTTCGGTATTCACCTAAGCCTCCGTCTAGCTCGACGCAGGTTCGGAGGAAAAACTCATGCTGATTGCTCCAGACGAACAGAGTTGTTTGGTCGTCAGTTACAAGGAGATCAAATTGTGCGTCGAGGCGGCTTTCAGGTATGTGCCGTCGTAATATGTCATATATCTAACTAAAATGGGGTTCCAGCGATCTTGCTAGGGCTGGAAGTACCAGTTATAGAGTGTGATACCTGGTGGATTGGAACATTATCGGAATAAAATAGGTAGAATTAGAAAAAAGACTCGGAAAATAACAAAAAAATGCTTGCCTTGCTTCACTTGATTAGCATCGAAAAAGTCGTGGACGCTTGTATCATTGGCTAGATGGCAAGGCTTGTGGCCTTGGATTCTCTGATCCTTACCGGGACTTCTGATGAAATTGCATACCCTCAATCAATTTTAGTGGGCATCTTCAGCTACCAATTGAAGCTTCGTTGGAACGGCAAAATTCATGCCTCCGAGTCAAGGCAAGGCATGCCATGCATATCAACTTGGGAATTTTCCATCCCCAAGCGCCTGAAGAGGATCCACTTCCGGAAATACGAATTATCTCGTCCGACGAAGTATTAGTATACTCAGAAGCGAACGTGACAATCTACCTTCCCGCACTCAGCTCCTTTAGATGTAGTCAGAGTTTAAAAGCTCTGACTTGCTCAAGCTGTAATCATCAACCATGAACTTCAAACTTAGCAATCTCGTCTCAATTTTGTTGGCTACCACCGCTTTATTGTGCGCCAACTGCAGAAGCCTACCTGAATCCCCAGGTGACAACTCACCATCACTGACGCGGCACAGATCTGGACATTGGATGCAAGTCGGTAAAGAATAGCCCTCATAAGTAAGGCCAATAATCCTGTGCGCAAAGTGAAAACTCATAAACGCGGCTAACCCCAAGATTTCGATGATTGAAACGTCAATAATCGTTTGTTGGGCTATCTATTCTGTATAGCCTACATGTCATTAAGGAGAACATTCAACGAATGGATGTCATATCACCACCAGCTCCGTTTGCGTAGAGCCTCCGCCTCGAAATCCGAGTAGGGAAACCTCTGTATAGCAGCTGGGCCACCCTCTCTGCGCTCCCACTCTTCATCATCAAGGTACCGCGAAATAGCGCGCGCTTCTACAGTGGGCGCAGGTTGTTTCGATTTAGAATCCGAGTCTATTTCACCTGCGAGAGCAACGTAAGCTTTCGCTATCCTCCAATCGACTTCTTTCGTTAGTACCTGCAGCCGTTTTTCGGCGCGCTCTGTTTCTCGAGATGACTTTGGTTGAGAATCCGACAGTTTGAGCTTCGGAAGGGAAGAGGGAGGGAGGAGGAGAAATTCGCGGGTATGTAGAAGATGGGGTGTGATAAAGAGCGTGCTGGGTGGGAGGCTGTTCAGTCGGCAGAGTTCACGACCCTGTAATAGATGCTAGTGTTAGTTTTTTTTTAGACAGGGTGAATAATATCAGCACGCACGTCGACATCAAAACGCAGAGCAATTCCTTGAAGGGTGTCTGTCCGTTTGATATAATATTTCGGAGGGCCCGAAATGGGCGATATCTCATCAGTAGAGGAAGCCTTATCAATATTGCTTTCAACTAGAGCAGTCTCGATGTTGGTTACGGACAAAGATTCAGTATACGCTGGGGGAGGCATAGTCGTTGTATCGTCTTCATTGTCCTCATCATCGTCACCAACGATGAACACATCTTCATCTCTGACGGCTCCATCCAAGTTTGTGGGAGTAAATTGGAGTCTGCTGCCTCCCATATGCGCACCAATGACGTCTACACCGCCGAGACAGGCAAGGCAAGGATTGTACCTGCTCAGCCGAGGATTCAGGGTAACGCATTTCGGACAGATAGGTTGTTGGCAGCATCGTGTAAGAAATAATTTGGATTCTGAGAGCTTTTGGGGTGGAAGAGACGAAGAACAGGCAAGACAAAGGTCGGTCATGGTGGGAGAAGGAAAGCGCGATTTCGGAGCCAGATTGATTGCCAACAAAATGACGTCAGCAAATATCCTTTCACTTTTGGGGCGGATACAAGTTCTGGATACAGACATGAAGGCGAAAGCATGGAAAAACTGTAGTCCCAAGCTTGAACTACGACGGATGAAAAGACAACATCCATAACAAAACAACCCAAGAAAGCAAGAAAAATGGTGCCACAATAAATAAGTAGTGATAAGTCACTGACTGCTATGAAACGCTGACTGAACTCTCCAAGCCCGCCTTGCTGACCCTCCGCATTGGTTGAAGCGTGTTCTCATCCACCGGCGCTCGTCTCGCATGCCGATACCGGCCCGTCGCGTCCTTGATCTCCACCTCCTGTCCAGAGTCACCCATTACCCGCATCTCCATCCCGCCTGCGCTCAATGGCCCGGGCTCCCCGCTCAGCAACGCAGGCGGTAAGCTCTCCCTCACATGTCCGCCCCGTCGGTTCCCAGCAGCCACCGCGTAGTTCACGTGTCCCCCGCCCCCGCCTCCATCCCCATCGCTCCCGTCCACATTGACCGATGGCGGCTGTACGCCCACCGACTTGCCTCCCAGCTCTTCTTCCTCAAACGACATTAATTCAGAGACGAATCCAATGTTGGGAGAGATCCCTTTCCGTCTCTCGAGCACAAACGAATACGCTCGCGATAGTGTCCAGTGGTTTGCATGTATCAGGTACGCCATGACGGCAGTTACTGACCGAGACTTGCCAGCTTTACAGTGCACATACGTTGGTGACGAATGAAGTCTGGCGTCATCTATCGCTACCCCGTTAACACCACCGACACATCAATCAGAAAAGCGTACGGCACTCACCCAGAATTTCACAAACCTCCCTAACACCCTGGGCAATATTCTCCTCCTCAACGGTATCCCTCATCGGAATTTTGAAATATCTGTCGAACTCGTTCTTCAGATGCAGTCCGTGATCATCAGCATCGCACTCGGCTGCGATGTTCAGAATCCTCTGTACCCCGAGGTCCCTCAGCTCCTTTACATGATCAGGCGATGTCAGCTCCGGTCCCAAGTACAAAAAATTGGGTAATATCGTCGACACGGTGAATGGTGGGAACGGTTCTTCAGTAGTAGGTGGCTGGTCGTCCGGACGTGCAGTATGTGGCGAAGGGGGCATGTAGAACCCTTTTGGTGTGCCTGGTGTGTGTGGTGGAGTGAAATATGCCGAGAAAATTTCAGTTGACGACAGAGGCGATGCAGGAGACGTCACCCAATGGGCTGAGACAGGTGGGGTATGGTTTGAATGCGCAAGATTTAGGTGTGAAGGCGATGGAGGATATAGGGAAGTTGGTGGGACAGAGAGTGTGGCAGACTTTATGGGCACTGTGCGTACATGCAGCTTAGGCAAGGACAAATTGAGCCGTTCAGCAGATTTTGTATCGATACGGCGAAGATTGGGCACGCTGGGCCGTCGAGGTGGAGGTGGCCGACGAAAAGCAGCTTGTGAAGGAGGCGGTGACGGGGAGGCGTCTATGACATTCACATTGGACGCCTTGTAATTGGACGCCATAGGCATGAGAGGCAGGGGAGAGCATGGTGGAGCTGCCAGAGTTGACGACATGGAAGAAAAATTCTGGTTAATCTCGAGCGAAGACTTTGTGTAAAAAGGTTTGTTTGTAACAAGCTGAAACAAACCCCCGCCTTTTGACCCTGTCTTAGCCGGTTCGTCCCCGAAGTCCAAGCCGCCACCTGAGACGATAAGCGTTTCAAGATCGGGGTGGTGTCCTGCGGATGAGATACCGCCAATGAGATAATCAACATTTCCGTAGCTTAGCAGTGGCTGTATCACAGAAAGCAGTGCCCAGGCTGTGATGGCCATATTCTCTCTGTCTTTCTCATCCATCTCGTCGTCGTACACGACCACATCCCCGTCCCAAGATCCTCCAGGCCGCATCAGCTCGTCCCAGGCCTCTTTGCCCTCCTCCGTGGTGATAAACTGGCGCAGCGAATCTAGGGACTGGAATCCTCCACCAGGTTTGCGACATCGTTTCAGAATGAGCGACGGAATTGCAACATTGATACTATGCTTGATATGGAACGACAGGTGTACGGCGGGCGGCCGAGTGTCGACGAGAAGGGGCCGTGTTGGGGCTGTCAGCCGCTCGTATAGGCAGCCGGGGTCGACAGAGCGACTCTGACGCTGTTGCGGAGACGGAGAACGGGGTAGAGACGACGAGTCTGAGGCACTCGAGCCAACCCAGCGAGCACTTGACGGTGAGTCTCGTGCATCTGATGTTGGTGTAAAGTACGACGAAGCCGTACTGGATGCTGGACTGGCGACCTCCTCCCACACGGACTGAGGCGAGAAGGATCCGAATGAAGAACGCATCTTGGCGCTGTTGAGAGAAGCATGCGAACGAATAGGTCGCAGACGGAGGTTCTTCTGTACACTCTTTCGTAGTTGTTCGAGAGCCGCGAATCCCTGATTTATGTCGTCAGAGGCGGCATCCTCATCTGATGAAAAGAAATTGAGCATTGGTGCCATGGGAGACGTTGAAGGCGAAGAATCGCCCGAGTCGAGTTTGAGAATGTCGTCGTCGTCGTCGTCGGAGAGCTCGGTGGGAGAGTCGGCCTCGATCTGTATCGAAGAAACGGGTTTTCTTTCATTTGCAAAGGTAAGATTTGGCGGCCTGAGTCGTTTCGGCAAGTTGAACGAAAAGTCAAGGGTATTCTGGGGTAACGACATGGTGGTCAATGTCAAAGTCACGATTACCGAGGCTGCGATGATCACATCATTTGGCGGTGATTATTTTGTAAAAAGACGGCTATCCTCGTCCACGGACACGACGTTTGTATCCCACCAATGGTCTCCGGCTGCTCTTTCGCGAAAGCTACGCAGAAACATTGCTGTTATCGTCCATGACGATGGCGTGCAATTTGACCGCCGGTCGCTAGGCGTAATCCTTGCGATGAAACAATGATGTCATTATCTTGTACTATCTTCCCACGCCGGTCCGACTTTCCCCGGTGCACGCTGGAAAAAAAACAAAAAAAAAGTCAGTGACAATGTGCCATGACTGTCATCTGCTAATTAAGTAGAATTGGTACGCCCACTTTGTTGTGATGTCGACAAGAACATCATTATTTACCATGCGACAACGAACAGCGGCGCGAACTCAGTCCCAGCAGACGGCAAAGTGCCTTGATCCAGGTCCGTATGCTGTACTCTCTCACAAGTCTCTTACAGCCATCCAGCATTGACGCATCCATCCGTACAAGAACATCAAATTGCTTCGTAGGCATGCTGCGGTTTCAATAAGAGAAGACGTTTGATTTATAAACGTGGAACATATGGTGCTATGTATATGTGAACCGAAACTGACTGCGGGATCCTTTGAGGGCAACGAGCCGACTGAAGATGATCTTGCAATGATCGTCCTTGGTCTCCATATATACCTTAACGATGGATACTGGGGTGGAACACCCGCTCTTCCTCTCTAGTCCATTGAATTGAATATCAAGTATCCTTACCGTACGACAGTCGCAATGACTACTGTGTTTAATGTGTCCATAGCCGTCTTGACCCTTATTTCATTCCCTCTGTCATCCAAATTCCAGACCGGATCTTTAGGGGAAATTCAAGTGCAAAGGTAACATTCACAGGCACCGAGACGCGCTTGCGCGGATCCATCATCGATCTCTTAGCTGTTCCTGGTCGCCGGGCTTCATGTTACTTAGCGGGGACGACTCGGAGCCAGTGTTTTGAACATACAGAAATCATTCCATCATACACCGACGGGGCTGGCACGAGGTAGAGGCTTGTTTGCAGTAGCGGCGATCGTAAGCTCGAGGACAACAAGAAATGGCATTGGTTTGAATTTTGTCTGTGGATGTACCACGTTGGCCCAAACGACACGAAAAATAAGTGAAAGACATCACAGGACCCCAGAAATTAATAAACGATGCAGCCCTCCGCCATTGACAGACCATGTAGGTGAGTCAGTGGGGGAACTGTACAGAAGAAGGTTAGAGCACATAAAAAAGCCAACGTTTGAAGTTTTATAAAGGACGAGATGAATATTGGCATTGATAATAGCCCGCAGCTGGTCGTTCACTAAGATCATACACGTGAGTGAGGCGTTTATCCAAGTCAGCGAAGAGGTAGAAGGCGAAACTTGAGGCACCAAGACAAGTTGAAATGACATCATTGAACAGACTAGCCAAAGCATGATAAAGCTGAGAACATGCTTCGATGTCGCTCGGACTGAGCAAGTATAAAACTGATGATGATGGTCGGTTTCGTCCCTAGCTATCTTTGGAATATGATTCTTGAAACCAGGCAAATAGTACGTGTGGTGCGAGCGTGGTGGCGCAAATTCCATCTGACACTACAAATGAGCACCAGATGGATGATTCTCATCATGCTAGTGTTCACGAAGAAAGGAAATCATGATACTGAAGGACTCACCATATGAAGGATCCCCAGCCAAGATAAGCTAGAACAGAACCGGTATATCAGAGACAGCGAGTTGTGGCGAAGAGAAGAACGTGACGTTGAAGATATCGAGAATTCTCAGTCTGGTGGGAGGAACCTATATTGAGCACCGATTGACACTGATAAACTGAGTGAACCTGTCAGGACCGCATCACAGGGATACAGAAGGTTGCTTCACAGAGCGGCCTAAAAGTTTGATCGTAATGAGAAATTCCAAGGTCAACCACTTAGTAAGATAGCCTACACGGTTTACTACCGCATTGATTAAATCCCGCTTGGCGTGGTATTAACACTTCCAACGTGACGGCGGCTATCAGTATGCTGTGCTTTCAAATATATCAGGCGCACGAGCTTACCTCTGAAACGCCCACGAAAGACGCCGGAGCTTGTCGTGGTCAATGGAAGAACTTCAAGAAGCCACCAATAATTTTAGACGTCATCAGTCATCAGTGACTATTGCATGATGAACGTCCAAGAACTTACCTATGCTCGAACGTTCCACCGCAAAACACTGATGTGGCCCTGGGAGGTAAAAGGCCGAGAAGCAAGGAGTGCAGCTTGAGAGATTTATCACCTCTGAGCCTAACAGTCGTTTGATAAGTTCGAGTAAACTACAGCACTGTAAACACCGACATCTCGGCGCCCACAACTTGAACGCCGGCACAGCAACACTAGCGCCGATGACAACCAAAAGATGAAAGATTACGAAGATCGCGTATCGTGGCGCTTCGTCATTCTCGCTCCAATCTAGTAAGCTGACGTGGTATGACTCTCTAGACAATCGCTTGAGCATTCCGCAAATGAATCAAACTCCAAAAGGCATGTCGGAATAGAATATTCCAAAGGACTGATGCTATTTTGCACCCAATCATCGCCAGGCACCAAGGGGTTAGGGAGAACGCAACACATCACCGCCAGGTCATTGTCTTGATCTCGGGCAATGGAACTGAGGGCGCACGAACCGTGGGGGAGTGGCGAAAGAGCTGTCGACTCGGATCGCCAAGGATTGAGTCCAAGAGATTGCCGGAACTCGTATGATAAGAACTAGCCATGGACGAGCGCGTTAAGATCTACGTCCACAGAGCGTTTTCTCGAACCCAACTGGCGAAGAAGTAGCATCGATGACAGCGCACTTGACCATTGGGGAAAGCGGAGAAAGAGCGTCGACTAAGGATGAGATCGCCAAGGGTGATCTAGTACAGGTAACTAAAGGCTGAGACGAAGAAAATCCACGTCGTCAGAGAAATCGTCGTGACCCGTACTTGGCCGTAGGACCGCAAAGCTTTGCCCATGGCAATCTGGTCCTGTGGAACATTCAACCAAACTCATCCAATGAATTTATCAAATGATATTATTCCATGAGCATGCAGATGAAGGGCGAACCAAGGTGATGGCCATGTAGGAAACTCGGTAATGGAAGAGAATACTGTGCCCTTTCACAGACGCACCAACAGCACATCACGTTGGATCGGATCAAAAAGGAGATCGCTAAAGACTGGCTTCGCTATATAAGTGAATGGTGCTTGACGACCGCTGCTCGAAGGGCGTCAACAAGGCAGCAGATGAAGGTCTGGGCCTCAGAGAGTCAAGTTCAGAGAAGCGCTGTATGTCACCCGCAGTACCAAGCAAAGATAGCCATGGGTTCGTTCACTGACGGACTGTAAGCGCATAATGACCTCGCCTTGGGACTTGGGGAGAATCGCTCCCGGACGAACGAGCGCAAACCTTTCTGTCAGCTGAGGCCTTCACCGCAGGGAACTGCATGCCAATCAAAGATTGGTCTTGGTTTGTGCGTGGACGGAGCTTTCCAAACGGGCTCTCATAGAATTGAGAAGAAGAGTCAAGGAATGAATGGCATTCGGGTATTGCCATGATGTGAAGCTGAAGCGCATGAGAAGATCAGTACACCTAATCAGTGTTCTCCAAATGTCAAGTCAAATGAGCCTTCGGTCCGATGTGATCGTGACCACTGTGTTGCGATGTCAAGCGCAAAGCTCAACGAACAAGTAGACTGGGAGGTGATTGCCTTTTCGGTAAGACTCGTATTAAAAGTCCGACGGTCGGTCTAAGGACTAGGAAGATAGCTGCTGGGCAGTGCTCCGGCCAAACAGTCATCATTCAGGAGTGCACTGGGCCCAGGAATAGCCGAGTGTGCCAGCAATCTCATCGCGGCCTCGAGGTCACCCCAGAAAACATGTGTCAGGACCATTTCATTGAGAGAATAATGTCTTGCTGGAGTTTCCCCACGATTTTCACGATCTTCATAGTACCTAGGCGAAAGAATTAGATATACGAACGATCTCGGGAGGTCGGGTGATCTCACCGACACTATTGGCTCTCTTCTCTCCAAAGGAGATACTTTTGCGTCATACCAAGTCGCGTCCCTGTGCCACGCCTCCAATATGTCCTGGCCTCGGACATCATATCTGGTGGCCTCACCAGGGGCGTCCAGATCCCCCCTGCACCTCGTTGCCTCGCAGACTGGTCTGGTCGTACGATGCTAAACTATATGCAGGCGAATCACGCGTCTCCCACCTTCGAATTCACCCACCTCGGCCAAGGGAAGAAGAGCAGGACGTGAAAGCACCAAGAGCCGTGATTCGCGAGTTCCGAGTATATAGGACCAGTAGGTCCACGGGGCTAAAATCGATAAGAGTTGAAATTTCAAGTGTTGAAACGTTGGGTCCGAGCTGACGCGATTCGATAAGTTATCCCAGAGGTGGAATACTCCATTCGGGAAACTCCGAGCTCGGTGGACACATGAACGTGGTACGTCAATTGATACCGTACCAACATATGGACGACACCGTAAGGAGACGAAAGCGTCGGGTATCGGACTAGAATAGAATCATTTTGTTGGACGCACGAGGGTGGCGTGGCGTCGCGGTAGACTGAAAAAGAAGATGGACTGATGATATAGTTGGTGGATGAATACACCGCAACCCAATACTATACGCCGATCACGCAGAAAGACAAAGCGCCCAAGAATAAGGAGGATTATGTATACGAGTCGAGAGCAAAGGGGGGTAAAGATTGGGAACCGAAACATTGGACAGGTCGGTGGGTTGAGATGGGATGAAATCACAAGGGCATACAGACAGACGTTGAAGTGGTGGAGACAAGCAGCTGGGATTGCAACTCCGGTGTAACGTGAACTGCTGCGATAAGAGAAGGGTGAGAGTAAGGCACGAGAAGAAACGCGGGATGCTAAGTATAAAACATTCGGATGTAGAACAGATCCAGAAGAGACGGCGAAGACCAGGCCCAGACACGAACCGTAATGAAAGGCTGAAAGGAAAGGAAAGTCGAGCACGGTTGACTTTGGACACCGTGAAGCAGTACGGATCACGTTTCAGCCATGGACAATGGCAAGTCGGACCGAGTCGTAGAATGCAAAAAAAGACAGGTGATATTTACCGTTGTGGGTGCACCCAATTATTTAATTATTGAGTATAAGTATAATATTCCGTAGCACAGCGTGGGTGAAGTGGGCGAGGCTTGGCACGAAGCAGTGGCACTACATACTGAATTGTCAAGAGGGATTTACGCCGGCAACGCAAGTATTGATTGTTCCGATTCGAAGGCGGAGTTTCAAAAAAAAGTGACGAGTCACAGTTATTATACGGTGACCTACCTAGTCACGGCCACAACAGAACCAACGACAAACACCATCGCCTTTAATAAACGACCACATTCTCACTCGCCATGATGAATTCTACCTGCTAACACAGAGCTCTATTTCCCGCTCGCTGCCATGTTCTCCACGCCCCGCCCTATTCTCAAGCGCGCCCCGTCGCAGCACCCGCCCCTCGCCGTCCATTTCCCTTCGTCCCCGCTCCTCACCCGTACCTTTGACGCCCATCCTCGCGAGTCCTATGACCGCTCACCTATCGTCGTAGCACCCAATTCGTGTGCCCTGCCAGAACGTGGTGGGCGCTGCTACACTCTCGACGATAGCCAGGCCTTTTACAAGGGCCTGCATCCTCGCGCCCTAGCCACCGTCCCAGATCTTATCCCAGACCTTTCTGGCTCCAGTGATGAGAGCGACGGCATAGCAAGCCCTCCGCCTGAGGCATATTATTTCCCCCGCGCTTCGACCCCGAAAAAGTCAAAACCCACCTTCTCCGACGACCTCCCATTCCCCCCTTCTCCCCAGACGAAGAAGAAATGTGCAGCGAAGCGGCGGGCCATCTGTAAAGCCCGGGAACGGGAACGAGAAGAGTCTGGTGGTTGTCTGGATGGCTTTTAGTTGTTGCAGGAACAGAGTTGCAGTCCGAGCAGTATTCTTATTTTATTTTTTTTTTTCGCATCCATCATCGCTTTCCCGTTCACATCATCCGTACATACCACACTCTCAATGACGCCTTTTTATGACCTCCCTCATTAGCCTGACTCGCCATATACCAGTGACAATCCAATCCAATCCAATACTGTACTACCACCGCTAGTCGCATGGACTGCGTCGCCTCCGTTGCTCAATTCAACAGCCGTGACGGACAGGAGTACAGCCAATTGAGCCAGTCGTAAGGTTTCACCGCTCCGCCTTCTTCCGTTCCGTGTGGCTATGCATCTCGGCTCAGGTTTCTCAGCTGCTGTTGGTCTTCTCTCTCTGGTCCTGGCAGTATGGGACAGGCATCTCGGTTCGACGTCAAATTAATGCTTGGTCACAATGCTTGGCAAATTCCTGGTATCTATCTGTTATGTTACTCGGTCTGTATCCTCGTCGCCGTATAACATCTTGACGACAATTTATCTCTCTCTCAAGTCCAGCTGCGGTACAATTCATCGATTGTTCCGCTTCCTGACGTCGACAGATTACAGATTATTGCATTCCCGGGACCTCGAGCGCGGTCCCGTGCACCTTCGAGATCATGGCGAGAACCATCTAAAAATGCAATTGTTACAAACCTGCCATTGAAAACGAGGCTAACCAATGGGTACCACTTGTGAACGGAATTCAGACGGAAATCGGTCTGCTTTGCTTTGGGGACAAATTCAAGCGATCATGCATCCTTCTCGTCTCTGCTGAACCCTGTTCTGCAATCTATCTCGGTCCCTCTGCTGGCATAACTTTGCCCCTGTTCTCCCTTCACGAGGCGGCGGGGTAGCATCATGGACAAATTGAGCTTCCCCATCTGAAGCACGTCATCATCGATTTTTCCTCTTTCAACGCAATGACTCCACCCACGAAGCCTCGAGGCCAACTAACCGACACGCGCATCTTCTGATATCTATCGCATTGGAGCCTGGCCATTATTTATCTCCCTATGGTCCATTCCCTCCTACTACTTCCGGACCGCATCCGAAAATGCGCCACAAGCTGCTACTATTACTCTATCTTTCGGACCTGATCCGGCACTTTCTTCTCTCTGTGGCGCGGTCCCTTACTTTTAGACGCGTCCTTGGGCTATCTGTATATGTGCACCACCTCTTTCCCCTCTTCTGGGCTCGGATATTGATGACACTTGGTGCTTCCCATTTCTTTCTGATGGCTAACGGGGCTCCGCTGGCTGTGACTCGGAGTTTTGTCCACGGTCAGGAGGACAAGACGCGTATTCTTGGCGGATGGACAACCTTTGATCCCGAATTCTCTTAACCTCCTCGGTGCCTTAATCTTAACTCGGGACAAAGCTACTTTTTTAAAAACACGACGTAAAGATGCTTGGCGTCCATTTCGACGTTGTTTATGTTCAGCTGTATCAAGCCAGGAGGGCCCGCCGACCTGCCGATATCCCGACATTAACTTCGGAGTTTGATTCGAAAACTTGGATTTAGATCCGGCCACTGTTGGTAACCTACATCCGTGATATCGGGGGGCCCCGCCGTCCGAGTTTCATACTATGATCCATGCATTGAAGGAAACCCTCTCACCGAGGCTACGTTCTTGATGCGGCTTACTAGTAGTGGTTGCAGGCCAACAGTCGCCAAACACTGCAACTCTCAATTCATCGGTTCTTGTTATATCATCATTCGCGCATATCGGGGAGGTGCTCACGCATGCGATTCCGCAAGACAAAGGGAACAATTGATGTCGATGCACATATGCTTCCGCACATGGTGAATTCTCTCTTTTTTTGTGTCCTTGCGATACAGGAGTGGCTGGCGGGGATGTTCCATATGCATAATATATCAAAGAATGTAACCAGCTTGGATCCAGGTATAACGCTCTGCGATTAAGGAATCTTAATCGTCTAGAGGTGGAAAGTATCACTGAAACGTCTCCCTTTCAATGGAAGACAAAGCCAAGGACCAATTTGAACTTGCGCCGTCCTTCGACTGCGATATACGGTCTTTCTCAAGGTTACTTGGAATGCGTCACAGTTATGTACATATCTTGGCAGCATGACGCACTCAAAAAAAAGTTCTGCAGAATGGACGAGAAGCGGAACTATCAAGGTGTTTGTTACTCTCGTACTCATAGCCTTTCTCTCCAGAGACACCCAAGGTTCTTGAACACAAGAAGATGTACAGTGAGGTTAAAATCGCCTATGGGGAGGCTTTTCGAAGGTCCTTAAGAGCCTCGACCGAGCGATTGAGCAGCAATAAAGTCAAACGCCCGTCAAGAAGCTGTTCGCTATCATCAACTACTTTGCCAAGTAATCTTTTAGAGAGGAGATGGCGATATCGGATATGAAGTGTTCGATGTATATGCTGCTCTGTCAATGAACACAAGGCGAGTAGAAGTCAAGGCAAGTTCGAGGGCATCGAAAGCGGTGAAGCCTGAGTGTGATCAGCAGATGCCCACGGTGGCTCAAGTTTGCGTTTCATACTGCCAACGTGTCTAACCCCAGCAGCCATTGCTGGCCTTAGTTATGGAAGATTATTACCTAGGCGACGACATGACGGCCTAATAGTGAAATGGATAAATAACTTCGGCACTGACTCGGGGGCTAATCGTCAATACAATTTTTACTCAACAAGTCTGATCCGAATTGGCGTCGTATAACCCCCATATGCACTATCCCATCCTCCGCCTTGGCGGCTGTTGGACAAAATTTGAATATCAATACGCTAAAGGAAGAGCTTGGCAGAAGCTCCATCCCATCCACGCCGAAAGCCTTCCAAGTTCTTAACACACAATTAACGCCACCCAGATCCTGAGCTGGCAATCGATTCACGTTATGGCCGAACGATGATGCTACGAGATGGTAAAAAGAGCAAATGTCGATAGTATGGGCATTCTATTCTCCACTGCTGGCGCACGATAGATAGACTCAGAGGTAGGCGTGTTTTCATCCAACTCTCTGACCCATCGAGGTCAGGCTGAATAGCGCAACTCTGTCGCATACTTCCATTGCTGTGTCACTGCTCTGCATTGGTGCGCAGGAAGTTTAAATATGCAGCAAAATGCAGTACGATGGAAACATGGGTTCCGAGGAGGCAGGAACCAAAGGAAGCTGAGGATATGTATAGTCAATTGCTGAAAGTTTGTAAACCCGAGCTTCTTCGAGTGACATCATATATGTCACCTGAGCGCACTTCGCACACACAAACCTTCACAGCAATAAACGAGCGCTTCAACCAAGCGATTCTCCTTCGTCATCAAAAGGAGTCAGCTAGCCTTCAGATTGCGTCAAGGACGGAGGAACAATAGAGATGTAAAGAATATGCATCTTCTTTGCCCGAGGAATGACCGACGTTCAAGGGATGGGTACGGCCACAACGGTACGCGGAGAAATACCGGTGAGCTCGCATGTCGAAGCCAGCGGCAGTAAGAAAAACCAGTCGCTCTCACGAAGAGAAAATCCGCCCCCAACCTCTGGCTCGCTTGCAACCCAAATGAACGCCCTAAATTGTGATCATAGAATCTTCGTCCACCTCATCTCACCTCCGCCGCCCACTCACGATCCGAAATGTCGTAGCCGCGCCATGCTATCTACCACCTCTCCCTGCAATCGCGAAACAATGTCCGCCTGGTGATGATCGCCGCCACCACCCACGTATCCAGCGGCAAAATCCACCTCGGGGAAGGACGTCGTGTAGCTGTCCCGGTTCCACATGGAGGTAAACGCGACGAGGACGTAACAACTGAGCAGGACGGAGCCGCCGAGGACCATGAACAGGATCCATGAAGTCGATCTCGGGTATGACAGGCAAACCCGCGGGTGAAGTTTAAAGGTGCTGATGCGGGAAGATTGGGCGAGGACATAAGAATGTTGATCCTTTTTCTTCTCACATTGAGAATAGAGTGGATTGCTGGTGCTTATTAGACGGACCATCGTGTTTATCATAGCATTCGGGACAGAGAACACATCGGATACATTTCCGTATGCTCCGTCATATACGGAAAACGTGAAGTTTCGAAAACCATCTGTGTCAATAGAAACAAGGAGGGGAGCGTTCCGCCCACCAGCTATCAAGTGTAAGATTCATCAATCCTGACCACATTCGTTGAGAGATGAGCTAAGAGATTCGAGGTATGTTGTATGAGATTCCATATCCATGACAGAGCTATTCTTCAAATCGTAGACGGGGGACGCGGTGCTCTATTGGGATGAATCGTTAATAGCTCAACGCGTCAGTTTTTGGAAGAAAAAAACCTACTATGGTCATAGTCATAAAAAGATTCAAAGGCGGATTGGCCATGACGGCTTCCGAAGCACCGTGAAAACCCAAACCAGTGTACGAGGGGTCGTCAAGCGCAGCGTGACAATCGCCAGAGGTGATGTTACCGTCAACCCCACCACATACGGCGATCTGAGCTAGAATCATGGTGGATTCATTTCGCCCTCCGTTATCCAACGAGCTCAAACAGATTCGCAATGCAACGTCATTCATCCCGGGCTCGGAATAATAAAAAGGCGCTATCCATGCCTGGCACTCACCACTACTGAAGTAATGTCCGTATGCATGGGGATAGAACGACACAATCCATGGAGTCTCGATCATTGGCATGTAACCTGTCCGTTGGCGCCAAGATAGTCTACGCTGGTAACGATGGCATAAGACGAGCAGTTCGCCAAGGAGGCATCAGAGTCGACACTCGCACTGCATCGTTCTTCGGTAGCGTCAACCGGGACTGTTTGCTGAGGATGGGTCAAGAATCCTTGGAAGCCAAGATGATTATACTGTAAGAGGCTGCTGTTAAATTCTCCCCAACCGGTGGTTGTGGTGGTAGCCATGTCGATGGTGATGAAATTAATGTCGAAGAGAAAGACAACCTCGACGAATGACACGACAATATACGTGAACATTCGTTTTAGGCACCACGATCGCGTAGACCAAGAGACCTTTGTTTTCGTGGACAAGAGAGATGCTCGTCGCTCTCGATAGTCCTAGCAACGTACCGCCCGACACACCAAATAGGGGACGATGCCTTTTGCCACCTTACCCTTTCATAGCATGCGACCGCCAGCTCTCCCAACAGAAGCGTCGTCGCAGAAGTGCTGATTTGCAATAGCAATGTCATCATTGAAGGGGACTTTAACCGGATGAGAGGAGGGTCAGGCTCTCCTGGGATTTCTCTCCCTCCGTGAAAGTGGGTTACCGACTGTGACGGATCGGTGGATGCATGGGCAAAGAATACGGTCCAGACAAAGGTACCCGTTGTCAGCAACGAAAGACTGATGATGGACCAATTTCGAGAAAAGAATGACATGGAAGTAGGAGGTGATGGAATCAGTTCATGGTTGATGCGGGAGGGTTTGTGAGGGGACTTTGACCAAGTCCATGATCTTGAAATGCTTGAGGAATCCATGCACGAGTGATTCATATGCTCGTACTGGGGGAATCCCTTCAACGAGGCTTTGGACATGGCATGGGTGCACCGTCTGATAACGATAACGTTCTTATATCTGAAATTGCACTGACACGTCCTAAACCCGTTGATGAGAAAAATGTAAAGTAAGTAATAGAGAACTGTATCAAGGCACACCTGACACCGCCCTGACAATTGAAGATTGAACTTGACGGTGTCCATCGGTGATCATCAAATGACTCCCGCAACTACAGCGTCCGAATGCATGGTGCTGAATGAAGTCGGCGAGGTTCCACCCCAAAAATAACCAGAAGGTCGGGTAAGAGCATAACGAGGAAGATCCCAGATGGCGGCGGCAAAGCCATCAAGCAAGGTTTGGGAACAGGATCTGAGTAAATTTAGTGTTGTGGAGGTAACCAATAGGACGTTGACCTCGCACCCGTTTGATGAAAATTCAGATTGGACTAGAGAGACACCTCCACATCCACAGATAGGCAAAATAATCAGGAACCCACTGAGGCGCGATAACGACGATTTCGTGTAAGCGTTCGGTACCACCCTATTCTCTGGTTACGTGCCATAGGTCATTGCACGGCCAACACGGGAAGATGGTGGGTCGTGGGGACCTCATTACCGGATTCATAAAGGTTTGTACGAATCTAGGAGAGTCTGATCTGGAACTGCCATATATCTAATGGCTCACGAGAGTTCGTAAGGAAGGCACGAAGAGTGTTATGGCAGTGGGAATAGGTGGATGATAATGATTACCGCACGGTTTGAATTGTTTATTTAATGAAAGACACGAGTTCGAATTCGTTGTGCTGCAATTTGTAAGGAACACGAAGCTTTGCAACAAACCGCATTGCAGAGAGCAAATATGAGAATATTCGGAACCTCCTGCAAAAGTAGCGTAAGTAATATGGCCACTAGGAAGGGCTACAATGCGTCTCTTTGCTAGTACAAAAAGATGACCCGAATATGAGAAGGGCAGGAGGAACCCAAGACGACATTGAAGAGCCAATGTCGGCGATTTTATTCTATTTCTCCGCTCCCTGCAGCTGGTTTGAATATTTGACAACGATGACGACGGATACAACACAAGGCTTCAAGTTTCAATCGACGATGTCCAGTACTTTGCAGGCTTCCTTCCTACCATGTCGGGACTCGAAGAGATCTGACTGTCAAGCCAAATACTTAGAACTTTTGGGGTGCACTGTCACCGTTGGCATTATTCTCAAAAGAGATATCTCGGTCCAGCTTTCTCTCGCTTATGCGCTGCCAATCTTGACTGGCGGTGGGTCCACTGGTATACGGTCTTACCATGAACAGGTATCGATGCAGGTCTAGGCCGTGATCAAGCCAGACTTATATGTTTATGTTGATACGTCGAGATTCCAAGTCCTGCCAGATTCTTAGTCTTTCTCTAAATGAGTAAGCCTTCATATCAGCCAAGACAAGTAACCTCAAGCTCCAAGGCTCAAGCCAACACCAGCTACTGGATGTTCACACGACCACTTTCATAGGCACCTGCGTTTCCCGTCATCTTCCGCTTCGTGTAGCCAATATAATGATACCTGTTTATACAGTGCAATCTTTCGGCTTCAAGTTGACACCAAGCGGCACAACTTTCCACCCTCAAGAAGGCAGGAGATTCGGCATAAACCTGGCCAGACATCCTCGGCTGGAATTCCATTATCATGATGCGTCTTTGCTTTACTGGCCTCGGCTTTTGGTTTTACAGACCTCTGCCGTCTCGCAAGCACTTTGTCGGACTGTTTTCTTCCTTTCTCTTATCGATTTTGGGGACGACACTGGCACGGAGTCCTCGTTTCAAGTCTAGACCTTGTTATACTATCGTTCATTCTAGCGCATGGTATTGAGCAAAGTGTACAATGAAGTGCCTCCACGACGATCACCTTGGTCAAACTTTCATCATGCATTGATCATCAATGAAGCGATCATTATTCTTCAGGCGCTGGCAGGGGATTTGAAGGCGGTGAATCGTTCGAGTAGGGGTACAGTACTCCTATTTCAACCTGAAAAGGGCAGCCCTTGAAGACAATACTTGGAGCACGTTTACACCAAAATTTCTTCTGAACTTTGCTTTGCTCCCAAAATACATAACAAATTCGCTAGCAGTGAGCATACAAACTGTCGGCTCTCCCTACTGAGCCGGCCCTCGGCAACTCCCGCCAATAGGATTAAAATGATTCATCGTACCCCACACTTTTAACCAAACCCTTCACTCAACACCCATCTCATCGAAAAATAATGGTCAAAGCAGTCGTTCTCGGAGCCGCAGGTACGTCCATATAACCTAGTCAAGGGCTCCTGCTGAGCTCAATGACTTCAAAGGTGGTATCGGTCAACCCTTGGCCCTCCTTCTCAAGGCCAACCCAGCTGTCACCGCCTTGGGTCTCTATGATATCGTGAATACGCCTGGTGTTGCCGCCGACCTTTCCCATATCTCCACTCCAGCCAAGGTTGAGGGCTACCTGCCCCCAGATGATGGTCTTGCCAAGACTTTGAAGGGCGCGGACATTGTCGTTATCCCTGCTGGCGTACCGAGGAAGCCTGGGGTGAGATACCTCGCGCGCTTATCTCCAAATATGCTGATTTATCCTTCTAGATGTCGAGGTAGGTCTTTTTTCAACAAGTCGTTCTTACCAGCTTGTACTGAAATGATGCTGTCGCGCTCAGAGACGATCTCTTCAAGGTAACAATTTCTATATACTTGTCTACCAATTCAACGCTAACAGTCTTCTCCTAGATCAATGCTGGCATCGTCAGGGATCTTGCGACTGGAATCGCTAAGCACAGTCCCAAGGCATTCGTGCTTGTCATCTCCAATCCCGTCAACTCTACCGTTCCTATCGTCGCCGAGGTTTTCAAAAAACACGGAGTCTTTGACCCCAAGCGGTATGTCACCTGCCCGTTTTCATTCCATCATTTCCTTCACCTGATCCATCCTCAATTATTTTGCCCCTGAATTCCCCTGTGCTGACTGTGCCGCCCTTAGACTCTTCGGTGTAACAACTCTTGACGTTGTCCGTGCATCTACATTTGTTGGGGAGATCACGAAATCGGATCCCACAGGCGTTGTCGTCCCCGTTGTCGGTGGACATAGTGGTGTCACCATTGTTCCCCTTCTCTCCCAGTCTTCTCATCCTCTTCCTTCCTCTTTCTCTGCTACGGACTTGGACGCCCTGATCAACAGGATTCAGTTCGGAGGCGATGAAGTGGTTAAGGCTAAGGATGGCGCAGGAAGCGCGACTTTGAGTACGTGTTTTCCTTCCTTTTTCACTACGTCTCCTTGACTGATATGACTACCAGGTATGGCGTATGCCGGTGCTGAGTTCGCTAGCAAGGTCGTACGGGCCGTCAAGGGTGAGCAGGGAATTGTCGCCCCCACCTTCGTCCACCTGGACGCCGCTGCCAAGAAGACTCTCGGCGTCGAGCTCGATTTCTTCTCCGCTAAGGTTGAATTGGGAGTAAGCTTTCTTTTTCTTCTTTTGTTGCTTCACAGATGCTGATGCCATCGTCTAGTCCAGAGGTGTCAAGACCATTTTGCCATTGGGTGAGCTGACGGACAAGGAGAAGGGTCTGATTGCTGCTGCTGTTCCGGAATTAAAGACTAGCATTGAGAAGGTCCTCTTCGCAACTTCTTTTTGTTTATTTTTTTTGCTCATTTACTTGTTTCAGGGCGAGAGATTCATCACGGAGTCTACTCAGAAGCTTTAGATGAGATGGATTAGAATAAGGAAGAAGAAAGTTTGAAATTGTACTAAGCTGCTAAAGTGTTTTCTTGTAGATGACATCCTGGATGTATACGTATATTATTCTGTTTTCTTACTCTTTTACGTCTGTAGTGAAGACGGCGAAGTGGTCGCGATAGTTTGATTGCCGTTGGATGTCCACTTCGCTGTGCGGATTGTCGTCGATATGCTCTGGATTCACCTCGGCACGCGAAGAAAGTGCGCTGCTAAGATGAAAGCACACATGGTCGAAAGATACTCCGTACTCGGGATTTCTTTGCTGGGTGGATTTCTTCCCAGTCGCAGATGCAGCTCGGAATATGGGTGGAGCTCCTGGGTTTGCTAAGATTTGTGAGGTCGGTGATTGATCAGACGGACTTGGTCCTCCGAGGACAAGAATCTCCCGTTCCTGCTTTGAATCCGTGCTGCACGGACCTCAGCTGGCACGGGAAACAGAGGAAGGATAATAATACGTGTAAGTAGAAATACCAAGATTCCCGAAAGGTCGAACTGAGTGGTTCGCGTATTGATTAAAAGTTGTACAGAGTGCCTAGCAAAGCTCGCTGAAGCATATCTGGTCCGTGACTGTGACCGATAATCACGTGTAACTGCATCATTATCACGCTGCGTGACAGTACATTCAATTGTTGCTGTTAGTTTCACGAAATGTGCGGCAGATTCGCACTGCATCTCTCCGTGAGGACCTCATTGTATTTTTTAAAACTAGAATAACATTTAATTGACTTGAAGCGCGACGAAATTCAAGCCCAGACTGCCGCTGCCGAATGGATTGATCAAGACAATTTCGTTCCGCGATACAACATCGCGCCTCGAACGCAGGCACCCGTTCTGCGCAGGTCCCAAGGCTCTAATGCGCCATCTGCCTCAGACTCACAGCCAAGTACGAGCAAACTGAGCTCCCAAGACACGCTTGTCTTGCAGACAATGAAGTGGGGCCTGATTCCCCACTGGTCCAAATTTGAAGATACCAAGTTGAATACGACCAATGCGCGTGCGGAGAACCTCGTCGATGGCGGCGGTATGTGGCAGAGCTTAAAGGGAAGGAAGAGATGTGCAGTTATTTGTGAAGGGTAGGTTCAAGTATATCCTTTAGAGAGTGTGCTGAAATAATACGATGTCCAGTTACTACGAATGGCTTACGAAAGGAAAGAATAAGCTGCCGCACTTTACGCGCCACAAGGGCGGAAAACGGCTGATGCTCATGGCTGGGCTCTATGACTCCGTCGTCCTAGAAGGTAACCACTTCTGTCAGGTCATTTCGCTATTGCCAACTGTTCGGAACAGGTTCAGATACTCCTCTGTGGACATTCACAATTGTAACGACCGCTGCTGCCCCTGAATTTGAGTGGCTGCACTCCCGTCAGCCTGTGATATTGTCAACCATGGAGGCATTGGACCGGTGGCTCGATACGTCGTCTCGACAGTGGGACGACGAAGTCGCAGGCCTTCTAGGTCCATATGAACAGAAATCTTCCCCTTTGGAATGGTATACTTTCGTTCTCAATGGGTATCGTCGCAACTTTATGACTCTCATTACAGTTATCAAGTACCAAAGGAGGTTGGCAAGGTCGGCACAGAATCGTCGACGTTCATAGAACCGATTGACAAGAGAAAAGACGGTATTGAGGCCATGTTCGCTAAGCAGGGAGCGAAAAGGAAAGATCCTCCCGAGTCGTCAAGCAGGAAGACAAAAATGGTTCAGCCCGTCTCGAAGGCGGAGAAGCCCTCCAAAAAAGCAAGTTCGCAGCTTCGGCTATCAAGGGCACATGTGAAAAAGGATGAGAGCGACGACGAAATTGTAATTACAGATGGACCGTCCGGTCCTTCTCCGCAGAAGAAGGTGCTTATTTTGTCCCTGTGTTCATCCGCGTGTAGTTGCTAATAATGAGACCATACAGATGAAGAAATAGTGTATAGTAGAATTTTGGGTAATTTCATGTGTCAAGATCTCGGGTTGGTATTCTTGTTGTTATCATATGTACAATATACGTTATTTTGTTAATCTCTTCCTAACTCAGTCTATTCTCCAGGTTGATTTCCGAGGTATACCGACAAAGCGCTCACCAAGCGCTTGAAAGCTAAGACGGTCAATGGGTTCAATAGACCTCATCATCTCCTGAAGAAAAATTCGTAAAGTATGGTATCAGAGGCAGCAGTGCAATCATGAAATCACAAGTCTTCTGAGCTAACACAGAGAGTGATAGCTTCACAGGTGTTTTATATACATTTGCGAGTGCCGCGCTGCTGTCATGTCCAGTCTGTTGTTTTCGTATTATAGATGAGGATATGTATCTGGTTTCACCGATTCTGGACCAGTTTCATGTCAGACAGAAATTCCCGCAACCATCAGAAAAGAAGAGAGGATATTCCTATGTATTCACAAATCTCCTCTGATTCTGGAAACTTGATAAATATCTGGAGAGGTATCAATAAAGTCTACAACAACTCAGAGAGAAAGCTAGGGTATTTACATCTCATCTGCTGATTGGGCATGCCGTCTGTTGACAGTCCCGTCTTTGCAAGTATGTCTGCACCAGCATGCGATAGTGGAAGTTGTGATTCCAAAAGTTGAGATTGAGTCCAGCTTCTGGTTTGAGTTCAACGGCATAATCCACTACAAGCTAGAGTCTAAAATAATACGACTGAGAAATCAGAAAAGTCCGATGGTGCTTCTTGGAGCGAAAAGATGCAGAAATTAGTTAGAGAGGCAAAGAATCTCAGAATCAATATAGTTTTGACGAGAGCTCGTCTATCACTGGCCAGATCACTCATGTCGGATGGTCGATCAACTACTAATTGGTCGACATATCGATCACAATAGAAAAGTAGCCATGATGGCATTCTGAAACTATAGAAAGCTGCATAATGAGATATTGAGCATCCCAGGCTACTTGTAGCGGTGTCAGAGATGCAGCACCGGCAGTATGGCTATTATCTGTTCGATTAATGTCCTCGAAACGCCACAGGAAGACGTTTTCCACGTGGAGAAATTATGAAAATCATGGAGTTAAACAACATTGGGCGATTCCTAGACAAGATCATGCCGTCAAGAAAGGATGAGAAAAGACATGGCCACCAGTATTTCAGTGGAGTATCGGCAAAGGAGCGAGAATTTCACAAGCGAAAATTGTTGGAAATTTGACGACAAGATTTTTCCCAGACAGAAATTGAGAGGAAGCGGTATCACTTTTCTGGAGTGAGGCAACTTCGAGGCAGGTATCCAGCGGCCTTTAATCGCCTGCTCTGCCGTCTCTTCGAATGTTGCTGCTTCTTGGACAGCTGAGATGAGTGTTAATGGTTGGGGTGTTAGCCGCGGCTGTACAGAGGGGTATTATCACTCTGTCTGTGATTAAGGCATCTACAGGATTCCTGCATATCCCTTCCAAGTCTATTCATCTGGCTTCGAATATCTCTTCCTTGTCCTTCAGCTGAGTCATCCTGATAGATATCTATGTATTGGCGAAGCTTTTTCTGCGTGTCCTTCAACGATTAAACTCGTCTTACTCAGCATCATCAGTCATCTCCACCACAATTCGATATTTTTTCTTAAGGCTATCTATGTCGCAAGATCATCCGTATGGCCGAAGTAGCCCAAGTCGACGCCTATTCCAGAGGCCATTCGTGTCCTTGGATGACTCAGAACTTCATATTCTAATGGGTCAAGGTAGTTCGTCAACGATGTCTATAAAACTGCGAGAGCTGCACTGATATTTCTCCAGCTGGAAAGTGCACAATAACGTCCGCAATTGCATCTGACACCGATACCTCTATGTATGGGTATGCATGGTTGCAGGCTTTACCATACTAGAAAGCTGACAGGCTCAAGTTTCCAATCGCACAGCCGTCATCAGTTTGTAGCTAAACCTGACCAAGTCCACACGACCGCCGATTCATTCTTGGCCACCTATCAGCATGAGCACGAGATTTGGATGGTTCTTAAGCACTCCGACTCGGCATCGACATTTACCGTCTTCGATGCTGCTGACGCGGGTCACAGCGCGAACGAACTTCTCCAGTCTTCGCCTACGGCGCAAACTGTCAGAATTATGAAGACCCATAGTAAGGTGACGATTCCGAACACCGAGAAGACTGCAGGTGCGCCAGTAGGGTTGGTCTTATTCTTCAAGGTCAAACCCGGAAAGGCCGACGCAGTGCGCGAACTTATCTTTGTAAGTTTTCCCATCAGATCCAAGCGAAATTTATAAATTGATCTTCTTAGTCTGCTATCTTTTCCCTTCGTCGAAGAGGAAGAGAAAACTCTGATTTGGTTCGGTTTGGAGTATCCTGACACCCCAGGTCATTTCGGAACTGAATTCCCGACTTCTTCACAGACAAAGGAAGAAAGATCCATGCAACTGGAAAGGCTGCGCAGGCGGTACAGGCTTTAACTGACTGCCGATGTCACGGAGGTTGATGTCGTCGCAATGAAGATCGCGGTTCAGATCTAGGGAAGGCATTCATTAGCGAGCACATGAACTTCTTACATACGTATACGTAAATGGCGTCCCGTCTATTCAATTATGAACTTTTTTGACCGTACACATTATACAAGAGCAGCCGCGAATAAAAATACGCAGCGGTACTTTCAACCCTTCATATCTACGAGCATCGCATGTGCTGCGGGTTCAGTCCAGACTGTTTGTAATCCATCATGATATAGGTCCAATCAATGTTGACCCATAGGGTATATTAATCAGAATGAGCGCTATCTATCTGCTATCAACTGATGCCAGCTTGCTCATATCACCATTAAACACCATCGGAGAATAGGGACTTAAAAAGTACCAGGTAGAATGCTAACGAGATTGTCTATTCGTCAATATATGCAGAGATTTGGTATATTGTCCAAGTAATATGAAAGGAAGATTGTCTAGAGGGCGGCACGCTGGGAAAGGTTTGAGTCGATGACAAAGGTAGCATGGGTGACAGATGGCTTACGTTCTTGTAGTCGCGTTTATTATACAAGACACCGCCAGGGGTAGCAGGGGCAGCCACGGGCGAGCGCTTTTTCTTGGTGCTGGTGTACGATGCCGTCGAGGGGCAGTAGCTATTGGATGACGTGCATTGTCCAGTGGTCTGTGGGCATTAAGCGAAAATAAAAGTATGGTGAACAATCAGTGATACCTTATGGTATGTGCAGGCGTTGCTCCCCGTGCCTTTGCCGTTGTAGAACCTACGAACATGTTAGATGGATTCTAGAAGGCTCTCTCTCCGACATACGTGCATCCAAAGTAGTCGCCGGAGAAGGGAGGGCTGTCGCACTTGCCCGACACTTGTCCATGTCCCTGTGAGTCGTATTCTGGGCACACGTAACCAGTGTAGGGGGTACTGGACGGTTTGGCAAGGGCGGGGCCAGCGATCATGGCAAAGACGGCGACAAAGGAGACGACAGAGAAGCGCATTGCTATTGTTAAGGAGAGTGTTTGTTAAAGAATGTGGTGGGTTGATGTGCTCAAGAAATTCTCTACTTCTTGGGGGAAAAGACAAAGAGAGAGGTAGGTATCTGTGGTAATTTTTTGTTTATAAATAATCCAGACCAAGGACGTATTGTTGAACCGGTTGCAAATTGGGTTATTACTTAACGTTCTCCGAAACACGCGCGTGATGCATGGTAGTAACTCATTCTTCCCCGGATCCTCTTCAACTGTAGAACAACGCCATTCTTCAAGCCGGTAGTACCGCCAGCACACATAATTTTCTAGTAGAAATCTCAGAGGAAGGAAAGTCATTCGTGCGTACTTGTTCCAGAAAGAGCTTGAGATATCTGATCCATCAGATTCGGACAAACCGCGTGAAGGTTACAGATCGGGCCTTTCTGCCGGGAATGTATAGCCGTGATTGGAGTGGGCCAGCGTAACTGACAAGGTCTTGTTCTCCAGGTTCCCCATTCCGTTTTGAAGAGATGTTGTTCTTAGAACAATTGTAGAGCTCCAAACGTCGGCGTGAAGGAGGGAATATAATTTTCCATTGATGACCCTGTAGAATAGATCCCTACGCATATGAATCAACACGTTAATTGCTTGTTTCACGCTGGCACCTCCCGCAAAAGCTCTCGCGCTAAACCTCCGGCAGTTAAAACGCCCTGTTCTTCTTCGCTTAAACCTTCAGTTATCATCATAGATCTAGACTTCGTAAGTATAAGAAGCACGACGTAGAAGGAATGACCTTACTCCAGTCTGGATATGTAATTTCCATCCATTTCAATGTTCAGGTCTGGACCAATATACCTATACGTTGAATAATGAACGATCAGTACAAGTTATCTCAGTTAAGACGCGGCGTACAACTTGTTCCTTAGGGCAAACTGCAAGAAACCCTTCCAATAAGGATCCTGCCCCATGAGCTGTGCATTGCCGATGACGATCAATAGCTCCTTTGCTCGCGTGATACTGACATTCATCCTGCACCCCTCGGTCTCGATCAAGCCGTAAGGGATACTCGCAGTTCTACTCACCTTTTCCTCTCATGGATAAGACCCAGGCCCTTCTCACTGTCCTCCGCTATAAATCTCGTCCTTGCTCGTACACAAGAGAGTATGATTACCCTCATCTCCCTTCCTTGATAATCCTGCGCCACGACGTCAGGACCTGACCAGTGCTGCGGTATTCTTCCGTACCTCGACACATCCAACGTCAACTTTACCTAATCCTTCCTTCCGCAGTCTCTCCCGCAACTTCCAAACCTGTTCGCGCCAAGGGGCCATCACTCCTATATGCCTCAGAGCAATAGGTGGTACCGACATAGCCCCTTCGGCCAACAGACCTTTGATGGTACTCACCACGAGGTCTATCTCGCCTGTGTTATACCAAGTCTCTCGCTATTCGTCCGTGAATAAGAAATAAATGAATAAACAGAATTAACGCACCTCGTCGATACACTCTTCCAAACTCGTGCTTCCAATGAACGTCAGCGGGATCTTGACATTCGGAAGCCCGGACCACACTACGACACCGTTTCCGTGTGCACATGGCTCCAATGTGTCATTGTAGAACAACGCAGATGGGGGCATCAGGATCGCCGAATGGCTTCGGTAATTCTAAGATCATCTCGGTTTAACCTGGTCTGACAGTACAAGGCTGCGAGACAAACGACAGACCTTGACAAGATTGACAAATGGTCTATGAACCGAGGATTGTTCATTTGTATACAATGGGCGTTCAAACAGACGTTCGAGGAGCGAGATGTCGAGATTGTTCGAGCGGCAATGATCAGAGAATATAATTGGGCCCACTTCATGAAACAATGTCTGTTAATATATTGTCCGTCGAAAAATAAGGGAGCACACACGTTGATTCGGGTCTCCACATAGCACCAACTGAGGAGTCATGCTAGCATCTGACGGCGTCTGGTCTTCTGGACAGGAGAATGGAAGAACGACCGATATCGGAACCAGTAGTTCAGGCTCAGACCCTTGTGCAGCCTGAAGAAAAAATCTGATCCCCAGCAATGAACATAAGGGAAAAAAATGCACCTCGTCAATCAGGAGATGACTCCAGTGTGGTTTAATCGAACGGGCGCGAGTAGGGTGTATGACATTGACAATGGAATGCTCCAACTCTCCCAGCACACTGTTCGTGCAGCGGGCGCCGGTTAAAATTCCAGCGTCTAAACACGAAGTCACCACAACTTTGCAGCGCATGAGGATCTTGAGGGATGGTATCGAAAACTTATCATTTTCTACGTCTTTGAGAAAAAAGTTAGGAGTGGTTAGATGACGGGACGAGCGAGGGAAACATACAGCAAAATTGTCGGATGGAATCAGGGACTTCAGCAAAGGTTCGATTTTGATCATTGAGACGGAAGAGTTCGTCAGGTTTGAGCACTTTGCCGAGTCGTTCTGCAAGGGTATCGGTAGCAGGGTTCGACGGAGCGCAAACGAGAACGTGGGCGTCAGGTTGGACACGAAGAATTTGATGGACTATTTCTACTACGGTTCTAAGATAAGGAAGATATAAATAACCAATAAAATTGAATGGGTGGGAAAACTCGCCTAGTTTTACCGGTACCAGGAGGTCCCCTAATGAGAAATGGGACCGGGGATTGATATGAAGAGACAAGCAAGGCTGCGAGCTAATCAGATAATGCCATTAGCCAGTCAAATGAGTTATAATGATCATAGATACCCGCTGTTCACTATTCAAACCTTTATCGATCCAGTTTTCTTTCAGCGGCGATGTAGTGGCCCTCGTCCGAGGTGACTTATTAATATGTTCAACCTCGGGAAATAGCCACTGATGAAAAAATAAACGAGTTTTGTTATTATTTGAGTTCAGCGCTTCGGCCATGATATTAGTCGCCACATTCATCCTAATGAATGGGCGCGCACTGGGCATGAAAGAGACATTGAATGACAGATCGAACGAGTCATCCGGGGTGAAAACAGGAAAACCATCTTCGATGGCACGGCCAAAAACCGGCGGGATATAAACCTGCATGTGATACTTCAATCCAGGGCAAAAGAAATCTACGACGTTGGATGAGCATGTCAAAGTCGTCTGGGACCAAGACACGTACGAACGAACCCTTCTCTCTTTCGAAGGGTGAGAACGCGGGCCTCAAAGGCCCGCCCAGTACCCCTCTTCTTCTTAACGAGGACCTGCCTCAGATAAATCAAGTCACCTACTTCAAGATGAGGATGGTTTTCACGTATGCCGGAAACCACCAAAGAAAATTGGGACTCCTTCCAATCTATGACGCGCACGCCCATTTTCCATAGCACGATCTGTTCTTTATCAGCAGTGACCTGGTCAAGCTCCCATGCCAGGAGAGTGTTCCAATGCTCGCGATATCTCTCAACAGTAAGTCCTTGCAATTGCAGGGTAGGCTCGGGAGGGGCAAAGGACAGGAGATCAGGGTGATATGCATCGTTGAGTGTATCAATCATATAGTTTGGACAAATTTCGCGACAGTAAGAGGGGGAAGGGAATATTGGTAATGGGGGGAGGGCTTCGAAGTGATGCGGCTGCTGTTGAATGTCTCGAAGATATTGAGGTACAAAGACGTCCGCCTACGAAATTTCATAAGCCTACCATTCCCGCTCAAAGATAAAAGACACACATATTTGTCAAGAGGTAAAGACTTCACATCTGATGACGACGTGGTAGGTGAGGTCATTCCGTGTTCCTCAAGGGTCTGCTTAATCTTAGCGCCTCGTTCTTGCTCGCGTTTCCGCCTCGTCCGATGTCTTCTAGATTCAGGTGGCTGTTTGATAGAAACACCAGAAGTGGTAGCCTCCGTCGTTCGGAGGATTCCGCCGAGAAGATCTTGAGGTGAGCTATGTCCTGGTAAAGGTGCCAGTCGTCCCTTCCAGTAGACATCGACAAGGCTAGGGTCCTGGGCAGCTACTGGAGACGAAGGTAGGGCACTAGGATTCAAAGGCAAGACACCAGAAGGGGCCATCCATCCATTTATATAGTTGGTATGTCCGTTTCGAAAGTAAGTTGGCGGATGCACTGGTAGTTGGGCGAAAGGAAAATGATAACCATCGGAGAAGAAAGGTGAAGGCATCTTTTGTAGAGGTGCTTCACAAGGTTATAAAAGGTGTTTTAGAGCATATATACAGAGAAATTGACTTGCAAGAACAGCGACTGGGGAGCCTGCAAGTCAAAGTTCAAGATAACAGGCCCACGTGGTAACCTCGTTGTCGATCAAGTACAACAAGCGCCCACAATAATCACTTTAGACGCCTCTTAGAGGGATAGAACACTGAATTGCTTGCAGCGATATGTGATAAAGGACAAATGCTTAGAACGCTGTCAACGACACGCATCAAAGGGGATAGGAAATAAGACTTTATATGTCACGGAGCATCAGGATACAGACGTACAAATAGTGAGTGAAACTGAGATGAGATGTATGCTACGATGAAGACACAGTGAAAACAAAAAGAAAAAAAGACACAAATAAAGCGAGGATGAGCAATACGCTAATCACTTACTGCCAGTACCGACCCTGGCCCTGATAGTAGAAGCTCGCATCGTTCTGACCTTGCTGGGGGTACAAATGCCCTTGAGGCCCGCCCTGCTGATGATGGGCGCTCTGTTGAGGCCCACCAACGCCAGCACTGACACCTCCGCCAAACCTGACACCACCGTAGAACCCTTGACCCTGTGGACCGCCCTGTCCAGCCTGTCCCTGTCCTTGTCCCTGCTGCTGTCCTTGTTGTTGCTGCTGGACGCCACCTCGGGCAGAACCGACACCGACATCCTTAGGAGCATATGGCTTATATGCGTTCTCGGGGGATCCTGCTCCACGGGCAGATGCCCCTCCAGCACCGCTTCCCATAAATCCTTGTCCGGCACCACCGCCGTACAGTTGCTTTCCATAGTCGCCGCCGAGACTGTGCTGCTGATGCGAATAGTCATCGTAGCCCGCAGTTTGCTGGTACAGAGTCTGTCCATATGGATTGCTCTGGGGCTGCACGCCGACATTACCACCAGGACCAGGCTGCTTCGTCACAGGACTCGGAGCGGAACCGGGACCTGGAGGTTGGTACATTGTCGGGTATTTGACAAAGGGCTGAGGGACGCCATACGCATTATTGTATGGAGTGCCATAGTACTGATTCTGGGTGTAAGGGTTGAAGTAGTATGGGACGGGGGGTGGAGGGTAAGGACCTTGATTCTGAGGCTGGCCAGAGCCCTGTGAAGATGGGTGTTGCTGCGATGTCTGAGCATTGGAAGGCGGCAGTCCGCCTGCCGTCGATGAAGGTTGCTGCTGAGTGCCCGGCAAGCTTTTGATATCTTCATGGCTGCCCAAGACGTTACGGCCTCCGAAGCCAGTCTGTTGGTAACTGTCATAGAAACCCTTGACAGAGAATTAGAACTGTGGAAATATGAACGAAAGACATAGACTTACTCTCTGACTATCGGCATAACCGTAGTCACCTCCTCCAAAGCCTCCAAGGTGAGAAGCTTGTTGGTGTTGGGCTTGACCGACAAGGCCGAAGGAGCCGTAGTTATCCTGAGTTTGTTGGGCTGGGGGAGTGGGTGCATGGAAGTATGGTGTTGACGCGTCGGTCTGCCTGAAGTAGGCAGAGTGCGCCGCAGCAGATGACGGCTGCGGTTGTGGTGGTGACTGGTTTTGCTGAGGCTCGAGGTGGGTCGGAAGACCATGCTGCGAGTATTGGTGAAGCGATTGCTGTTGCAGCTGCTGAGGCAGATGAGATTGGGGGGGTTGTTGGTGTAGAAGGGGCTGGGATTGAGGGGGTACTTGCGGCGCTTGAGTTACAGTGCTCTGATGAGGTTGCGTGTATGGCTGAAGAGGAGATGTAGCTACATGAGGTGCCGCCGCTTGGGTTGGAACAGTAGGCTGGGAAACGGACGTCGGAAGGGCGGTGTGCGGGATAGTAACCTTAGGTGAGGAGGATTGGACAGGGAGGGCCAGCGATTGTTGTGGATAAAGACCGGACCCAAGGGAAGCAGATGTCGGCGGTGGTGCCGCAACGGCAGACGGTTCAGAGGAAATTGTAGGCTGTTGAGCTGGGGGGGTAGGTGGTGATGGAGGCTCAAGTGCTGGCTGTGTCTCGAGTTCAGGCCTACCAAGTGGTGAGCGACTAAGAATCCATATACCTGAATCAGAATACGTACGTAAGGGGATCGAACAAACTTTCTCCGCCAAGGCTCAAACTGCCGAATTGCATGCCAACCTTTTCGACACTGGAGCCGAACGAGCTTGGTAAGATAACAGGCTGATCACTTTTGTATTTAGCACTGCTACGATGTGTAACAGGCGCTGGTCGGACGGGGGTAGCTGCTGCTTTGGGAGGTATAGGTGAAGGTATGGGCTCTGGCTCTGGTACTTTTTCGATCACTGGCTCTGGCGCCTGAATCAGCGCAGGTTCATCGGCGGGAGCCGGGGTTTCCTGTTCGGTTTTTGTCTCAGCTGGTGGCCATGGTTCTGCGAGTTGCTTCACGGGCGGCTCATCATCCCAGGAAGGCGCCTGAACTGTTGTCGGTTCTTCCCATCCGAGATGCTGAGCATCTGGTTCAGGTTCAGGGACGGGAGGTGGAGGCAATGGGGGATTTGCCTGGATGGAAGGTGAGGGTGCCACAGGGGCAGGAGGAGCAGTCACAGGAGCTGGTGGTAGAGTCGACTTCTCTTGAGGCCTTGACAGCATAATAAAATTACTGTGGTTTATTCTAAAATAAAAGAAGACATACCGTGCGACTTGAGCCCATGAAAGTTTCGAAGTCGCGGGTATTTTAGAAGGTTTTGATGGGGCTGGACTGGGATTAACCGACGACACTGAGCCGTTGACGTCAGTATCACCGCCCCACGTCGACGTGGTGCTAGCGCCAGTCCAGGCTGAGCCAGGCGTAGAGACACCTGCAGAAACGCCGGACATATCAGATGAGTCGACCCATGCTGAAGGCGCGGCGTCGCTGGGTGCCGACGACGCGTCGTGTTGGTCGGTAGCCATCGAAGTCGAGGTCGCTGGCGAAGGTGAGCCATGATGAGTTACAGCAACATGACCATTAGTGGCGGCGCCTCCTCTGGGAGGACCACCGCGACCACGAGAGCCTCCGCCACGTCCAGGCAGACCACCTCGTCCTCCACGACCGCCCCTGCCCCCACGGAAATCACCCCTCGCAGAAACCGACTCTTTCGCTGCATGACTGGGAGCTGGAATTGGTTTCTTTTCCTTTTTCCGGGTGACTGAGCCCCACTGCTCTGCGTGGCCTGCACAACGGTAGCCTCGAGTATCAGCAAAAAGAAACAAAGAGAAACTGACAAGCAGCGCACCATCGCTAATCCTTGTAGCTGCTAATTGAACGTCTCCATTAACCTCGCTGAGGAGTGACTGTAGATCTGTGTGAAATATTAAGGACGCGAAAATGGTGAGAAATCGGGGCAATGACAGACCATCGTTTGACCAAGTTGGAAAAAGTTCTTGGAGTTGCCGAGCCTTTTCACGGAACTTGTTGTTTTCAGGCTGATCTGAGGGCGGCTGAGCGCGAATTGCAGACTTGTATTGCGACATCAGAGCAGGAAGACGGAGATGGTGACCTTTTGAAAATCGTCCTTCCCGTAACGGCGCACGGTGCGGAGATTGAAGCGTGGGAACCAGAGCTGCACAGCATTGAAACAGCCTGTCACTCGTTTAGCCGGTAGACATTACTACTCCGTACCCCCCTCAATAGCTCTCTGATTCCAACAATGAGTGGTGAAAATACCCTGACATCGTTGAATGCTCTTCTTCACTCGGCGCAAAAATGGGATTCTGCTGTTCCGATGGGTGCGAATTCTCAACAACCTTCTCGCGCTTAGCAGTCTGGAACTGATATCAGCTCAATGATCTTACTACTCTTTTTCCTACCTTCAACTGTAAAATCTGGCCCCTCATCATGCCGATGCTGTACTACTATGTGGTTGCTGTGTGTTATACACGTTCGTGCTGGAATATCTTCATGAAAACAAGTAATCATGTCTTGCGGTGAACTTGTGAATGCTGTGATGGACTCGGGGGACATCTCATCACGATATGCACCGTTCTTGTCAATTCGAATGTCTGACATTAGCATAGCCGTTGAGACCGTTGTCACTGTAACTCTTACCGTCAACCCGAGGATTCGCAATTGTCGCACAGACTCCCACAGAAACTTCTCCATCTTCTTCACCCTGGGGCGAGCATTGGACATGAAGAGAATAGCATCCCTTGAAATATGACCTTCAGGAGTTCAAGAATGGAGAAGCATCTGTAATTGATGTCTTCACTTTCATCTCATCCCTTATAGTAACAGAGGTCTGTCATCATATCCTCTGGCTGACAAAAGGGGCAGATGTTTTCTCGCCTTGAGAACATACCCTTAAAGTCTACGATTTGGAATGAACGTGACATCGCCTCCACCTTTTGATCGGCCATTGGTGGAGAAACAGATGTTCCTTGTCATTAGTTTTTGGCCCTTTCTCATGAGACTTTTGGGTACCAATCTCACCTTCATTGGGAAAGGTGCTTTCTCCAATGGGTGCAGCCAACTGATGATCATGAAGCGACACGATAAAACATGATAGAACGCACTGAAGTATACATATTCTTTCCCGCGTGACACCGGCCTAGTGCCGTGACGCTGAATCCTAGACCGTCTTTTCCCAAGGCAAAGATAGACACCCAAAAGAAGAGAGTTGTCGGTGTGCAAAGTTTTCAAGTTCACAGATGGGAATTGGTTTCAAGCCCAATCTGCAGTGGTCAAACATGGCAGATGGCCAGAGTAGCAGATATTGATTAACTTCAAGTACTGTCGAGTGAGGTGCCAAATGTTACATTGCTCAGATGGTTGTTCGTGTTTGGCTAATATTGATAACAGCAATGGTACATGATCCGATTGATCGACTACTGTTTATCCACTACCGCGAGTATCTATAAAGCCGACTCGCCAGGCTATGCTCACTCAGTCATGGCCAACTATGTCTTGCAACTTTTATTTGAGGAACAGGCAGGAAATACATCAAAACAAGAACGATTTGGTGGCTGGAACTGGCTAGAGTCTGAAGCTATTCACAAGCGATCCGAGTCGGACACTTGGTGAGTTATTCATTCAACATGTTTCAGAGCATAGTGTCTTTTGACTTGCAAGTTGGAGTGTAAAAATTCAATGAGACGGCATCGCAATATAATATCGGTCTTCTTTGGCTTCTCGTATCTGGTCCTTATTATATTATGCAGCCACTTTCTCCAAGTTGACAATCCGTATCCTAGCATTTGGTCATTCTATCGTCATCTTGGACTTTGATCGGGACTGCGGAGGCTAATATGCTGCTCGAAATTTCCAGAAAGCTCTGATACCGATGCTGCTACTTAGAACACCTCCCACTGGGCACGAGGACGAGATCGGATTGTGTCATGAAAATACCATTTCCGTTCCAAGGTTTGCCCTGGGCTCGTTGATGGCGTCCCCCAAGACCGCGGCCTCACACAATTCTTTTATCGGTGTGAATGCAGCGATTTTTAGGGATATCCATGTTAGGCAGGCGATTCTTCCTTCTGAGTCTGTCGCCTCGGTCGAAATCGTATTGCATTGTACCTGGTGCGTACTTCGCATATCAGTATTTACAAACCATTTTCTGATCCACCATCAAGTCCACTCTGTTGATAATTGAATCGCTGGACTTTGTTGCAGATTCAGATCCTCAATATATAACTTTGAGTAAAAAAAGCGCAAAGCGCCAATGCTCGGATTGCTATCGCTTCGTTGAGGAACTAGTCCTAATCGCAATCGTGATTTTATCCATTGGTCGCAAAGGCCAAAATCCTGATTCTCATTTCTGATTCTTTTCGAAGCATTGTCTTGTGTTCGACTATACTTATCGGCCGGGGTGAGATGGAATTCAAATCGGATATCTCGGGCCACATGACAAGGTACACTACAATACTTGGTATATCTTCCGCGTGTACTCACAGTCGTATTCCTAACTGCAAAGATAGTGGAAGCGTGTCGTAACTGTCCGGCTAAGAACGTGATGAGGTAAATCTTTCGCCATGGTTCCCGTGCTTCCAACATTACTGTGAAAGTGGTTCTCCCTGATCCGGGATCCTTACATATCGTGGCGCATCAGCATTATTATCACAAGGTCACATCTTTCATTGAATGTAATCTATATATATTTGCAGCGTACTGCATCCTACTGCTACAAAAGTAAACTGTCATCTCTGCCTTGGCCTGAATTGAGTTGAAAATACGAACACGTTGGTCGTTTTACATGTTGGATGAATTGGGTGAACACGGTATGGGATAGAAGCCGTTCCCCCGGTGTCTTTGGGACAGCAGAACTGTGGCGGAACAGGGTCGAAACCCATATTTGTCTCCCCCCGGCTGTCTACGTTACAGCTGGAAAGACGTCCCCGTGGTTTGAAGATGACGCAAAGCGTGGAGTGGACCCCGGACCATGCAAAGCACCGGCTAATTGACAAAAAGAAAATGTCAATGTGGCGTCCGGCTCCTACAGATGGAAAGTAGCGATTGACCAGTTGTAGGATAGATGAGTGCCAAAAGCTGACTGAGAACAGCGGAAATGACATGGCCTGCGGTGGGCTAGTAAGGCTAACGGGAATTTGGAGCATCTTTTACTGATGGAAGCAAAGCTAATGGTAACACGAATCAAGGTCGGTCCAGATGGTGTTCCTTTTCGTCGGTCCTATTCGTCAGCCTGTTCTGACAGGCCGTTTACGGAGAATTTACAGTGGGCCGTGTGAGAACAACAAACAACAGCTCATCCAAGACTCCAAGGATTTAGCGTCGGACGGAAAGCAAGAGCATTCTGACAGTGTCGCGAGACAACTTGAACAGAAATGAATTCTTTCAAGTGAGATTGAGTGCAAGATTTTGCATGTTCTTGATAGATAACCGTATTAATGTATGCAGCACATCAGCTGCCACAGATATATCAATGATCACGGAGGGAAGAGAAGAAACAACTTGGCAGTCGATGGAGAAAACCATGTGCCTTCATTTCTGAAAAGGGAGATCACGTGTGAACGCGGGGTACTACTTGACGGAGCCTTCGAGGACTGGCTGTCGTACAGTACCACCTTCTACTTGCCTGTTATTTCCTTTTCCTTGCCTTTCCATCATTTGCCGTTGCTGCATTCATCATGGCTACCTCGAAACTCCCGGTATTGCAGCTGCCGCATCCCTTGATATTATTACCGGCTTCTCGCTTCACCATGGCACTGTCCAAGGAGCAGGGAGAGGCCGTTCTGGCTCTGATTGAGCAGTCAGATGCCTTACCTGTCGTTTCCGCTGTTCCCATCACAAACACCCCTACCGCCTCTTCAGCTCCTGTTTTCTCAGAATGGGGTACAGCAACTCGCGTCCTCCGTCTCGTGCGTCCTCCAGCTAGGAATCCTCGCCAGCCTTATCTCGTTTCGCTCCATGGGCTCACACGGGTGCATTTGACAGCACCTTTTGCGGCCCCGACTTCCCTGGAGACCACTCTACCCATCCACGAAATCGAATACCCGCCCACCGAACGGATACCGTCCAGAGAGGTCGTTGACAAGTTCAAGCACAGTGCATTGAGGTTGCTCGACAGACTCGCCAATGATGCCGTACAATCCTCGCGAAAGGAGGGCTATCAAAAGATCGCCAGCATGCTTGACGACATCACTGATGCACGAGCTCCTTGGATGGCGGATGTTCTCATTGGAAGTATCAATGGAGAGTATGATGACAAGCTCGGTGCGTCTGTTATTCACCAATATCTCGATATTCAACTGATATCCTTCTCAGCCATTCTCAGCACCCCCGACTCCGAAACCAGGCTCTCACTGGCAACAGATATATTCATGAAGCAAGCTTCCATTTCAGAAGTCTCCAAAAAGATTGCTTCTGCCGTCGATGAGTCTCTATCTAAACAACAAAAAGAATTCTTCCTTCGTCAACAGCTCGCCGCTATTCAGCGTGAACTTCATTCTCTCACTTCCAATGGTCCTCGCAACAACAACTCCAATTCTTCCGAATCTTCGGGCTCCGAACTCGATGACGACGAGCAGCATGACGCCGATGATCTTGCCGACCTCAAGCGTAAGATTGAGGTTATGGATCATGGCTCAGAAGAACGCAAGATGGGCGTTCGGGAATGGAGGAGGTTGAAGAGGATTCCACAGGGCAGCGTAGAGAACGGAGTCATTCGAAACTACCTCGAGTGGCTGACATCCATCCCGTGGTCATCGCACTCAACAAGCACATCTCTCTTGAAGGACAAAGCCTTCCTCACAAACGCCCGGCAACAGCTCGACAGAGATCACTTTGGTCTGGAGAAGATCAAGCGGCGGTTAATCGAATATCTTGCTGTGGTGCGACTGAAGGAAATGAATGCTGACACCCAGATGATTTCAGGGGTGGATACGAAGCAAATGGATGGAGAGAAGGCTCTTGTTCCATATACAGCCAAACCCGTCCTTTCGCGCTCGCAGAATGTCAAAGGTCCAATATTACTCTTCGTAGGTCCTCCCGGTGTGGGGAAGACGTCGTTGGGCCAGTCCATTGCCAAAGCTCTGGATAGGCCTTTCCAAAGGATTTCGTTGGGCGGCGTTCGTGACGAGGCGGAGATCAGAGGTCACAGACGGACTTACGTTGCCAGTGGTCCTGGTCTTATCGTGCAAGCCATGCGCAAAGCGGGTCGGAAGGACTTTGTTCTGTTGCTGGACGAAATTGACAAGATTGGCCAGAGCAACTTCCATGGAGACCCTGGAGCGGCATTATTGGAGGTATTGGATCCCGAGCAGAATCACGCCTTCAATGTGAGTTATTCTGCTTCCATTATTGTGACAGCGTACTAACCGTTCGAACAGGACCATTACCTTAACGTTCCTGTCGACTTGAGCCAAATCTTGTTCGTTTGCACGAGTAATTCTCTTGACACAATCTCGGGTCCACTCTTAGATCGTTGCGAGATTATTCAGCTATCGGGTTACACGTACGACGAGAAGATGCATATCGCTCGAAGATTTTTGCTTCCCAAGCAGATTACTGCGAATGGCTTGAAGGAGGAGCTGGTCAGCATAACGGAACCGGCGCTGTTGCATATTGCGACGAGGTACACTCGGGAAGCAGGCGTGCGGAGTTTGGATAGGGCCATTGGAGCCGTCGTGAGACACAAAGCAGTGGAATGGGCTGAGCATCTCGACGAGGAGGTGCCCGATGGTGAGCAGAGGCTTCTCACAGATGGTTCTGAGGGAAAGTCTTATTCGCCTGTGGTCGAGGAGAGCGATCTGGAAAAGATGCTGGGTATTTCGCGGTGGGAGGGGGAAGAGAAGGAGAGAGAAGAAGCTAGGGGTATCGTATTTGGCCTGGTGGTTATGGGTCAGGGTGAAGGAGGCATCCTTCCCGTTGAGACCATCGCGGTACCCGGAACGGGTAGCTTGAAGAGGACGGGAAGCTTGGGTGATGTGAGATGTCTCATTGTTTTCATCGTCACTTTTATCATTGCTGACTGGGGTTTCAGGTTATCAAAGAGAGCAGTGAGATCGCCTTGAGCTGGGTTAAGACGCATGCGTATGACCTCGGGATTACGAACTCGCGTAGTCAGGATCCACTGAAGGGTCCGGATCCCATTGATATCCACCTTCACCTACCTGCAGGTGCACAAAAAAAGGACGGTCCTAGTGCTGGAGTTGCAATGACTTGTGCGTTTGTATCGCTGCTGACTGGGGCACTTGTTCCGTCGAATATCGCCATGACGGGAGAGGTATGGATGCTTCATATCGCACTCAGGATACAAAACACTTAAATTTGTCTGATACAGGTAACCCTCCGAGGACACGTTACGCCCGTGGGTGGAATCAAAGAGAAGGTGAGTTCATCGAGCGCTCTATCATTGGACGGCGATTGACAGCCTACTATTTGAAGGTCCTCGGCGCTCATCGCGCACACATTATCAAGGTGATCCTTCCTTGGGGTAATCGGAAGGACGTCGAACACGATGTCGCCCCGGAGATCAGAAACGAGATGGAGTTTATCTTTGTGAGGAACATTCGGGAGGCATTGGACGCTGCGTTTGGTCCGGCGACACTCAGCTGGAGGAGAGGAAGCGTGGTTATGGAAAGTCGATTGTAAGTGTTGTTGCTTGACACGGATTGGGACGCTTTCGTGTTTTGAAATTGTAAATGGGGCGTTGTAATATTAGGTGTATTTAAGAATCGGGACCATTCCCGTTCATATAAGCTTTGAATACTGCTGTTTATTTCCTTTATATTTCTATCGTCTGCGACACGAGCATGTATAATATCTCATCTCCGCATCTAAGAGGACGGAACATACATTTGTTTGACTTCACACAGCAGTTCCGAGACATAATGACTTGCTGACATTTAAAGGAGCATTTGGCGCCAAGCAAATAGAATTAATGCAAAAACTGGAGAAGTTGGGGAGAACAGAGATAAAGACGAGAGTGCATGACTAATCTTCGTGAGAAGGGAGTTGATCATCTGTACTACCGATATGACTGTTCTTTCAGACAGAAGCAAAAGATGATACGGAACGGCGAATCTGAGAGAAATGATTGCACCACTTATCCTTCCATCTTCGATGACCGGACCTAGCGCGACTACATTCTGCGTGAGTAGTCATCGTTTTTTGAGATAGATCCTCTTCAGCAAGACGAAGATTTTCATCTCTGCGAGTCAGAGACTCTTGTTCCAACCTGTGGGTAGTAGGTATATCTTCCCTTTCATGTCCTGTGTGATAATGTCCACTTCTGGGCATCTGGAGTCTTCTTGGCATCTATAGCGAACCAGATGTATTGCGTGTGGAATGGGAACAAAGGAGTTGCGAAATGCAGAGATTCTGCTAATTGCGCAAAGCTGCGACTCGTACGGCAAAAAAAGGAGAAGATGAGCTAGGTACACACGATGATAGCGATATGGTAGGATTGCTATGTAGAGGTAGTTAATGGGTGGTAGGCGTATATGAGCGAATTATACATAGCACCAACTGAACTATGAAGCTATCGCTAAGGCTTGCTATTGATGTTCCAAGTTAGGTCTACAGTACCCACACGATCGGGAAATTCTTCAATCTATAGCGAATGAGGGGGGTTCACAGGGTTCTAATCATTACAAGATACTCTAACTAATGCCTGCTTTTCGGCGGTGTCTGTACTTTTTGAGGAATGACTGGGATTTCCTCCAGAATTTTGGGATTTGCTCGGCTTGGTAGTGGAGGGAGACCAACAAGCGCACGGATAGGCGGAATTTGCAAAATAACCGTCTGGATAATGTGTACGAAAGAGAAAGCGAACATGGAGACAACAGTGCCCTGCAGAATGCATAAAGTCTGAGTATAGCTCAATGAAAAGGTGCGTTTTGCTTACCGCTGAGAGTTCGAAATGGGTTATGCCCCAGTATGAAAGAACTGGCGCAGCTGCTGCTAACATTTTCATCGTCTTAGCTTTAGGATCTTTAGGATCCTGCTCTCGAGAGGCAAGCTATAGCAAAACCGTCAGAAAGAAATAAGAAAACGCAAATTATGGCTCGTACCATGGTTTGAACGAGAACCATGGAAGCAAACGCGACGGACATTGAAGTTGGAGGCATCACCGTCAGATCCGTGACCCATGACACTCCGCTCTGCGTCAGTTGAGGTACAGGCAACTGGCACATCCCGTTCACCCCCAAGAACGCGCTAACCGAAACGAGCATCTGAGAGAAAATGCCAGAGAACGTTTTCCCTAAGCTGATGCCATGCTTTCTTTGCACGTCTCGCATCGCCAGGTAGATTTGCATCTGACGTTGACGGTCTCCACTGGCGGCGGCAAGCTGCATCTCGTCGCGGAGAGGCGCGACTTCCTTGGTCACAGCGGGCATTAGTGCAGTCTGCCTCATCGAGCCGATGGTGAAGGGTATAACGAATGTTCGCATTATAGCTGCTCCCGCGACAATTGTCCAGAACCATGGAAGACCGGTGGTGTAGTTTAGATATTCCAGGAAGGCCTGGTAAGCACCGGCGGGAGTATATGCTGCAAGGCCCATGGATGCCAGGTCACCGGGTTGTAGAGGAGCGATAACCGCAGTAGTGGTTTCTACGAGGTCGGAGGGAATTGTTTCCGGGAACGCAAAAATCTCCGAGGGTGTTGAAGGGAGAACCTCTGCCGCAGGAATGCTTGTATCAACTACATCAGTGGAAAGTGGTTCAGGTGGTTGCGACGTTGGAGTTTTCGATGAAAATGAGGGCCATAGGGAGAAATTCCGACTGACAGGGCTGAAGGTACGCGCTTGACGTTCGAATTTCAAGCTAGGTGACTGCATTGTGTTTAATTGGTATTATTGCAGTAGCATGAGGCTCACCTGTATCAAGGGTGGGAGAAGACGAGCATTCGGTATTCTATAGCCATTGAGTCAAAGGCGAAAGTACAAAATTGTGTCGGCGTACCTCTTGCTATACAGCCTAACGTTGACAGCACCACGAGTAAACCGAATCATAACGACGGGTATGTGCACACGTATTGGAAGTCTGGAAGAGGCGGTCTTCGTGTTTAACGACCAGCAAGGTTCCGGCCTACAGCAAGTGAGGAATCCGAGCTTTGAGGTCCGCACGGGAGTCGAAGGAAAATTTGGGTGAAAATTTGCTGCTGCCGACTGCAAGCACTGGACAGATGTAAAGGACTTTGGAAGATTATTAATTCAAAGAATACATAGGAAAAGAACAATAATCTACCTTGGATGTCCTTAGAGCACGTAAAACAAACAGCTGGCTCGAAGCAACTATGTGGTGGAGGATTCCGGCAACACCGATTTGGTACCTGTATGTGGCTGTGTTGATTTTCACGGAAAAAAGTCGTGTTACCTGTGGTCCTAGTATCGAGGCCCTATCGGTTCAAATCCAACGATCCGTATAAAGATAAGTCGTTCAATGGATGCAAAATCCAGAATGACTAATGTATATGTACGAGCATTTTTTCAGCCATTCACAAGCCTCGGATCTGTTCATCATGGTCCTTGACTTTCATGGAGGCCCAGCCCAAACTCAGATATATATTAGGCTGCATAGAAATAATCGACCTGGATGTTCCCCCCGTTCTGGAGGTGCATGAGTTTTTACCTTTCCGAGGAAGTCTTTCTCGCGTTATAATACGTCTTTTTTTGTTCAATAAGCTTCAATCACCTGAACTAATATTTATTACTCCAGTTCAGCTATATTACCTGTCTAGCATCAGCTTCCACAATTGTCCTCCTTCCGACTCTTTGTCGACTTGTGTAAGGGCAGTGGTCTAGGCTTCCGGTGAAATTCTAGGCTCCAATCGTATTCGTTTTGTGGGTCGTAACTATTTCTATTTAGCCCAGTAACTGGCAGTAACTAACATTTCATGGAGGATTCAGAAACGTTTGCCTAAACCTCCTCCTTCGCCGATAATATGTGTCAAGAAAATTAATTAAATAAACGTGGGCGACTCACATTGACATAAACTCGATAAAACGAAGATTCCAAGAAATTAAATAGTCTACTTAGTGAGCTTTGCGATCACGTGGTCCGAGAGAAAACGCGAGCCACTTCAGTATTTGGTAATGTTGACTGATTCAACACGGCCGTGGGCGCCATCACAGTGCTTGTTCCTGCAACCAACATCTCAATCCCCTCTGGGTTATCTGACCTATTGCCGTGCCTTTTCCACCCGCGATGTGGTCGAAAATCACCAATGCTCTCAAATATCGACCGTCGAACGATGATCAGAGTTCATCGTTCCACCAAAGTGATGTAATTTCGAGGGTGCTGGAGCAGCATCCCAACATGTCCGTTTTCCACGGAGAGGCGGAAACCTCTATTCCTGTGCCCAGTCCTCCAGCGTCACCCTCTAAGAATGGAAGGCGCTCTATATTCAGAAGGACGAACAAGGGAAAGGACGATGACTCCATAAGGGCGCCATCACCATCGCCACTGGCGCTTGGATTACCGAAGGTGAAGTCATCTCTTGATCTCATAAGCAATGGTGAGTGTTCGATTTCTTCTTCAGTTTGTGCTATATGAATGCCTTGATATAGAATCTCAACGCTCACTCAGTCGCGCCACAGTTGAACGTCCCGACATGGGGCACCATCCATCACAAGATCTCCTACGACCATCAATGGACGCTGGTCGATCTAGTCCCACTGCACTACCACGCTCTTCTTTGGATATCCTCAACAAACCTCAAAACGAATCTCTTCAGCCATCTCATAACGAAGATCCTAATGATCCCAGATACGGCTCTGTCCGTTCTATCTTGCGCGAACCAAATACCCCTGGTACAGGCCAGAACGTCCGCTTCTTCTCTCGTGACGCGTACAAAGTGATCAGCCCAGACCAATCCATGGACTCAGACTCCATGCCAATACAGCATCTCTCATCCCAGTCACAATCCCAGTCGCCACCCGACGTGATAAACCGCTTGCAGGAGCTCAGCTCTCGGCCAAACATCTTAGGCGCCATTCCCCGCTCCGTTTCTTCGTCCAAGGCCGGCCACCCTTCTCTAAGTGAAGTTTTCTCCCCTATAGGCGGGGTGAGCACTTCCATTTCGCCCTTATCACTGAAAGACAACGCGTCGGCTCCGCTTGCCTCTCCCTCTGCTCCGAATAACTCCAACATATTTGACGTCTCTCAGGACATCCAACTTTCCGATTTCGCGCCGCCTGGCCTTAGTTTTTCTATGGACGAACCATCGCTTGCCAAGGAAAGTGATACTCCTGCATCGGACGTTGCCAAGGGAGGTTTCCAAGGCAAAGCAATGACTTCTACACCCTTTGCTAATAAAGGCAAAGGCAAGGAACGAGCTGCCGAGGTCGAAGAAGAGAAAGAGAACGCTGCTCCTGTTGAAGTTGATGAAGCAGTGTTCCACGGTACAGAAAAGTCCCCCCGTCTACCTGCACCTTTCCATGACCGTAGCCAGTCTTTCAGTTTCGGACAAACGGTCTTCTTTTCTATGGATGATAAGTCCAAACGGTCCTCCAATGCATCCACCGCCCCGTCTGTCGTGTCTGACGATGTAAAGAATGCAATCCTTGCTAATGACTCGCCGCATTCTTCCAACAACAAAAGCCGAAGTCGAGCATTAAGCGACACTGTTTTCCAATCGCTAATGAAATCGACGTCCTCCGTCTCTTCCCACGTTTCTTCTAAAAACCGTCCAGAGGCAGACATCAACGATGAATCCTCTGCCGATCTCGTTGTGTACTCTGAGAAGGTACCTGAACCTGATCCCTTCAGTGCTGGTGCAAAGACGTATTATACCCCACAAACCAATATCCCGATTACTCCACCGCGCGGCGCTCCGAGTCATGTACGAACGGCCTCCAAAGAAGATAATGTCATTTTCTCTCTGCAAACGCAGCTTTCGCTGCAACAGGAGCTCTGCGGACAGTATGAGACAGACCTCTGCGCTCGCGACGAACTTGTGGACATCTTGGGAAAAAAGCTGGCGGAAGTTGAGAAGGAAGATACGAAACGCAAGGGCGTTTTACGAGCGTGGAAAAAGAAGGTCGCAGAGCTGGAAAAGACTTGCCGCTATCTGGAGGACGAGGTGGATAGTGCGAGGCAGGAGAGCTTCGAGAGAAGTATGCTTGATACCTGCAGTGAGGAAGCCTTGACGGCGCTCCAGAAGAGGATTGTTGATCTAGAGAGGGAGAAAGCGTCCTGGAGGCGCATGGAGGACATGTTCCGGGAGGAGGTTGCAACATTAGAAACTCTGGTGAAGGAAAGATCTGATGATGTCATGAGACTGAAGGAAGCGCTGTGGACTCAGGAAGAGGAAGAGAAGCGTTTCGAAAAGAGTCTCCGGCCCTTGCAGGAAGAGGTTGAACAGTTGGGCAACGTCAGCATCGTTTTCGATGATGAATTCAAGAAGCATATGATGGAGAAGGAGAAGGAGCAGGAAGGTGAGAAGGAGCAATGCACCTTGGCGCAGGCCGGGTGGGACCAGGAACGTCAGGAGCTTCACCTTGCGATTGAGGGGCTCGAGATAGAGAAGGCAGTGTTGAAGAGTGAGGCAGAGGCCTCCAGGAAGGACGCTAAGGATGATCAAGACGAACTATGCATGTTGAAATCTGAGCTCGAATCCCAGTGGTGCCTTTCGGAGGCTGCTACCGAGAAGATACAGACGCTTGAAACGGCGAAGGTGACCCTGGAGAGGCAATGTGGTGCCCTCCAAGTTGACATATCCGAGTTAAACGCTAAGATTGATCGGATGGAGGTCGACTATAACGATAGTGTCAATAAGCGCGCCGAAGTTGAGCAGCAAGTCTCAGAGCTTTGGGATCGTAATGCCGATCTCGAGAGGGAGCGAGATGAGGTACGCCTTCTGTTTCCGTCTTATGAAGTAAAGTCTTATCTGTGTATGTTAGCTTCATCAACGTCTAGAAGAAGAAGAGCATGCCGCAGATCTATCCCAGTGTCTCCATGAACGTGACGAGCATATCGCTGCCCTTGAGCAAGAGCATGATAGCGAAATAGCACGACTTGGAGATGAGCTACGTAAACGGGACGAAGAAGCGGCCGAGTACGGTCGTCGCAATACACAAAGACAAGCCGAGCTGGAGGAGCTGCATAGTCAGAAGATGAATATGCGCCAGGAGATGGTGCGTATGCAGGAACAACATACCAGGGCCCTTGAGGAGTCAGCGCGGCGTGAAAGCGAAAGTAAGGCGCGCACGGAGATTGTGTTGAAGGAAAAGGCGCAGGACGTTGGTGCCTTGAAGGATGAAGTCGAGCGGCTGGGAAGACATCTACAGGAGCTCCAGCAGGATAGCGCCAACAAGGACTTGAAGTTGACGCAGATGCACAAGGAGAGGGAGAAGGATCGCTCTGATGTTGATGGGTTGAATATGGCCCTGGATGCAAAACAGCAAGAATTGGAGCTGGTATGTCTTCCGATCTATTTCTTCTGACCCTCTGTTAATGCTGCTTTATAGATGAAACGCAAATTACAAGTGCAAGGTACAGCAGGCTCTACACCTGCTCGCCCAGCGGCGAATCAAGCGAACTCTCAGCGACGTCAATCGGCCTTGGTTACCCCTCGTTCACGTCCACCGTCTGTCATGTCAGATTCGGGGAGGGAAAGTGTTATGTCAATTTCCAGCCACACCAGTCGACCTTCGATGGAGAAAGTGGTACCTTCTGCTATCGCGAAGACTCCAATAGTCAGCAAGACTGCGGCCCTCATGAAAAGTGCGCGCATGAATAGCCTTAATACTCCAACGCCTGCGTCAAGCTCATCAATTAAAGCAGGACCCGCGATGTCTAAACCTTCACGTAACGTTGAAGGATCCATGGGCCCGCCTCCCGATAAACTCCGCCGATCACTTTCTGGTGCTCCAGGCAGACTCCCGTCCCTCTCTCGTTCTACCTCTGGTCGAGCTTCTCTGTCCACTTCTACGAGTTCTACTCCTCACCGACGGCCGTCTCTGACCTTGGAGAAAACCCTTGCAAAGGTCAAGGTTCCAACTACGGCGCCTGGTTCTGTTGCGTCGGTGTCCGAGGGAGAGGAAAAGGAAAACAAGTCGCAGGTACCGACGTTTTCCTAGGTGCTATCTCCCATATTTATTAAATTTATGTGTTGGGTGAACATTCTTGATATCTACATTATCCGTATGTCCTTGTTGTCGAAATGTACGTCTATATATCTTATCTCGCTATGATCGATTTCCGTCGTTGCATTTGAAACTTTCGAATCCTTCCTGACTATTTGTCCCTTTATATTGTCTACAACTGCAAAGAATATACAAGGGATGATGGTGCTAAGGGACGAGGAATCTGGCAGGGGGACCTCTAAGTGACCGAATCTTCTAACCGGTACGGTTGTCGCAGTCCTGAAGAACGGGTAGTGAAAACGTGCGAAAGGTGACAGTGGCTCTCAGTCCGGGAGGTTCTAACACACGTCACAGCCGGCTGCTGCAATGAAAGAATGCATCGCTGCTGTTTGTGATAATTGGCTCAAAGTGGGAATGGGGGGCGGTTCAGTGTTAAGAGATTCAGGGCGACAGACGGACATGAATACTGTATGTAGGTCTAAAGAAGGTGACTCTGGTCTTTGTGAAATATGCTGATGTTGAGGACGGATGCCTGGATATGGACATCGGCAGTTTGAACGGTGGAAGGGAAATAGAGCCTGGCGGCAGAGGGGAGTAGATAAAAAACAGAGAGATCAATCCATATGCATGAAGAAAGCACGAAACTTGTATTGTCACCTAGGACGAGGAAAGCGGCAGTACTTCAAACGAGGAATAATACTACGTGAGACCGGTATCGGACCGTTCCCACCGTCGACCGTGTTAGCCAGGCCCACGTGATATCGACGACGTTCTAAAATGGGAGCAGTTTTACGCGTCAAATTCTCAGTTTTACGTAAATTCTGCCTTGGATGAACAGCATATAAGCGGTGGCCTCATCCCAAGAATCCTAGCACCCCCAACTGAAGATGAGGATGCATGTTAATGGTATGCATTTTTCACTCAGGACACCACGCTTATATCACTAGCGTGGTGGATGCAGGCCATAATTATAATCATTAAATACCGCTCGGATAGATATTCCCTTGAACGCTATACACGTCCAGTATGTACTTGTATGGATGCGACATAATGCCTAACACTGAGGCCATTTCGTCTCTCAAAACATCTCATACAATGAAAGATTTCCCGCATCTACGGCGAAGGCATGATATTGCGACCTCTTTATATGCTACTAGGACCCTCCATAATAATACGTTGGCCTTCAAGAATGCCTAGGATTATTTTTAGCTCATATATCGCTACTGTGAGCTCAGTAAAATGCAGTCTGGCTCACACAGACTGGTTGTAACATGATGCTAGTGATTGCATTGCTGTGAGCCTATGGATCCATCCATCAGAATCGGCACCTTCTTTGTAGTCTGTCGTGTTATCATTGTCTTCGAGATTCTGGTCTGCACTGTGTCCACTGTCCAATGCCTCCACCCACATAGTACATATATATATCCACAAGACACCATATGACTCTCCGAAACCCTTTCCGCAATTATGCTACTCACGACCAGTTAGTCCCCCGCTATAACACTATCATTCGCACTAGCTCTTCAAAAACGCAAAGGCGTGTCATTTGTATATCCAAGCCATACTAGAAATCCCCTTCTTTACTAACTTAGAAGACGACTACTCACAGCTGTCCTAAAATCGAATTGTGGCAATAAACCGCGAGAGTGAAATACGAAGAGTAGTGGGATACCTCTTCAACTATGTTCGAGACTACGGCTACAATCTTATCAGTGGGCGTTTAAATGCCATGACCTCTGCCATGGACCCAGTCGCAAGTCTTGGAAAGCTCGACATTCTTCCCATCGAGCTGCTCGACATCATTGTTTCACAGTGCTGTGATATACAGACAGTTGTCACCTCCCTTTCGCTCGTAAACAGATGTGCTCGAGTGATCCTTCATTCGTCGTTCATCTATCAACGCCTCCGCTGCCACGCCGACCGCGCACTCGTTGCGATGCTTAGAACCAAAGTCGCGTCCTACTTTACGCTCGCAGATGTTGATAGTATCCTCTGCGGTGACCCTTACTGTACCAGAAGTGGTGACTTTGGACCCCCTCTCTGGCTCCCGGAGTGCTGTCGCTGCTGCATGTCCTGTCTTCGTGGCGCACCTGATCTCTCAGGCTTGCCCATCTCCCGACATGCAGCCACAAAGGCCCTTGGAATATCTAAATCAGCATTGGCCCGTCTCCCCACGTATGAATCACCGTACCCGGTAGATATTGTTCGGTACACAAGCGCTATGTAACAGTATACCGACAGTGTCTGAGTTTCCGACACGCTCGAGCTGCAGCAGTCAAAATCGCCGGCGGGGAAGCGCAATTCATGGCCCGTATAAGCGTCTCACCATGGCGCCAGGCGGCATACGATGCATTCATCGCCCAGACAAGGCCATGGGATAACGTAGCTCGTTACATGGTAGCGGCGCCTTTGCCTTATTTTGACAAGCGCTTCGGAAAGGTCGATCGAGGGATTCATTGTCTAGGCTGCCAAAGAGTAGTAGTAGCAGCATCAATGGTAAACTGTGTCTACCACCGCGAGGATATTCGCCGTAGGGATACGGTTTATGTGGCTCGCGACTTCATCCACCATATATAGAGTGACTGCCCAGAAAGTAAATGGATATGGGAGAAGCATTTGAAGGTGTTGAAGTGAAGGACCAAAAAATCTGTATTGCAGAGACGGTAGCGTTATTATATCGCAAGGAATGTAGTGGTAGGATACACGGTACTCAGATCACACCTATCATACCAAACATTCTAGACAACGCTTAACGCTGAGCCTTCCTGTAAAGAAGGAACTGACCTCAAACAGCCGTCTTATGTGTTAAAGATCATCTGGCACGTATATGTAGAATAACTTTATTTTATGCATGAAGACACTACAACGACCTCAGGAGGCTCCTCTTATCGTAAAAAATGACAAAGAAAGCTAGTGTGTACAGCGGAAATGTTCGACGGAATTTGGTGCTGAGCAGAGATGTTAGGATCGCGATAGTCAGTGGCCGCCAGCGTTCAAGTTGGCCGAAGAATATTACACCGGACCGTATTACCGGCATGTAGCAAACAATGTCATACAACATAACCCTTTTTTTTGACCCCCTCGCGTCGTTCCGTACTTTTCTTTCTGCAAAAGGCCTGGTTGCTGTATCAACTTTCAGCCAGTCCTTGTTGCATTGCCCTGTCATCCATGCTTCCACCCGCCCTTCTAGAGTTCACCTTGGCACGTCTCATACATCGCGGCAGTATCTTAGGCTCCGAAGTCGTGACTGCCCGAACATGGCCCCGAAGAATTGGTGTTCGTGCCATGCAACAAGCGGTACTCGTATCCGATACATCACCAGTAACCCTCTATCCTCACCTCAAGGGAAAGCAAACCCTTGTCAAACCTTCTCAAGGTAGCAAAAAGCCAAAAGGAGTCGGGCATTTGAAGGTTCGAGAAGAGAAAGCTGCTGCCGAACGTCCAAGATCGGAACTGGCGCATCGCGTAGATGCTTTGTTGAAAGTTGCCCAGAGAGAGGTGTGTTGAATCTAAGAGTTTGGGATGATTTGTTCAAGGGCTGTGGTTATCTTAGGAAGAAACAGTGGACCATCCTACCTTTAGCGAGGAAGAGCTCCTGTCACTCTATGAAGATATTCTTGCAGGACCCGAAACCGAAATGGAACGGCAGCAAGAAGACCTGACACCTGAACAGCGATCTTTGGAGGACGTCGAGATGGTGGAGGCAGTCTATGAACGTCTTCGCGAACAGACGCTAGAGGAATACCTGGACCCCCAGTCGTCGAAAGCACCCTGGCTTCAACATGCATATCATCGTCGTATCCTTGACCAAGTGGGAAAGCTGATGGATTTAGTGCTCCGAGGCGATGATGCTCCTCTGATCCCCATCGTCACGCTATCTATACAGGAATGGAACGCGTTGATTCGCATATGTGTACGTGCTCGTCCTCCACTAGTGCTATTGTAGTATCCAGATAAATTATAGATCCGTAAAAATGATTTGGAATCCGCAGAACGGTCACTGCGACTCATGAAGGTGAGTTTATGACCCGCGTTACATTTCAATATTCTTACTTTGATAGCGCACTGGTGTTACACTACCTGAAGAATCGATTAATGAAGTTGTCAAGTTCTATGCGGACAAGGGCGATGTTTCGGAAACCGAGCGTATTTTGAACAGTTTTGTTCTTGGTTGGTAGCCTTTGGCTATTTTCCGGTATTAAGAAAGCTAATATACGTCTGCCAGGTGCTCCTTCCGACCGGCAGCAACATCTTCATATCTGTTCCCATCTTCGGGCATCCCCAGATGCTATGCCAACATCAGCACTTGCTATTCTTCATGCTTATGAGGAGCAGCTCAACATGCCCGCGCAAAAGACGTATACAAGCCTCGTCAAGCACATGCTTTCTGTGAAGGATTCGACGTCCAACGCCCAAGCATGGGACCTGTTCTACCACATGCGTTATGTCGCCCATCCTGTCCCAGATGCCTTCTTATACACAACAATGATCCGAGCCTGCGCCTCATCATTCTTCACCATTCGAGCTTCGGAACCCGAACGTGCTCTAGATCTCTGGACAGAGATGACGATTGACAATAATATAGCGCCTACGGTTGCGTCGTACAATGCTGTCATACTAACTTGTGCGCGGACTGGCGACAAGAAGTATGTTCATGAAGCTTTCCGCCTTGCCAAGGAAATGCTAGATTCTCACCGAGACGCGCATGGAGAGCTGTTGTATGTGCCGGACCAGCATACGTTCCTTGCGCTATTAGAAGGGGCGAAGAGAATTGGAGACCTTTCGAGGACACGGTGGATCCTTGCGCAAATCAGCCGAGTCAGTGTTGAGGAGCCCTCTCTAGGTGTTACGATTGACGAAGAAGTCATGATGCACGTCTTCCATGCATATGCGGCGTATGATCCTCCTTTCAAACGTGGTATCGCGCTACTACTTGAAGAAAGCCAAACGGCGCCGGCATCGAATGATACTTCGACGACCCATCAAGAAAGTTCAGACGTAGCTGTGACCCCTAATACCCCTACTTTCGCCCATGTTGCTCCTCAGAGTCGTGCAGAGGTCATTGCTGAAGCTGAGCTATTATTCGGGCGCATATTGGAGGATGGTGGGTTCTCTTTCGATCCCACAATTAGTTTCAGTAACGTCAAGCTGTCGACCCGGCTATTGAACTCGTATCTCTCGGTGCACTACAAGCACGGGACATTAGAGGCAGCTCGGAAGTTGTTCTTGGATCTCTTCGTGGACCTTGATATGGGCCGCAATGCCCGGACGTTCCGCGAGGCGCTGGAGCGATGTATGTATTCGCACCAGAAGGAGCGGCAGTTTGCTCTCGAGTTCGGTGGAGAGGTATTCAAGATGTGGCAAGAGTATGACGCATCCGGTGGGGTTGCAGATGCACGGACGGTGGAGAAAATTCACGTCGCGTATATCCGACTACTTGCCTTGTGGGTTTTTCTTTCCGTTTTATGGCACTCGCTTACCTTTGATCTCTAGGACGAAGGATTTGGATGCCGCTCTGGATCAACTACGGGCATTTGTCGCAAAATATCCACCTTCGGCTTTGCGCCACCAGCCAGCAAAACCTGGGCTGAGGTCTACGAAAACAGTACTCACTGGCTCGCGACCGCTTGTTCGAATGGCTTCGGCTGCGGAGGTCCCGGACAGTCACGTTCCTCCCTTTGTGCTGTTCAGGGATATAGATGTGCTTCACAACCGGCTTGTTGCGAGTGGAGACGTGAATGGGATTGCATATGTCAAGTACGTGTGCAAGGCGTATGAATGGGCGTTGCGAGTCAGACGAGACGAGGCTCTCAAGGCCAAGCCGGTTGACGCTGAATCCACGGCGCTTATTGATTTAGAAGAAGATTAAATATATTCGTATTGCAATAATAAAAGACAAGCATAACGTCATTTGCGGATGGGGCATAGTCATAGTGATTGTTCGGACGAAAAAAGTTTGCTTAATACTCTGTACGGAGACAGGGACGCTCTCAACTTTTTCTCCCTTTCGATGTATGGCATAGCGCCGGTGTCGCCCATTCTTGACCGTAAGCTGCCAATCCTGGGTATTACAAACTCGGCTGACCCATTCTAGCCTCTTTGAGTCGCGAAATTTCTGATGGAGTGTTGCCTCGCCTCGTCCATTCTCTGCATGAAACCAACAGTTCCGTGCTGAGCCTTGCAGCGAGCGACGACTATATTTTCTCCGGGAATCAGAATCAGGACATTTCGGTGCGTTGAGGACAGTTCGGTGCGCTATCTGGGTGGCTGATTGGCTTTTCAGGTGTGGGACAAGCGGACGTATCGATTGAAGGATACGTTACGGGGCCATACAGGAAGCGTGCTAGCATTGGTGTACGCTGCAGAAAGGGAATGGCTGTTCAGTTCTTCAGGTGTGTGGCTCGCGGTTTTCAGAGGATTCGAATAACTGTGTTTGCAGGCGACAGCACCGTAAGGGTACGTTTCATTTACTTCGGCGACATTCAGAGCGCTGACGTTGAGCACAGATCTGGTCAACGACAACGCTGAATCCAATATATATCGTGGATCCGTATCTCGAAACTGGTGCTGGAGATCTGTTCTCTCTTGCCTGGTCCCCGTCTCTACAAACCCTCTATATCGGATGTCAGAATACGGCCCTGCAATGGCTCGATTTGCGAACTATTCCTTCACAAGAATCCGTCTCTTCACACACCCTCTGTGCCAGCGACTCTGGTATATTCACGCCAAGCGGTACCCCGAGAAAGGCGCACAAATTCTTTGATAGCTATCCCCAGTACGAACGGAAGCCTGCAGATATATACGCGAACAATCCCACTGGTAAACGAACGCCTGGATATGGAACGCCCGTGTCAGACTCGGATCCTTCCACGCCGTCACAAGTGCCGCATATATCTATCCCGGCCAGCAATGTTATCGATTCCGCTCATTTTGGGTATATATACTGTTTGGTGATAGTGGAGGAATGCGAGATTGGGGGAGTTAAGCTTATATCCGGGAGCGGCGATGAGAGTATCAAGGTACGAGCGGCGTGCTTTGGGTACGCTGTCAACTGACTTTGGCTTCGTAGATATGGAGCTGCACCTCTAATGGTCCAGTACTGGAGCATGAATTCACATGTGCCATTGGTGCAGTGTTCGCTCTTGTAACCCAGGGAGACACTATATATGGCGGGTGCCAGGATGGAATAGTCAAGGTTTTGGACATGGAAACTCGATCTATTGTCAGGACCATCATAGTCCAAGAGGTAGTTTCTGCTCCGTTGCTGAAACTATCCACTGATTAAGGTTCATCAAGGGGGTCGACATTCTTTCCATGTCGTTGCTCAAGTCCGATTTGTATGTTTGCCTTGCTAATGGACGAATACAAGTGAGTGACTGAACCTTTATTTCTGAGATGGTCTAACCGCATTCGCAGCGTTATTCTGCCTCGTTCGACTGCACCGCATCTTGGAAATGTCATAATGGAATTGTCTTGTCTTCGATATTAGATGACCAGAGGAACAATGGGACCCCCAAGCTCATTACAGGTGGAAATGATGACAACATTAAGGTGGCTTATTCGCATCTTTCCAAAGATAAAGACCTGAACGTATTCGTAGATATGGGATGCCATTCCACCCAAAGCTCGAAGTTTTCAGACCTCTGGCTCGCGATCACTCGTCGCTGATGCAGATTCACGCGGTGGTACGTTCGTAAGCTCAGACGCCATCTTCAGATGTTCAAAGTACCTTTAGACACATTGGCATATGCACTGTCCAAGTTTATATCATTTCCCAGTGTCAGCAGCAATCTTTCGAACAGGGAGGACTGCAGACAAACGGCCATCTGGCTTAGAAAATGTTTGAGTCAATTAGGTGCACACGCTTCATTGGTGAGTACTAAATAATAGGGGGGGGGGGGGACTTTTCATTGAGGCCTTCATTTAGCTCCCAGCGGGTGAAGGAACAAACCCTCTCGTATTGGGGACATTCAACGGCCTACAGACCCAGATGACCAAACCTAGGATCTTGTTTTATGGGTACGTTTGCCGTTGGTTTGGACAAGGATTTTTTCTCATATGATTAGACACTACGATGTCATGGCGGCACCACCCGAAGGCTGGCATTCCGATCCCTTTATTTTGACAGGTAGAAATGGCTCCCTGTATGGCCGAGGCGCGACAGACAACAAGGGTCCAATAATGGCGGTGGCTTGTGCTGCGGCTGCCCTTCTGCGGCGTCGCTCACTAGCTGTCGATCTTGTGTTTCTTATCGAGGGCGAAGAAGAATGTGGGAGCACAGGGTTCAAGGATGCTGTGAGGATGCATAAGGTTCGTGCATCAAGTGTGGTGCTACCTGAAGAAGATTCATCTTTTGTAGGCTACTATTGGGCATATTGATGCGATCTTGGTCAGGTACCCAGGCCGTTGTGAGTATGTTGATGGATCGTTGATGTCTTGACATTAGTAACTCGACGTGGATCACTGAAGAACATCCGTGCATCACGTATGGTCTTAGAGGTGTTGTCCACTGTGATCTGGAGGTGAGTTCTAAGCATAAACTTTGCCGATCTATCCTGATCTTGCAATAGATAATGAGTTCCCTTCCGGACCTGCACTCTGGTGTAGATGGAGGCGGTGTTGTGGAGCCGATGGACGATATGTATGTTTCCCCGACATATGTTAGCTCTCCACCTGACCATCCTAGGATAAAACTACTAGCCACCCTGAGCGATCGGCAGAAGGGTGTGCAAATACCTAGTTTTTGTCAGTACCAATCGCTTTTTGCTTGATAGTTGTCTGACTATTTTCAAGACGACCATGTCCGGCCTTCTTCCGAAGAGGAAAAATCTAATTACAGTCGGCTCGCTGAAATTACCAATAAACCTGCTAGTTCCCTATCTTCGAGATGGAGGGAGCCGTCCTTGACTATACACACCATTGAGGTGTCCGGTCCACAAAGTAAAGAAGAACATTATCTTCGAATGTGTACATCTCACTTATCATCTGTAGATTCGACTGTCATACCTGGCACTGTCAAGTCTCAAGTCTCCATTCGTATAGTCCCCGACCAGGATTTAGATACCATCTCCCGGTCCCTCTGTGATTACCTGACCAGATCATTTGAAGGTCTCCAATCACCCAACAAATTCAACGTCAGCCTGGAGAAAGCGGCTGACTGGTGGTTAGGGAATCTAGATGATCCCTGGTTTAAAGCATTAGAAGCTGCTGTTCGGGAGGAATGGGGAGTTGATCCTCTACACATTCGCGAAGGAGGAGTAAGCGTCATGCAGTTCCTACTCAAATTCGGTCTAAATAAATGTTTCCAGTCCATCCCTTCGGTGCCATACCTTGAGAAGGAATTTGGGTGCCATGCGCTGCATTTGCCTTTGGGCCAAAGTTCGGTATGTGGAATAACGTTCTTGATGGCCCGTGCCATTTTGACCCACTGTTCGGTTTTAGGATCAAGCCCATCTGCCGAACGAACGTATCTCACTGGTCAATCTTCAACGAGGAAAGTCTGTGATTGGGAGGTTTCTCCTAAAAGTAGCTGATGCCAATTTTGCCTGATATTTACCCTCTTCTCTTCTATGTATTTACTTGCTTTCGTGTTAGTTTATATTGCATACCTTAGCTGTCGTGTTTTGTAACATTCCCTTCTAATTCCTACTTGTCGGCGTTATCGGGACTACTCGGATGTAAGCAGAAGTTTGTGATTGGTCGTGGACAACTCTTCTCCGCGAACGGTCTCAGTGATCAACACACCTTCATCCTCGTCCACCACGATGTCCTCATCTCTCATTCTCCGCTCGTCGCTGTCAAGGTCGGTCGTCCACCGTCTGGGGTCGAGGGCCCCTGGTGCTGGTATGTTTCATGCATTGTCAGGGAACGGGCAATATACTAAGTCTCTGTTCTGTAGTGGCAGTTAGGCATGCGTCGGATTCGTCTGTATATGTTCCCGGTGGGCGTACGTTTACTTCAATATCGCGTTTTTGTCGCATTTATTCACTTTTGCTTAGCTGTGTACAAGGGAACCGTGAACGACCCCATAACCTTCCCGCCGCCCTCAAGATCAGCAGGTTCGTATCACTGGGCATTCGAACGCCTTTTGTCGGCTGGGCTCATCCCTCTGACCGCCGCTGCGTTTGTCACGAGCGGTACCAATTACCCTGTTCTCGATGGTGTCCTAGGAGTCAGTTTGGTGATGCATAGTCACATTGGGGTACGTTCCGTGATTAACCGAGGATGGCAGAATGCTTATTTGTTCCACTAGTTCAATTCGGTCTTCGTTGACTACCTCCACAAGCGAAAATTCCCGGTTCTTGGACCCATCGTGACCTGGACTTTGAGAGCTGCGACTGTCGGTGCTCTCGCGGGAGTGTATCAGTTCAACACGAACGATATTGGTGAGAGATGCTTCAGAGTCTTTTCTTTCTCGAATGTTAAGCGTGGCCATCATTTAGGTCTGACGGAGCTTATTGCTAAAGTTTGGACCGCATAGGCCGGTTATCTTGTATCAGTATACTATTTCAGTGCAATCCATGGAATTTCCACGTAAAGCACGAATACCCGATACTCTGAAGTTCAGAGTTCCAGGAACAGTATTTCTGTATCAGGACCATCCAGCAAGCTTTGCTCCATGACGAGGAATCCAGTTGTGTGCATATTTTGAGTACTAATATACAAGCATGATAGTATCGAGCTGGGAAACAGTCTAATAATTAAGAAAAAGCATATAGTATCAGTTCAAGCTCGAGACTCGATAGACGGAGTGCGAGTGATCAGTCTTGAAGCCGATACACCCTTCTCCAAATCAATAGCAGAAGTAGGCATGGTTTGTGATCCAGACGATGGGGCAGAGTTTATAGCGTCCGACTCCGGTTGTCCGTGATCAGCAACTACACCGACGTTCCAGAAGAAAAGGACTGCAAATATAGTACCTATAGCATCGGATATGAAGGTTAGATATATCTCACAAAGCTCTAGATATTCACATACCGACAACTCCGAAAGCAAATGAGCCCCATGCTGCGGCTTTGTAGCCATGAAGCAGTGCTTCTCGAGGCGCATTGCTATTGCTGGTGTCGACAATAATTCCCATTTTTGCCGAACTTTGTGCCACCACCCGGTTGTAAATAATGGTGGTGACCGTTACGCCCAATGCTGTTCCGACCTACGATGCGAATGAGTATTAATTATGTCCTTCGTTGCATACACCAACGCCTACCTGATTCATCGTTTGGAACAAAGCGCCGGAAAGGCTCTGCTCATGTGGTTCGACAATCTGTGCGACGAAGATCGTTCCTGACGCAAAGACGAAGTCGGCACCAAACACGGACAAGATGGCACTGGGGAAACCGAAGCGCCAGTAAGTAGCATTGGGCTGGATGAGGGCAAAGAACAAGGATGCGCAGCCAGTAGCTAGTGTTCCGATCGCTTGAAGGGACAACAGGTGAGCAAGCAAGGCAAAGCTCAACAGTTAGCTACGACTTACCCAAAAGCCATACAATAGGCACACGAGCAATAACCAAAACAACGATGGTGTTGAGAATGACCCCTGTAACGAACATAGGAATGAACCTAAGCATAGTGAGAATAGGCGTGTAATCCTCGTAATCTTGATAGAATAACTTAAAACAGTGTTACTAGGTCGGTTTCTCCAAATGAGATGTTTATCTTACCTGTGACCAAAAGTTCCACGCCAGGAATGAGGCGAAGGTGAGTAATATCATAAGCATAATTGCAGCAAATTTTCCGTTTGCTTTGGTCCATAAGGAGAGCTTCATCATTGGGGGAGGAGTCCACATCGAATAAGGCGCATTTGGGTCGAGCTGGACGCGCTCAAGATACCATTCCCAGACTAGGAATACACCAAGGATGAGTACGCCAAGGATGAGAAGAGCAATGATGTCTGTGATGCTTCTTCAGCCCCGGAACAGGAAGGACAGAGATGAAACGTACAAGAGGTCGCCCATTTATTCGGAGCAATCTCACCATCACTCAGAACGAAGATGATGAGGACCAATGCCGCAGTTACTAAAAACGCTCCCAACCAATCGATGCGACGATCAGCTTCGGTAGATGGTTCGTCTCGGGGAATGGAAAAAAGGCCCATGAGCAGGAACAAAACTGTCAGACCACTTGAGAGATAGAAGTTACTCCGCCAGGAAGGACTGGAAAGGCATCAGATCTTGTTGATATGCTGAATAAGAAGAAGACACATACTGTGAGAGCTGGATCAAGGTCCCACCCAATGCTTGACCTGTAAATCCACCAAGTGGCGCTCCAGCAGCAAAAGTAGCGAACGCAATAGACCGCGTTCGACCAGGGGGGAATGAATGTGCGAGAATGCCCATCTAAGGAACAGAAGGAACAGATCACACAACGTAAATCGACGAGAAACGACCTAGTACTCACTGATGCTGGGAGGGCTGCTGCGACTCCGATACCTTGCAAACCACGAAGCACATCGAGGACGATGGCATCTTGCAAAACCGGTTAGACTAGAGTAATGAGAAGGAATGTCACGTTTACCATGAGCAAATCCGCAAGCAAGTGTGAAGATGGCGAGCCATGCGGAACCGAGCAAGAATGTTATCTTGCGGCCGTATAGATCTGCAACGCGTCCGAGCAATGGAAAAAGACAACCCTGCAAAGATGTTGAATGCGCTGGACAAGGATCTTCCTTTCAAAACACGCACAGAACTCAAAGCGTACGATGAAACCTGGACGAAAATTAGTAGACGCCTCGTCGAACATTCTGCCTACTTACGAGCCATTCAAGCTGATTTTGCTCGATACCCAGATCTCTTCCTATCGAGGGTAGAGACACCGCTGCAGAAGTAAGGTTCGAGCTCTGTCGAATGCTGGTATCAGCGACAGGCGAATCTGTATAAAAGACAGCAACTCACGTTCACCCACATAACCATCGTACATGTCGCGATGATAGCCACTGTACGCCCCCTTGAAAGTGGTTGTTTTGCGACGATTTCCTTGTCCATGATCAACAATACGGACAGCGAGGAATTGATGGGGAGCGCCAGGATCCATGAAGCTTAAATAACTCAAAACTCCTCCTTGCGAACTATTCAAGTGGGTCCTGTTGCCAAGCGTAATTATATCGCCTTTGGAAACGCCACACGATTGCTCCGATGATTGGCTTTTCCGTCGCCGATTTTTTGCGAAAGTAGTAGTGTGGCGACATGAAGATTTCTTCCCGGACGCAGTAGGCGTAGGAATATATCATCATCGAGAGGGACGAGACTACTTCCCGTAGAACCGTTCATTGTCCTCGGTGCCTTCGGAACATCAAGTGGGTGCGCCGAGGTTGCGTAATACCTTGAGCGTTCTTCGTGTGACTTTTCAATGCCGCCTTTGGGATTGCGAAACACAGAGTTGAAGTTCTGACTGAAGTTTTTTCAAGTAACTGGGTATATTGTAGACAGCATCTATGCATGATAATAAGGTACAAAATGAAGGCAACGTATATGGCATACATAGTGCAAGGTGTCGTTGATTGTTTTGTTATTATAGCACTTCCTTCGGTGTCACTCACTGCTCAAACCTCGTGGTCCTCCTCTCGGTCTAATTTTGACTTGGCGGCAGTGACTTCTTCGACAGTAGAATCGTCGACGTCCGACCGCTGGTGAAGGTTCGATTGAGGTCCATGATAATGTCTGTGGCCATCAACGATATACCACGCGCTAGACGGAAAGGTTAACAGATTTGAAGGGACAAATCGAATCACTAACAACATACAATGCTAAAACCATAACGCCGATGGTGATGACCTAACAACTCCTCGTCAGCACGGAGAAACGCGTTGGGCAATGCACTCACCGCCGCATAGTTCATATTCTCCTTCGTGATGGGTTTCACGGTCGGGAATGAGAAGATCACACACACGAAAAGGGTCCATAGGATGCACGTCCAATTCATCGCGGCTCCGAGGATGCCGTCGCCCATGTAGAAGGGACCAGGTTTGAACATAACCTCGGGATGGTTTTGAAAGATCCGTCTGAGGAAGATGGGGATGATGTAGCTCAGGTCGAGAGCCATGGCAGTCAGCGAGAAGATGGCATTAGCGGCAATGGGACTTGCGAGGTCGAGCAGCCCAGGAAGGACGGAGACAAAAGTAGTTAGGAAGATGGCTCGGAGAGGTGTGTTGGTCCATTTGGAGTTGTGGCCGAAATAACCGGCATCGGGGAGTCCTACGGATGTTTGATATGAATCTCAATTCGGAGTAGTGGGCGGGGACAGGCTTACCGTGGTCGCGGCTGAAGGCGTAAACAGTACGCGATGCAGCCTGAAGCGCAGTTTGGACGACAAAGAAGGCTGTAAAGCAAACGAAAACCTGTACCAACTATATCAGCGATCAAACCCACCGTATGCAAGATGAAGACCCGACCCATAGTATCAGTGCCCCCGTCTTCCCCATTCGAAGGTACATGATCTGATCAAAGTTTCAGTGACCGCAAACAACCCAACCTAGTCCAATGTACCTGAAGCACAGCGGAGCCAGAAGCCCCCGGAAGGTCTTCCCTGTAGGCAGATATGAATTACGTATGTAACGCCTTCCGGGAATTATTGCACGCACAGTGGTCCAGAGCAAAGAATCAGTACGATATTGAAGAGCCATCCGAAACTGCCAGTGCCGATTACTTGTGAAACGTGTCAGCGCATTCGATATATAATATGGCTCACGGCTCACATACCGGCCATGAAGATTGCCGAGGGTGCTGCATTGGTAAGATATCGTCAGTCTTCAGATCCGAATATCAAGGCGGGAGCACATACCAGCGTACGCCGCGCGTCGAACTTCTTCACTAAAATATCCACCGGTTGGTAAGTATGCAACCTTGATAACAAAATCCGAACCCACGAGATATGTGCAGTGGCGTCGTAATCCTAGTGATGACATCAATCATCAACCATCAGCTCCGACCTGAACGAACGTACCGTCATCTAGCTATGAATTCAATTTTAAGAACTAGAGATAAAAAGAAGTCGCTCACAGTCCATTGTACACTCAACAATCCAAACAGGAAAGCCAGGCCGCTATTCCAGCCCCCCGTTTGGTTCACGAGTCCCGCCGTGCCAAAGACGTAGCTCGCTGGATGCATATTTGAGCGACCCGTCGTGGCGAGGAGAACGATGATGATGACTGTCAGTAACTGTAAGGGCGGTCTGATGTACAGTATGGGAAGAGCGGCGTACGGAATGTAGCTCCAAGATTGCAAAAAACAAATGACGATGATAAACGGGCAAGGTACCGAGTTGCAAGCGAGTTCTGGATCCAAAAGTTGAACGAGAGGATGAGACTGGATAGAAGTCACTCACCAGGACACCATGGAATACGAGTAAGACGGCGAAGAGCCAAACGACTTTTCCCTAGTTATCGAAAGAGTTGAGAAAATAGCCAAAGCAAGTGACGTAGTTCATTCATTACTTGGGTAATTTCATAGTTTCCGTCCTGTACGATAATACTGAGCCTCGACGTTTGAAATATACTAGGGAAGTTGTCACCACCTTGCCAATAACAACAGCGGCCCATATCATGTTAGATAGACCAAACTCTGTTGAAGAAATACCCGCAATCTGGCCTGTGCGAAAGAGACTCGGTCAGTACAACTATCATATTCTCTGACTGTCGTCTCACCCAGAATATTCAGCCATCCAACCAACCAGCCGACCTAAGGAACGAACTTTTATCGGCATCCAAAACACAACCGGTCAAAAAGAAGCCTTACCCTCGCACGATGCTTCTGCGGTGTAAGCTGGGCCGAAGCCGTGTACCTGAGAAGGAACGCGGTGGGTCAGTGATTTCACCAGGGACCAAGTCCGGAACGTACAGCCCACCGCAGGTCGGATAAGCGCTTACGATTTCTGCAATACTTGATCCTAGAGTGAAGCACATACATGCTCCCAGGATCCAGCACCATACGACCTAGTAATCAGAAGTGAGATCGGGGTGTGTGGAAGAGAGAAGGGCCAATACCGAGGACGGTCCGCCGAGCAATAACGGAGTGTTAAAAGTCGTCGCTATACTCGAACATAGACCCTATACGCGACGAGGAGATTGTCAGGGGGATCCGAGTGCCGAATGAAAGATGTAGTAACCATTATACTGAATGCAAAGCTGATCTGTACCAGAAATTAACAATAATAGACAGCGAAATCAGGACTTGATAGAAGGCTTGCGCGTAGCTGATACGCACCGTCGCCAAATTAGAGAATTCCCGCTTGAAAGACGGGACATAGCCAAGGGCGACGAGCTCTCTGTCATCGTCGTCTATCATGGTGCTGGACATGGAGGGGGTTGGTTCTGGTAGTGCAGCCATCGGAGGCCCTTATATGAAGGTCGCTAACAGTCTTGTGGCAGTTATGCGGCGTCTTGGAAGAGAGCTACCGAAAGGGTCAAGAAGTTGTTTGATGTGGCCATATGTATGCTGAAAAGAATTCAAATTTGGTCTGCGCAAAGTTTTAGGCAGACCCTATCTTTCGGATCTGGCCCTCTTTATCTTATCTGTTTTCTTCAAATCCCTCACAACCGAGCAGCCTGGATGGCGTGTCCACAGTAACCAATCCTGCGCCTGGAATTGGACAGTGGTTCTTCCAGCTAAACGGAGATAATTTGGCCTAGTGGCTAACCATGAACAAGGAACGTACCTTCATGCGCCCACCACGAAGGATCCGCCGTGGAATCCAAGTGCTATTGTACTGTGGTCCCGTTGCACATGGCGTCCCGCTAAAACGTGATGATACGACTATCGTGTCCACGCAAAACGTCCGAAAGCCATTGAATGCCTATCAGGTGCTTCTGGAAGGTGAGGCACTTTGCTCTACGACGATAACGATAGATAACAGTATACTTACTAGGTACATAGGACGTTAAATAACAGGCTTGTCACGCTACAGCACCAAACTCTTTAGGCCAAAACCGATTCGGCTTGGGACTACTAGTAGCATCACTGTCCAGTAGAAAAACGAAACGCAAGTCTACGAGCAGGTGTCGCTCAGGTGTCCAGCCCTGTAATAATATCTCCAGGTCGCCGCTTTCCAACCTGCGCAGTGCGCACGCATGTTATTGTTGTCAAGCTACCATAGATAAGACCAGTATACACCGAGTCGGAGAGTGGGCAGTTCAACAACCCGGGAACTGAAAAATTATAGGCAGTCGGCAGGCGAGATAGAAGGATGAGACTGCACGGAAAGGCGTCTTCGATGGGGCTCCGAAGGAATCCATCCGACGGCTTTGGCAGCTGCTCTTTCGTATCATATCTAACGCTTTTCGTAGGATTCAAACGCAAGGCTCAATTGACGAGCGGAACATGCACAAGTCTCTATATCTCCGGAAAACGCACCCTATTAGCGACACCCAGCGTGTTATAATCACGAAGCCGTACTGAAAGCAAGTGAGTGGCAAGGATAGGCTACATCTTCGGCAAACGCGACACTGGGGCTGACCACGAAATATACCAGCTTATCTACTATGAAATTGAACCCGTCAGCCAGCCCGTACGAGAACCCAGACGGCGACAGACTGTCGTCAGTGTTATGAGAAGCTCGGAAGCCTCACACAACGGACCTCCTTTACTGGGATTCGTAGCGGAACGGCTTCCCTCATGCCAGTAAATATTCGCGCCAACATTTATTACAAAGTAAATCTGTATTTTTATACTGAACAGGCAACACAGATTTGCTCTTCCCTTGCTTCGGGCAATAATCAACAACCGGTGGAGGAAGACCCGGTTTTTTCAACGAGTATAAGTATCAGAGGACGTGAACTTGTTTGACGCGTTTCAAGGCAAGTGACACGTCAGACGGCAGCTCTAGCGCACCTGTTCACGATTGAGATACGCGTTACCAAGGTCCACTGGGAGATACCCATGTCCATTATAATGAGCTTAATGGGAAGTATTGTGGACCGGAGCTGCCGTTGTTGAGATATTTTGGTAAACTCATTAGCTTCGAGTATTTATGTCGCGCATACCGACAACACATGGGGTTGCGAGCTCTCGAAAGAAAATATAAATAATATATTATAAGGCAGAACCCAAGAAGACTGAAGCATCGACAGTCTGGTTCACCTAGCAATGGAAGAACGGACAGAACCATATCTACCAGGTACGGTGAATACGGTAGGGAGACACGCCAATGTTGATTTGGGTATTCTAAGGGCCTTTGTAGCTGTATGTCGGGAGATGGGCAAGAGATCAGGTGCCTTACGAAGCCAGGACATGTAGCAGCGACAATATTCCGGGAGCCAGAGAAGGGATCCAAAGTCCTACATCTAGTACAGTAAGGGTCACCGCAGAGGAAACTATAGACATCTGCGAGCGTAAAGTAGGGTGCTACTTTCGTTCTAAGCATCACAACGAGTGCGCGGTCGGCGTGGCAGCACAAGCATTCAAAGACGAACGATGAATCAACTATCACTCGAGTATGTTGGAGTTAATGAGGTAGGAGCATGGACGTGGTGAGCGAGGAAAAAGGTTTTCGGAAGAGAACAGACACTAGGATAAAACATCGTAATGTTAATCTCAGCATTATGGTTGAAAGCTTTGTTATTTACCTAGGATAAACATCGTAACATTACTACATAGGTGATAAGTAAATACGGTCAAGGATAGATATGTATAGAAGGTACTCACATCTCAGCGTTATGGTTAAAAGCTGAGATGTGCGGGATGGTGTGACATGCTGAAAAAGCAAGGAATATCAAATAGGTAAGTGAACATGTGCATATCATACTATTCCTATGTCCAACACTCCCCCTCGAAGTGTAAATGGTTTGCTTACATGATGCCCAGTGCCTCTGCAAACTTCTTGAATTTTGGACAAGCCAATGGTTTCATGAGGATGTCAGCAACCATGTTATCACTTGGGCAGTACATCAGTCTGATGTGGCCTTGCTCAATGGTTTGCCAAATGAAATGGTACTGAACTCCAATATGTTTCATTAGTTCATGGAATACTGAATCCTTGGCAATAGAAAGTGCATTTTGACTATCAGAGAAGAGGATAGTAGAGTTTGTTGGGTAAATGTAAGGGTTTGCAACAAAGATGGAGAGCTCTGAGAGGAGTTTGTGAAGCCATATCATGTTCTTTGATGCTGGTGTGAGTCCAACATAACAGATTCTGTGGATGTAGAGAATGAATCTGGGTTTAGATCAAGATTCGCTCTCTATTCAGGCTTGAGACTTTACAGTCAACTTTGATGAACTCCATCAAATATTAAAGGATAAAATTTCTAAAGCTCAGTCTCATTACAAGGCTCAAGCAGACAAGCATCAGATTTTGGTGCTTCCATTCACAGTGAGTGACAAGGTCTACCTCAGTTTCAAACATATCAAAACCATCTGCCCAATTAGAAATTCTCAGAGAAATACCTTAGTCCTTTTGAAATTATAGCCTAACCTGGTTTCTACTCCTTCATGCTGAGGCTTCCACTAGATCTCTGGTCCATTCACCTGGTCTTCCATATGTCACAATTAAAACCTGTAGAAGAAAACACCATTCCTAATCAAATCCAACCACTGCTGCCCTCAGTCAAAGTTGACAGAGAAGAACATTTCAAAATAGCCCAAATCCTCAACTCTAAACTGGACTGCCAGTTCTGCTGCCCACTGCTGTATAAGATCCAGTGACTAGGCTATGAAGGTATCAATGAAGAGTTTGCTTGGTTACCAGCCTCTGAATTCTCTGCCAATGAATTTATTGAAGAATTCCACTATCAATATCTAGGCAAACCAGAATCTTTATTCAAAATTACTCAATCATTTTGTTCTTGATACAACACTACTCTAGATGCCACCAGTGCCCCACCTTATTATTTTAATTCTAACCACTGATTATCATTTTAATCACCTCTTTTACACTTTCAAAGTCAAAATCTTGTATTTATATTTTTTTTCTCTATTATCAACATCTAATGCCTTTTTCTATATACATTTTGTACAAAATCTTTACAAGGAAGTGGAATCTGACAGACCCATACTAGAATCCAAACTCTTCTTCCACCTCTTCAACTTCTCTATATTCTCATTCAGCCCCTTCAACATCACCTTCCACAGATCTTCCACCTTCTGATCTTTCTTGTCCTTGAAAAGCAGACAAGCCTTCTTCCAGGCCTCTAATTCAGACTCCAAAAATAATGCTGAGGGAGACAACATATCATCTGACCTATAATCATTCTGGAGACCTGCTACAGTATCATGGACATCTGCCACCTCATCTGCCAACTCATCCATATGATGCATCAACTTGTATATTAACTTTGAAAGTTGGTAGAGACCAGCAGAGACCTCCACACTGCTGATCACCTCACTTGCAGTAACACTCTTGTTGAATGAACAGACAGTCTTCTTGATCTTGCAATAGGCATAAGTCCATCTATAGCCAGCACCTTTGGTTACTGAGCATGCATAATAGGGTGCACCATCTTGATAGCAGCACATGCAACTCTCTGAAAACAAAACTAAGACAAGCCAATCAGAAACAATAAGACACTTACTTTCACCACTCAATTCCTTCTCACTCTCTGCTGGCCCCACAACCTTCAACTTCACTCTCTTCTTGAGACTGGCCACCACCTCTGTCTCACTGCCATCTATCACACTCCTTGATCTGAACTTGCATTTATGGCTCTTCTCTGCCAGACTTGCTGCTCTTCTCTTTCTCTCTTGCACCTTTTTTCTTCTCTTTGGCCTCTCTCTCCTCAGTCTCTCTTCAAGCTGCCTCTCTCAATGCCTCCTCCACTTTTTTCACCTGTCTCTCCACTGCCTATCAGACCTTCTCTCTCTTCTTCTCTAACCTCTCTTGCTGCTTCTTTTTCTGTGCCTCTTAGACCTTCTCCTCTCTCTCCTGCTTTTTTTTTCACTTCAAGTGGACTTCTACAGCCTCCATATACTCTTCCTCTATAGTTTGCTATTTCAGATAGAATAATTCCTTGCCTCTTTAGGGCTATCAGAGGTGGGTTCCCTCACCAAAGGCTCAGGAGTGTGTAAGCAATGATACATGGTGAGAGGCAACATAGTTGCAAAAGTTTAGGCAATAGTGGTGGTATCTGATCAAGTTACAAAATTTCTCATGGCCACCAACAATCTTCTATATGATCCCACTGGCCATTAAGATCTGTGCTCTTGAAGGCAAGAATGCTAACAGGGGGATACTGTTATGTGCATGCCATCAGCCTCTGTGTCACCTCAACCAACCATGGATTCAATCACCAAAACCCACTGGACTCCATCTGCTTTCCATTATCTATTAATTTTATTTTCACTATTATCATTTCACATTTGTATTTCACATTGTAATATCTAGACTCTGAACTCAGTAATGAATATTGACATTAGAACTCAATGGAATCTGACTTGGAATTAGCTACCATTAGCATATAAAGCCATATATAATCATTGTAACTACTTAGTTCAAATATCAACTTAGATAGCTATCTACACTTTATACTTGCTCAACTCCTCCTTACCTTGTCTGTCAGATTCTGCTCCAAAGGATACTCCTCTTTGCTTCTCTGATAGAACTCCATTCCATCCATCCAAATCTTTAGACTCTGACTCAAGAGTGATGTTGCCAATAGCTTTATTGACATCCATGCACTCTGCTGGCTCCATGTGTGCACTCAAACTCACTCGATTGGCATGTTTCTAACATCTTTCTCCATTGTCAAATACTCTATTGTCTGGCTGGAGAAAGCTATGCCTTTGAGAATAGTTTTATCTTTCATAAAGATTGTATGTGCTTGATCTTCTGCATCTCTCACATGATCATTATTATTGACATTTCAATGCATTCCATGATTATAACCAGAGCCAAGATCATATAAGCCATTGTCACATATTCTGTATTTATATTTGTCTAGGTCTGTTAGAGATGATGGAGTTAGATCTGAGAGAGATCCATCAAATGGTGAGCCAGAAGGGGTTATAACATCATGAGGAAAGGGTGATACTGGAGGTGATAGACTTAGAGGAGGTAAGAGATTTGATGCTGGAGGATTTTCTGGAGGTGAAAGATCATCATTGTTAGGGTCTCTTCCTTTATCAGACAGCATAAGAGAATCTGACAGATTTGAGAGTGAAGAAAATAAGTCACCAAAGAGGTTGATAAGAGTTTTTGTATTTCCTGAGAACATCTGTTTATCAAAAACAATATGGCTTAATATGATGAACTTTTTGGTTACAGGGTTCCAGCACTTCCATGCCTTTGTATCTGATGGATATCCAATGAATATGCATTTGGTGATGCATGGCTAAAGGCCTTGTTGCTTGTTC